AACAGGAAATCAGGATGGTCAGTTCACCAATTGGATCAGAGACGAAATGCCGAAGACTTGTGCTGTCCATCGCTGTGTGGCCATGTCAGTAAACATGTCCGACAGTGGACAAGAGAGCAAGGCCAATTACCGGTGGGCAGAAGGCCCCTGTGCACTGCATTTGGATGGATATATTTGCCAGTACAGCTACAAATCCATGTGTTCACCACTGGAGGATGAGGGCAGAGGTCCAGCTGTTTACACAACCCCATTTAAACATGCGAGCACCATGCTGACCCATGTGCCCCACGGGTCTGTAGCTACTCTGTTTTGCCCAGTAGACACCTCAAACCCAGATGCTCCTGCTGAGGAAAGGGTGCTTTGTATGGAGAGAGAAGATGGGACAACAGGTTGGTCCAAGGATGCCCCTCTGTGTTCATCCAGTGCAGCAGCATTGTATCGTGACTGGTGTAGCGAAGACCACGGTTGTGAGCAGCACTGCCAAAATAAAGAGGATGATTACTACTGCTACTGCTCTGAGGGCTTTGTCATTGATGAAGATGGCTACAGCTGCAAGCCTGACCCCCTGAATCAAAACGACCCACCTGAGCTGTCCTTCAAATCCGCCATCCCCACTGAGGCACCGCGCATCAAGAGGGTCTGTGTGGAGATGGGATGTGAGTACGACTGCTTTGAAAGTGCCCGAGGCTTCCGTTGCACATGCCCCCCAGGCTATCAAATAGGTCCAGATGGCCACAGGTGTTCTGATGTGGACGAATGTAAACAGGAACCATGTCCACAACTCTGTGTGAACACACCAGGCACCTTTCACTGTACCTGTTACCAGGGCTACCAGCCAGACAACGATGGCGAGTGTGTGGATGTAGACGAGTGCCTCGATGAAGGCAGCTGTGAAGGGCCTTGCGAGAACACAATTGGCTCTTTCACATGTCTCTGTGAACCCGGCTATGCGTTCAGCGGTGAAGGAGAGTGTTTGGATGTGGATGAGTGTGAGTCGGAGTCATCCTGCCACCATCAGTGTCTCAACCATGTTGGAGGGTACAGTTGCAAATGTGATGAAGGCTTTGACCTGCAACGAGATGGAATCACCTGCCTACCTTCAAATTACGATGAAGAATATTCCACCCTGACCCCTGATAGTGGTACCTCTGAGGAGCTTTATCTTCCTTGGTCCACCACTGACCCGTATTTTGAAGATGATACCAACTTTGATATCAGCTGGACAGAGGCTTCTGAGGCCCTTACCTCGGACATTGCTCATCCATCAGATAATCGTCTAAACCCGTGGGATGACTTATCGTCAAGGCAATACCCGACAGCCACACCCTCAACACAAAAACACAGCACAGATAACAACATTGAAAATGATGTTGAGAGAGGAAGAGATGAGCAAAGGGATGGGGCTTTAGCTAAAAAGGTAATCGAGTCGTCCAGTGTAATTGGGGAGTCAGAGACACCAAAGGTGGACAGCACAAAGGATGCCAACAGTACAGAGATGACCAAAACAGGATCTGCAGCAGGTAAACGCAAGCAGGACAAGAACTGGCTGCTTGTGGCTCTGCTGGTGCCTCTGTGCGTATTTCTCGTAGTGATGCTAGCTTTAGGAATCGTCTATTGCACCAGTTGTGCCGTGGACAAGAGCCTCAGTTTTTCAGACTGTTACCGTTGGGTACTCCCTGCAACACCTCCAGCCAGGAAGTATGGCAAAACTCAAGCATGAACCCTAATGCGAATAGACAAAAAGTATGTTTTTATGCCTTTATTAACTTTTTTTTTCTGTTGGCAAAAGACTGCTCATTAAAGCCATTTTGGATCAAATACATCTAACTAACTTTGATGTTTTCTGTTCCACAGCTTTTGTAAATATATGTCATAAATCTGTTAAAATGCAATAAAAGTCAGTAACACGATGAAATGCAGTACTGTTGGGTTTTGTTCAGTGTGAAATAAAGTGTTGAATTAAGAATTAAGACTGGGCATTTTTATTTATTTATTTTGAGCAAAAAAGTAACACAACCAAATGTGAACTACTCAAAATAAGTGTGAAACTGTCAGTATATTGTGTCTTATTATTTAAGTTAATAAACAGATTTATTTTGTATTTTATACTGTTGGAAAATGTGATCAATCACCTTTACAACAATGCACAGCTTGTAAGAATCGTACATCTACAACACAACAAAAAACTTCCCTTAGAGTTTAAAATAAACTAAGTGCACGCATTCCAGCTAGCAGCACCAAAGAAGAGTGAACAAAAGAAGAACATCGCAGAGGATTTGGGCAGCTTTGAGGCACTAATTAGGTGTGTTGTACATTCTGATTCATGCACATTTGTAAGAAGTTGTACAGTGTTGTAATGGTGGTTAATCAGGCATTTAGACAATATGAATAACATTTTTGGTTGTTAACATTAAAAAGTAGGATAAAACAGGTTCCTGAATTTTTTTTGGTGTACGATTGTGCTAATCTAAGATGCAAGCCAAGTTTTTATAATTTATTTTTTTGTCAACATAAGCTTCTTATTCTAAGCTCAAGGGGAATTTGGGGAATGTGCTTCTTAATTTTCTTGAAATCGTTTCCCTTCTCATTTATCTTATTTATTGCTCTGTTATACAGGTTTACTCCCAAATCACACCCCAAGACCCTCCCCCTGGGGTCGGTTTCCTTTTGACCTTCTTCCGCCCTAGATCATATGGTCTTGGTCACATGATTGGTGTAAACGTTTAATTGGACATTAAGGCTCAGAATAAAAGATAAGTGAATGATAAATGATTAATAAACTTTTAATATCTTTGTCTGATTCCAAAATAGAATGTGGAAAGAATTTACAATGAATATTGTTTTTTTTCTTGTTGTCGTTTGTAGCTATTTGGCGAGTTAGCAGTTTGGGTAGTTAGCAATTTGGCTAACTAGCCAATTTGCTAACTAGCATGTTCAGTGCTGTTTTTATTTCTATTTTTTTATCTAATTGCCTAGGGATCGTTTTATTTTAGGGTGGCTGTGACTAGGTGTTTGAATTACTTGGTCCTAATTCAAAATCAAATAATGGCTTTTATTTAAACGCCAAAGTGCTCACGTGCTTAATTGCACGAGATAATACTCAAGGACGATATACCTTCTTGTGTACTAAATAGACACGTGTGTTCTCGGCAAGGACACCAGAAAGTCTGTTCTACCATGTACTGGAGGAGGAGGATGGCACTTGGAACAGAACTGTACTCCTTTCCCAGATAGCAAGCTTACATTGAAACAATGTAGATTCACTGCATTGTCAACATTAAAACATTGAATCAATATTATTTTGCAGCTAAATTTAATATTGAAACAATATTGATTTATTCAGAATTAATCGATTTTGCAGTATTCATTCAACATCTAGTTAGCATCAAGATTTCAATGTCAGCCATTCTGATGATTCAGATAGAAAAATAATATTGTAAGTGTAGGGTTTGGTAAATTGAGTGCTTTAAGAGCTCAATATATATTACCTTTACTTATGACTAATAAGCTGTGATACTCCATATAAATATAGAATATCAATCTGCTTGGTCTTTACTGTTTTTAATCTAAAGATTCTAGGATTCTTTGTTTATTCAGGGATTGTAAACACTTCGTTTTGATTCAGAAAAGAGTCAGGTATATAAAAGTAAGAATTTATTTTTAAAACAATTAAAACATGACAGGTTAACTAATATTTACTGTGATGGATGAATCTAGATGTAGTATATGGTGTAGTGTATGGTGCCTATTGTGAATGCGATGTTATCAGAACTTCCGTATCTAGGAGAGCTGAGTTCTGGGTGTAAAAGAATTGGTTTACGTTAAGCTAAGAAGTTGATTATTATCAAAAGGCATCAGACGCTATCTGTGTGTCTACTTCACTCGTTCTCAGAGACCCTCTTCATGGATCCGAAGGTCAAAGAGGTTGGATGACCTCTGGCACCCAGATCCAGTAGATTGGCCACCGCACCGACTTCTCCAGTCCAGAGATGTCTCGGGTCACAACAGATGGATGGAACCACGCGTCTGGGACTCTTAAGGAGTCGAAATAATATCAGCTTGTTCTGCAGGAACCGTTTGCTGTATCAGCTTTGCAGGTGCAAAAAGATTTTGATGACGTGTCAAAAGCTTTGACGGGTTAGAGAGGTTTTGCTTCAGATGGCCGGTCTGAAGCTTTCTCAAGAACTGAGCTGAACTGCTGAATCACCAGAGTGATCCACTTTTAATGTTCTCATGTTATGATTTGTGTAGCCAACCAGAGGTTGACAAGTTGAGGAATATTACCAAGGCAACCTCAGAAGCATGCCTTCCTTGATACCGGATGCTCTGATCTCAAGTAAAGGACTATCTATGTGTCACGCGTTTGACTTGACTTAACTTTGTCCTTGTGTGAGTGCAAATGGTGATGACCTTGTCATATCAACATGTTGAAACATATATCAATCAATGTAATCATAACATAACATTCATTTCAAACTTCAAGCACAGATTAATGAAAGCATTTCATTATATTATAATTATTATAAGTAGCAATAAACAAATGTTTATTTAATGATTATCTAGCTTATAAGTTTTAAAAGTTCCTATTTAATTTAAGAAATAATTATTCGATTTAGCAACTAATCCGAGCTGCGAATGTTCCTTATTCAGAGGCAGGAAGAATCCTGTAGGTCAATAAGGGAAGCTTGGACCTTGAGGAGAGAACATCATTGTTGACAATACGTTATCATGTGTTCAGAGCTGCAGAGAGGCTTTGAGCTCCAGCTGATGGGATGAAGGCAGGCCAATTTAAAGGGAAAACATGCAGTCTCGTGTCTCCATTTTGACCAGATGTTCAATTCAATTCAATTCAAGTTTATTTATATAGCTCCAAATCACGACAAGAGTCGTCTCAAGGCACTTCACATAATAAACATTCCAATTCACAGTTCATTAAGCCAATCAGAAATAATGTTTCCTATATAAGGAACCCAGCAAACTGCATCAAGTCACTGACTAGTGTCAGTGACTATACAGCAATCCTCATACTAAGCAAGCATGCAGCGACAGTGGAGAGAAAAACTCCCTTTTAACAGGAAGAAACCTCCAGAGAATCCTGGCTCAGTATAAGCAGCCATCCTCCACGACTCACTGGGGATCGAGAAGACAGAGCAGGCAGACAAAGACACACAGACACAGACACACACACATACACACACAGACAAGTAATGTGTCTATAGTTATATTGTGATGTCTTAGTAAATATTGTATTTGGTGAAAGATAAACTTTATTGTATTTATCCTAGTGGATCTATAATTAAACGGATAAACTAGTATTAGCACATCAAAAGTCAATGAAAACAAAAAGTTATTATCAGGAGAGAGAGAATGTATTAGTGGTTAGCAGCAGTGTGCTAGTCGATGGCCCCCTCCATGAGGCCACCACAGCTCAGCAGAACGTCATTGTAGCTTCTTCTGGGGAGAAAAACACTTACAGAGAAAATAAAGTTAACAGCTGAAATTGCACAAAATAGTACAGTTAAAGAGCAGACTGTAGAAGAAAGCAGTAGAGTGTGAAAAGTGGTCAGTGTGTCCTCCAGCAGTCTAAGCCTATAGCAGCATAACTACAGAGTTAACTCTGGATAATCTATCCTATTTAGATGTAGGCATGTTGGAGGCAGGGCAAGGGAGAGCCGTCTTTACCGACTGTACACTCCACCTCCCTGTAATCCCCCACTTGTCCAGATTTAGGCTAACATCAGATTTTAATTATAGGCCCTATCAAATAAAAATGTTTTAAGCCTATTCTTAAAAGTAGACAAAGTGTCTGCCTCACGGACTAAAGCTGGGAGCTGGTTCCACAGGAGAGGAGCCTGATAACTAAAAGATCTGCCTCCCATCCTAAGTTTAGATATTCTTGGAACCACCAGTAGACCTGCAGTCTGAGAGCGAAGTGCTCGGTTAGGAACATATGGAACAATCAGATTACTGATGTATGATGGACCTTGATTATTAAGAGCTTTATATGTGAGAAGAAGGATCTTAAAATCTATTCTGAATTTAACAGGTAGCCAATGTAGGGAATCTAAGACAGGAGAGATATGATCTCTCTTTTTAATTCTCATCAGAACTCTAGCTGCAGCATTTTTGACAAGCTGAAGACTTTTAACTACATTCTGTGGACTTCCTGAGAGTAATGAATTACAGTAATCCAGTCTTGATGTAATAAATGCATGAACTAGTTTTTCAGCATCACTCCTGGAAAGTATGCTTCTAATCTTAGCAATATTCCGAAGGTGGAAAAAGGAAATCCGACAAACTTGTGAAACCTGGGATTTGAATGACATGTCCTGGTCAAAGATAACACCAAGGTTCCTTGCTTTGTTCTCGGAGATTAATGTAATGCCATTAAGGTCAGGCGATTGGCTAAGCAATTTCCTTTTCTGGATTTCTGGTCCAAAGATGAGAACTTCCGTCTTGTCTTGATTTAAAAGCAAGAAGTTAAGAGTCATCCAATTTTTTATGTCCTCAAGTCAAACTGTGTGTAGGGCCATCTGAAGGGCCATCGGGTCCTTCAATGTCACTCGAGCAATCGCAGACCGGACCATGGCCACGGACACGAGGTACGGAGAAATCCTCCCCATGAGGACGGTGTCAATCAAGGCGCTCACGTCCCGACCATAGTCGGACAGGCAAGTGGTCAGCATCTGTGCATGAGCATAATCAACATTCACAAAAGAACGCAATTCGTTCACAGCGGAAGTTGTTCTACGCAAAATGTCGCTATGAGTGTTGAGTACCACCACAGTCTGTTGTTCAGACGTGCCCAGGCGTCTCAAAGCACGCCGTTGCTGCCGTCCCTGCTTACGCAGAGCCGGATATTCTCTGTTAAGCTCATCATCGTGTCGACGAACTGTGTTAATCTCGATCGAGTTGACTGAAGAGAATCTGAAATTTAAAAGAGAGCCAATTGTATTAGCTACTGAGAAAAATCCATCTAGGAAACGCTTCAGTCTAATGCTGGTACCTGAAATATCACTGTTCGAAACCGTGAATTTAAGCGCCTGGAACAGTATGTGATGGACATAAGCTTCGGCATGCTGCGTCAAGGTACTAGTCCAATGGGCCCCAGTTTCCGAGAGGTTGCCGAAGGCATTCATCATCTTATCAGTACACGCCATAGCGGGGTCAAATTTAACAAAGATCTTTTGTGTAAACAGATCTTTAGTCATTGGTAGTTAGTCATTAACAGACCTGGGCGGTCTCGGAGCGTGATACCTGAAGAGGGCCCAGGTTCGTACAAACGCGTCAGAGGAGGCTTAGAATGCATCTCAGCTGCGGTCGACATCAGACCGGTGCACGCAACTAGCAAAACATATTTTGTCAGACCTGGAAACGGAAATCAAGAACGTTTTAGACTGTAGACTGACACGGCCTTGCAAGGGTCCAGCGCAGGTGAGCGCTTTGGAGGGCCATCGGTCGACACGCAGGTGCAGTCAGAAAGATCAGGGTCAGCTAGTAGTGGCAAAGGGCACCATTAAACCCCCCCCCCCCCCCCCCCCCTTTGGTAGGTGAGTCACCAACCTCAGGGCTAGAGGTCACCAGCGCCAGCTGTAGTGGAGTAGGGTTAGTGATGTCATCGGCCCCTCCTTCGGCAGGTGGGGTCCCTACCGCAAGGTGCTGGGCTTCAGCCGGAGTCTCAGCGCCACCATCAACCCCCCCCCCCCCCCCCCCCCCCCCCCTTTGGCAGGTAGTGTTCCCACCGCAGGGTGTGGAGTCTCAGGTGGTGTGTCACCAGGTAGGTGGTTTTCCCACCACAGGGTGAAGTGGTCCTGCTGCAGAAACGACGCAGACACTGTGGATGTCACTGACCTCAGAGGTACTGGATCGACTGGTCAGACTGGCAGCGCCGTTGTAGTTAACAACACCTAAAGAGGGAATGAGGTCCTCAAGAGGCGCCATGGGCATCGGTTGAGTCAGCCGAGTTCGGAGTGTCCAATCACCGAATCAAATGACAGCCTTAAAGCTAATGCTATCTGGGTTGTGTACTGGCAACAAGCGCTGCCTCTTGCTACGGTTTAAAAACATGAACTGACATCAATCTAATTTATTTATGTAGCCCCTTCTACCGGAGGCCCAAGGTGCTGAACAGTGCAGAATAACTTAGAAAGGCATCACATTAGCAAAAGAAAGAGAGGTAAAAATAGCATTAAAGCAATAAACAGAAAATCACAGATACAAAAAACAGGTAAAATATGAAAGCCAATGTCAGTGATGTTGGAGGATTGCTAACAAGAAAAAATGGGTTTTCAAGTGTAGAGGGTAAACATTGCTGCTTTTGAGCTTAATACATTACCTTTACTTATGACCAGTAAGCTGTGATATTCTATATAAATATAGAATATCAACCTGCTTGGTCTTTGGATGTTAAATCAGAAGATTCTAGAATTCTTTGCTTTTTCAGGGATCAAGCACACTTCGTCTCAATTCAGACAGTCAGGTTTGTAAAAAGTAACAAATTATTTTCCAAACAATTAAAAATCTGACAAGTTAACTAAGACTACTGTGATGGATGGGTCTAGGTGGGATGTGATGTGTGGTGACTATGTGTGAATGTGAGGTTATCAGAACCTTTGTATCTAGAAGAACTGTGTTCTGGGTGTAAAAAAAAGGGAATTTGGTTTGCATTAACTGGGAAGTTGATTCTTATCAAAACCACATCGGACACGATTCATGCTGTGTCTACCTCACCCTTTTGGAAGACCCTCTTACGGATCTGGAGGTCAGGAAGGTCGGATGACCTCTGGGCACCGAGGTTCAGTAGATTAACCGCAGCACCAACTCTTTAGTGCAGAGATGTTTCCCGAGTCACAACAGATAGATGGAATCGTTTACGTCTAGAAGGACTCTTAGGTAGTCTGAACTGTGTCAGCTTTGTTCTGCAGGAACCGTTTGCTGTGTCAGCTTCAGCGTGTAGCAGGGTTTTTGACAGCTTGTCAAAAATGCTCTGGGTTAAAGAGGTTTCACTCCGGACGGCCGTTCCGTAGCTTTCTCTAGAACTGACTCATGGTGAAGTGAGCTCTGTTTTAATATTCTCATGTTATGGTTTACTTGTCCAATCGGAACGGACCATGTTAAGGGGTGTTAACAAGCAAACCTCAGAACATCACGCCTTCTTTCAGATACAGGATGCTCTGATTTGTGGGTAAGGAAATATCTGTGTCATGACGTTTAACTTAACTTTAATTTATTTCTAATGAACCATGTGGATGATGATTACCTTGTCATGTCAAACATTACTGGTCATCATATATAAATCTTTCAATGTAATAATAACATTCATTTCACACTTCAGTAATTCAAGCACAGATTAATCAACCTTATTAATTTAAGCACAGATTGATCAAGACATTATTATTATTCATATAACATTTGTTTATTCAACCATATTGTTCATTCACTATTATAATTGTTCAGTCCTTTCTTCTGTGCAGGACAGCCTAGATAAGCAGACAGGCTTGGCACTGAAGGACCTTGAGAAGGGAGCATGATGTTGACAATCTGAGTGTAAACACACCGTGTCGAATCTTTTCCTGCAACTTGGAAGATTAAGAGACGCACAGAGGCAGATTCATGTCTGTAGATGACCTGGTGGCATGTAGGTCAATATGTAGGTGAGAACTGACCATTTCTGGACATTACCCAAGCGAGACCGAAACACCTGGAGAGATGGAGCTTGCTTTACTGTTAGAGGGAACTCATTCCAAATGGCTGGTGCTATTTCCAAGAAGGCCCGATCCCCCCTTGATCTCAGTTTAGAGCACCTTCCTAGGATCTTCCAGTAACTCTTGCCCAGCACAGCAAAGGGCCTGAGAGGGAACATGCCTGTGCACCATTGCAGCTAGATATGGTGGACATATAAATAAAACTCTAGTTTGTTCCTTGAATAACAAAACAACAATTAAAATGTATTATTTGTATTATGCTTGATCAACTTTTGATCAAAACTGTAAAAATACCATTATTTTCCACTTGAAAAAAAACATTTTTTATATGTATTTTTCATCAAAACAGTGCTACTTGCTTTTATTTTGATAGTGCGTTAGCTAACCAGCATTTTGACGGCTTGTGAAGAGTGAAACCTAAACACACAGCAAAATGTACAGGTTACAAACGATTAATTACAGTAACAGGCATACAGTTTTATTTGCATTGATAATATAAAACATTACAACTATTAGTTTTCTCCTCTTGCGTTTGGAGTATAACGGTTGCGACGTAATGCATTGTGGGATGCTTTGCTGTTTCAAGTCCGCAAAAGGATGCGTTGATGCATCCTTGATACAATGGGTGGAGCAAGAACACATCCGGGAACTTTGCGCAAACTTGCCATGATGCATACTTAGGATTGGCACAGTCCTTGGGCCATTACTGATGATGACGTTTCACACAAGTTCAGACAAGAATGCATATTGAGAAACTGCCAATATCCGGTGCGCATGAGAATAGGGCTTGGGATCACACATGATCACATGGAACATTCTGGGATGTGCGCAGACATGTTGATGACCTTACAAGTGTAAACTTGTTGACTGTAGTGTAGACATAATTGTAGACATGTTATGTGTGCATGTTGCGGTTGAAGGAAAGAAATTATGTATAAAAAGCGTACACCATCTTTAACGAATGAAAATACTCTGGAATCCAAGCGAGCCAACGAGATTTTGTTATCCTAGATACGTGGTCTTGTGATTATGCCTCCAAGCAGGAAAACGGTAAAAAATGTGTCTGTTTTCCACCATTATTCCCCTGGTGATCATGATTTGCACTCCACAGCACAGCAACTTTTTACCATAGTTGCGTAATTTAATTGGCCAAATGAATAATGGAATAATTTAGGCTGCAAGAACGAGAGTGAGTGCGCTGTTGTCAGTAGAAGCAAGCAACAAGTAAGGACTTGTAGGCTGCCAACAAGGCCTTAGTAGAAATGTGTTCTAGTTTGTTGTGCACCACATGGAAGGATATGCTAATTGATACAAAAAGCTGTTTGTCTTAACTTTAGGGTCCCACTGGCCAAACTCATGACCTGACATCTTAAAATGTAGTTAGTAGTAGTTAAAACTAACTTCCGACGAGGATGGGATTCGAACCCACGCGTGCAGAGCACAATGGATTAGCAGTCCATCGCCTTAACCACTCGGCCACCTCGTCTAATTGCGTTGTACTGTCGGGGTTTTCCAAACATTTTGTTACTTGAATATGTTGAAATCTTTTGGATATGTGTATGGGTTTGAGAACATGCATAATTTTAACATCCATTCGTTCATTCATTCGCTTGGATTGAAAACAACAATGAATTGTATCGTAAAATCTGCGGTAGCTACTTTGTGATTGGGTAAGCTTCACATCAATCACAAAAGAAACCTCGTGATTGGCTACAAGGCGGGTCTAGCTATGAATGAATACAGGAAGTGAGTAGCATGAGACTGCAATTTAGCGTTCGTCTGAGACGTCTACCGAGTCTGAGGTAACGAGTTAGTGAGTTAACTTTTATTTTTCTTTCCGGCCAAAATTATCCATTAATCAGAGGTTAACTGATCTTATTGATAATTGCTCTGGAGTTAAACGCTGGTCTGTGTTACGAAAGTAGTGTTTGCACTCCAATTACTGATGGTGCGATCCGTGGTTAGCATGCACGCTAGAAGCTAATGTCGTCATTATCGACTTTAACTAAGAATGTGGGATTGCTTTAGTCTTACTCTTTTTAGGTTGCTCAATTGAAAACGTAATTCAATCCGATTGTTTTGGAAACCGACGTCTCAGTTACCACTCGTAAAAGAAAGTGAAAAAAATGCAACATTTAGTTTTTTAATCTGTGCCACGGTTCACCAAGGATGCTACAGATGAGCAACTTTGATTTAAACAACTATTATGTGATAGGTCGATTACGTTTTAATTTTTCTTTAGGGTTGCTTAATTGTCAAAATGTTCTGATTTTTTTTATTATTGATTTATAATTCATAATTACAAATATGGGCTGTTTAGCTTAGTGGGAAGTATTTTAACACAAATGTGTTGCTGCAAATGCCAATAAAAAAGAAAATGTTCTCATTAAGCTCTTTGCAAATTTGAAATCTAAATTGCAACCATATTGCAAAATTTATCACATCAAAGGTTTGATTTATATAGCATTCTATTTATCTTATGCATCAGTTAATACACAAATAATGTATACTAAGTGTTGGTGTCTTTGTAAACCTTTTTATCTTTGTTTTTATTTTTAAAAACAAATATAACAGTATTGCTTGTTTTTCCTGAATCACACTCTTTATTTTGGATACTCTGATTTTTCTCACTATGTATTTTTTGCACTTTTGTCTTTCCAACAGTACCTTATCAGCATTATCTCACAGCCAAGATGGTGGATTCTCTGTACTACCTCCCAAATGATATTGGTGTCTCTGCACTTAACTGCAGCGAGGCCTTTCGTCTGCTTTCACCTCAAGAGAAGATGTATGCACATTATCTTTCCCGGGCCACTTGGTATGTTTCAAACCTCCTGGATTTAACAAATCATCACTGACATAAAGACGCCATCAGGGATTTTATGGGGCAGTGTCTCCAGCTGAGCTTAAGACTGAAATCATTGGAATTTAGTGAGGTGGAAACTAGTATTTGCATCTTCTTATATCTTTGTCAGGTATGGTGGCTTGATAGTGCTGCTGCAGACATCCCCAGAGTCTGCAGACATATTTGTCCTGCTGCAGAGAATCTTTAGGAAGCAGACACCAGAACAGCTGGAACTGGTTGCTAAAGCTGCTGGCCTTAGCTCTGATGAGTACCAGGTACACGTCATATATTCAGATGGTTTTTCATGTGGAGATCTAACTTTTTCCCCTTTCTAAATTACTATATTTTGGTGTGGTTTTTTTTTCCCCTTTTGTGGTCTTTAGGCCTTCCTGGTGTATGCAGCAGGTGTGTATGCAAACATGGGAAACTACAAGTCTTTTGGAGACACCAAATTCATTCCAAATCTAACAAAGGTAAGAATCAATCAAGTCTTGAGTTTGAATCCCGTTTACCTGCTTTGTAATAATTTTTTTTTTTTTACAGAATGGGGAATCCTCTTGAATGAAATGCTGCTTTTTAATTGAAGTACAAATTTAAAAGGTGTGTGTTTGTAATATTTTTATTCAGGACAAACTAGAGACTCTGGTGAAGGCCAGCCAGGCATTTCAGGAGAAACCCAGTGAGATGCAGGCTCTGTGGGACGGCTGCTCGTGTCTTATGTTCTCCCTAAAAGACAGACAGAAGCAGCTTGGCCTGGGTGACAAGGTGGCTTCTTGTATTCTTCTCTTCTTTTAGAAGTTTTAAAAACTATTGTTCTGTGTTCTGTTCTCACTAATGCACGCTGGGCTGTGAGAAGAACTGACTGAAGTATTTGTTTACTTCTCAGGGAATTACCACCTATTTCTCAGGGAACTGCTGTCTGGAGGATGCAGAGCTGGCTCAGAGGTTCTTAGACTCAAAAGTAGGCAAAGTCAACTCCAACTCTTTTTAATTTACAGCTTAGAATCCACTCAGGTGTCTCTTCCTCCCGCTGACTTTGCTGTGGTTTGTTTGTAGAAACTGTCTGCCTACAACACGCGTCTGTTCAAGAGGGACAATGAAGGGAAAACCTGTTTTGAAGTGCGTTTGGCTTCAGTTGAGCAGAAAGGTCAGAATGAAAGCAAAGCAACACTCGGTTGATGACAGAAATGGTCACATTTTATGAGTGGACCAGCCTTGGCGTGCTGCTCCAGAGAGATTGTGTCTTGTGACCTGGAACGCAGAAGGATTATTAACGGTGCTCGTAAAATGTGTTTGTGTAACTAACTGATGAACCTGTTTATCTAAAAATAAAATGTCTAGAACATTTGTTTGGCAGATTGTGCCCTAGATGGAGAGTGCACGTCGTGCTGTGGCAGCTTCAGCTTTGAGAACAAAGAGTTTGTCGTGAAGAGGGGAGATTACAGTCCCCTTTTGGAGAAAGTCTGTCATTTCCTCCAACAAGCACAGGTAAAGGTGGACTTTAAAAGATGACTTTCTGCTTGTCTTAAGCGGGTTTTAAGGAGCAAAGCAGGTTGGGCATTTTTTAAATGAAATCTGGAGATGCTGGAAATAAGATAAAAATAGTCACGGCTCACAGCTTTTATCATTCCTGCAACGGCTGGTGAACACGGAAAAAAGGAAAGATTTAAGCACATAAAATAAAGCCCAGTCTGTCAGACAGGAACCGTTCAATTCAGTTTATTTATATAGCACCAAATCGCAACAAGAGTCGCCCCAGGGCGCTTCACAAAGTGACCATTGAACCTACTCATCAGTGCATTGAGTTCAGTTTAATATTAGTGTCCTATCTAAGGAAACCCAGCAGATTGCATCGAGTCTCAGTGACTTTACAGCAATCCTTGTTCTAAGCAAGCATGTAGCGACAGTGGAGAGGAAAACTCCCTTTTGAAAAACCTGTTTTGAGACTTCGGTGATTTTCCTGCCTCTAAAATCTTGTTTTGTTAATGAATTCTCAACAGGCCTACGCTGCTAATGAGAACCAGAGGAAGATGCTGGAAGAGTACCAGCGCAGCTTCACCTTGGGTTCTATCGAAGCCCACAAAGAGGGCTCGCGTTACTGGATCAAAGACAAGGGACCGATTGTTGAGAGGTGACCTAAAGCACTTGAACACCTCAAGCCCTCACTCCGTTCTAATGCTCAGTGTGGTAAACTGAAGGGATTTTACATAAATTGTGACAAAAATCTTAGAAATGCAGCAATAAGTCACCTTAGCTTTTGTTCATTTTGACTTCACAGGTCTCCTTTTTCTCTTCGCTTCCTTGTGTCAGCTCACCTTTGCCCTTGTCCACTTGCTTTATTAACCATTTACTTTCCTTTTCTTCAGTCTTGTTACTCATCTCTCTTTTTCTCAGTTATATAGGTTTCATTGAGAGCTACAGAGACCCGTTTGGCTCCAGAGGAGAGTTCGAAGGTAACTGCCATGTTTAGCAGGTCTAGTAATGCTGCTGATTAGGATTCAAGTTCAAATCCCGTGGCTTCCTTGAATTTTTTTCTTTCTCTTTTCGTTGTTTGTTGCTGCGTGGGTTTCCTGTTCTGAGTTATTACTTAAGCAGGAGTTTGCAACATGCAATATAAAATCCAGGATCTGTTGGAGATTTTCTCTATTGCAGGATGTTATTAACTGGTTGTGTGACTGCAAAAGGAATGAAATGTGAAAACTAATATTTTTTTCTCTCAAGGCCTGGCAAGAACTGTCCTAAAATAGAAATGAGCTGTTGTCATGGCCACAGCATCTAAAAATGAAGGTTAAACTTCACGTTCCCCAGATCTGTCGGAGTCACTCGGTTAAGAAGTCCTCCAGCCCCCGGGCCTTTGGTAGAGCTCAGTAAAACAACTCAGACTGGTCATTTATTTCCATGAAGCACAGTTAATTCTTGTTTTGTGTTATTTTTTGTAACCACCAAGTATAAAAACTGCAGTTTTTAACGTTTCCATCCATTAGCTTGGCCTTGATTAGCTCTTCGGTGCGTGACTAAAAGAACGTGCTGGGAGAGCACAAGTGAGCGGTGTGTGTGTGTGTGTGTGTGGGGACGAGGGAAAAGGGGCGTTTAAGGGTGGACTGTTTAATGGAAGTTGTGGTGTTTTAGGTTTTGTCGCGGTCGTGAACAAGGCGATGAGCGAGCGTTTCGCTAAGCTGGTGGGTTCGGCTGAAGTCCTGCTTCCTGAGCTGCCTTGGCCCCGAGAGTTTGAGAAGGACACGTTCCTGAAACCAGACTTCACCTCGCTGGACGTCCTCACCTTCGCCGGGAGTGGAATACCAGCTGGCATCAACATCCCAAACTGTAACTCATATCAAGCACACGCTCCTCAGCCTCTCCCTTTGGTATTGGTTTTTGTTTGTATTTAAGTTTCTGGGGAATGTTTTAACTTTACAGACGATGACATCAGACAGTCTGAGGGCTTTAAAAACGTGTCTCTTGGCAACGTGGTTGCCGTATCTTACGCTACAAAGAAAGAAAAACTCACTTTCCTTGAGGAGAAGGACAAGGTAAAGAGCACCGCCTCCTGATGGTCTTCCACAGCAGTTTGATTGTTTGTGGTTTTGACGTTATCGTTGTTCTACCTCCAGGATTTGTTCATTAAATGGAAGGGTCCATCCTTTGAGGTACAGGTTGGACTTCATGAGCTGCTGGGTCACGGCAGCGGGAAGCTGTTTGTCCAGGTCAGTCCTACTGTACACCAACATCCGCTCCGTTTCATCCTCAGGTGTTCTAATGCATCTTTGTTTTCTCCTCCCCAGGACGACGACGGCAAGTTCAACTTTGATCGGAGTGAGGTGCTCAACCCAGAGACCGGGGAACCGGTGGGTTTGTGTTTGAGCGTGTCTGACTTTGAGACGGGACTTTTATTGACTTCATGCCTTCGCTGTCCAGGTGTCCAGCTGGTATCGGGGAAGCGAGACGTGGGACAGTAAGTTCTCCACCATCGCTTCTTCTTATGAGGAATGCCGCGCGGAATGCGTTGGTCTCTATCTGTGCCTCAACAAACAAGTGCTGAGGTGAGGTTTAGAGTCCTGCGTCACGGATTTGATGTCAGTTTGCTTTAAATATTTAATTTTAAAGAGTTTACTTTGTGTGTCCAGCATCTTTGGTCATGAAGACCAGGATGCAGAGGATGTGGTGTATATGAACTGGCTGAGCATGGTCAGAGCTGGACTGTTGGGCCTGGAGTTCTACACACCTGAGAGCAAGGGCTGGAGACAGGTGATCCGTCTATGAGAGCCTGAGATGCGTCGTGTTTATGAGCAGTTTTCTCTCAGATTATTAAAGAGCAAGTCACCCCCAAATAAACTTTTTTTTGCTGATAAACTAAATAAACGAGTGTCTAATCGTGCTGCAGACACGTGTAGGCAATAATTTGGTACTTCAGTGCATCTTAGTTAAAATTTAAATATTCTGCCTAAAACTGAAAGTGTTGTGCCGTTGTCAGGTAAAAACTCTGCACTGTATTTTAATTTAAATCTGCCACCACTATTGGCTAAGAGGTATGCTATGATGTAAACTGGTACATTATGATGTCACACTGCTGTCGTGAGCCTGAGTGTGTGTATTTGTTAGCAGCTCCGCCCTCTCGGTCTGCCAGGCAACAGCATTTGTTGCATTTTTCAAACATGAAGTGGGAGTGGAGTTAGACTCTGGTAGGGGTTGACTTGCTCTTTAAGCATGTCTCCTATGCTATGACCTCACATGATTAGACATGTCCGGTTTTTAAAACGGCTAGCTAGGAGGACACGACGGACGGAGGACAAGTCCGGAGAAACGAGTTTCTCTTTTTGTCTCAGGCTCACATGCAGGCCCGTTTCGTCATCCTGCGCGTTCTGCTGGAAGCCGGAGAGGGTCTGGTGGGTCTAGAGGAAGTGACTGGCGAGGACGGCAAGCCTGATGCACGGATCACGCTGGACCGCAGCAAGATCCATACAGTGGGCAAGAGCGCCATCCACAGGTTCCTTTGTAAACTGCAGGTATGTCTGAGTTTTATTGCACCCTGTGAAGAAGGTTATCACGGATCAACACAGTCGGCATGTGAGGATGTGGCCCCGCCGGTTTGTCTGCAGGTTTTAAAGTCAACAGCTGACGTGGAAGGAGGCAGGGCCTTTTATCAGCGTTACTCCGACGTCAGCGACGAGGGTGCTCACAACTTCCTGAGACTGCGGGGCATCGTGCTGCTGAGGAAGGAGGATCGCAAAATGTTCGTTCAGGCCAACACCAGGGTCAACGGTGAGTGGCTCCATGTGATCGGCTCAAATATGAGGAGGATCAGAACCAGGGTCTCCAGTGTCCAGACAAAATGAGCCTGAAGGAGAAATGACTTTTGTGTCGTGTGGTTTCTAGGAGACAATGTGGAGCTGGTGGAGTACGAGGGCAGCGCGGCCGGTCTGATTCGCTCCTTCACCGAGCGCTTCCCCGAGGACGCGGAGCAGGTGGAGGCCGACCTCTTGGCTCTGAACACCAGAGACGCCCCTTGCTGGTGCTGATGACTAAACTGGTGCAAAACTTTGTAAAACTCATTTATTTTTTACTTACTTATTAAACAAGACCTAAGAGAAGGTGATAAAACTAAAGTTCTGCTGATAAAAAAGCATTAAGTGTGGAAAAGATGATTACATTTAGAGTCTGAGGTCACTGGATCGGCCACAAGCTACATCTGTGATCACACAATTCATACTGGGAACTTTGTTAAAAACGTAATTCTTGGACAAAAATGTTAAAACACCTGAAATCTCTATGTAGATTTATCAAATGAAACACCGGATGGTTGGACTGATGGTTTCACGGGGTCTGACTGTTAACTGGTTATAAAAAAGCAACAGAAAGAAAAAATAATCCACTTTCTTCTCCAGGTCTGATGTGAATTAGCTGAGTAAATCTTTTTCTGTGTAAACCCTTTGTATGAAATGTGACGATAAAGCAACCCAAATAAAATGTTTGATTAAACTTTTTTTTTTTTACTGAAATCATAAAATATTGTAAATTTATTCAAAGCTTCACAGACATCCGAATTTAGACTGGGTTTATTTATTCAATAGTGCTGAAAGGCAGAGAGAGTTGCTTAAATTAAAGCAGCAAGTCGGATCCATATATGTAAATAAAGACTTTGCATCATTTTAAATATTTGAAAATGGCTTTAAACGTGATGAAATTCAGTCTGTTCGTCCGAGGCTTGTTTATCCGGTAAAAGAGGCGGAGCTTCTGATTCAACGTCGCTGTTCGAACTGCAGGTCTGAATTTCCTCCAGAGACGAAGCGCTCCTCAGGAAATCCACGCTTTCCTCCTCGCTCAGGTCCCCGATGTGATCTTCATCTCCATCCGTGTGCGTTTCCTCCTCGGCTCCTGGGGGAGTGGTCTGTGCACAGCAGACCTGCTCTGTCAGGGGGGAGGACGATGGAGAGGGAGAAGGGGAGATGCTGGGAGAGTAGTTTGGTGAGAGGTACGCAGGAATTCTAGGGGATAAAGATGGGGACTGATAGGGTGAGAGAGAGGGGGAGGCAGAGGGAGACTCGTGAGGAGAGTGGGATGGATAAACTTTGGGGAAAAGAGGAGCTGCCCTGGGAGAAACCACTGGTGACTGGTAGGGGGAGAGAGAGTGGGAGTTGATAGGCTGAGGCGTCATGTATTCATCTAAAACAGGCTCTGTTATCACTGGGAGCTGAGATGAGGTGTCATCCTTGATTTGACTCCTCTGCATCTCCTCCTGACTTTCCAACTGAGTCTCCAGCGAGGCAGGAGGAGCTGATTGTGTCTCCTGTGTCTGTGTGGGAGGCTGTGAGTCATCAGCTGTTTGATCTGCTTTAACCCCACAGGGCCCCTGTTTTGGCCCTTTACATTTCCTTTTGGTTTTTGCAATTAGAGGCGGAGGAGGTGGCGGCGCGAGCGGAGGTGAGAGCAGCGTTGAAGTCTCCGTGGAAACCCGAACCTTGAGGCTGTGTTTGAACATGCGCCGCCTGGACAAGCTCGTCTGAGTCTGCAGGAAAAGCGGGTTGATGAAACAGAGCGCACCCTGACCCGAGCCGCAGTCCAGCTCTCTGGGGCTGCGTGTCCTGATCGGGCAAAACTCGTGGAATAAAGTGGGCCTTGGACCGGTTTCTTTGCTGATAGAGTTTGATTCTGGCACTTCCGTAGGCTGGCTTTCTGAATCTGGATGAGGAGCTGACTCCAGCGGCGTGTCGGGTGGTGCTGACGCTGCAGCATCTGGCTTCTTCTCCTCTATCCTGGGTTTCGGTACCACGCGTGGCCCACGGACATTTAGATGGGAACTCCAGAACTCTTTAAAACCAGACATTATAACACTTTAAATTCCAGCAGACATGCAAAGTCTCAGGTGGTTAACATTCGGATTTCAAAATCAGCTGTGTAGAAACAATTCACCCACCAACTCCCATGTGGGAGATGGACTCCAGCTCTTTGTGTGAGGATGCCTTAGCGATGGCTTCAGGGAGCTCCAGCGGGGAGGTTAACACGTCTCTGATACGCAAACAACATAATAATCAAAAAATACGGAGAGAATAAACAAAAAAGAATAGTGAGATTTACATTACCTGCTGACACAGTAGAAAGAAAGAAGCCTCGGAAGATCTGGGAAGCTGATGGCAGAAGTCTCCAGAGAGAGAGCTAGTGGTGAAGGAAATCCAAAATATTGTTAAAACTAGAAAAAATGCAGCAACAGTAAAGCTCAAGACCACATATTAATGAGGGGAATGGCGTACAAACGCCATGAAAACAACCTAGTTGGAAGAAAATGAGACGATTCTTATCCTTTTTAATTTGCTTCCATACTTAAAAACTGGACAAACCTATAACAACAAAAATCACAGAGAAAGAAAACTGATGCACAAAAAGACAAAGATCACAATAAATCATTATCATAAATCATTATTGAGCCAGGAACCACAAGTGGTGTAATAACCTGGCTGTTATTTATGATTCAAGGTTACGAGTTCTTACTGGACTGTTCCTCCCTGATGCCGAACTGCTGAACGAAGGATGGAACGCTGTCGTCCGCCAAACGGACACAGAGCACATTTCTTTTGGATGTGCGGGACTTCCTCACCAGGAATGTCTGCAGGACCACAAGGCATCAAATTACCACAAGAGGTGTCATGCAAATGTGCATGCTCCTAGTGTTTAGTGTACTGACCCCAGGAGGCTCTCTCTGCAGGATGTGCAGTGCGGTGGCAGGGTTGATTGACAGCTGAAGCCACACAGGGACTGTGAGCAGGAGACGATCTAGCACACTGATGCTTCTCAGAGAGCCACGTCCCCTTTGACACAGCAGCTTGCGCTGAGATGGCTGGATGGGCTCTGGGAAATCATACAGAGGCTCTTCCTGCTGGGACATCTGAACACACACACACACATCAATGAAAGCTTGGAATTATCATGCAGACCTTTATTAGGTGGCTGTGTCTCGATCAGGAAGATGGGTGAGACTGCTTCTACACCTTCAGACGCACACCTGCATAGCAAATCTGCCTGGATTTGGACAGCAAGTCCAGACTTGGTGAATGGCAGCAGCTCAGACAGAGCTTAAATGAAACAACCACCTTTACGAGGCAAAACTGTCAATTAAAGACAGAAACACCCTGTTGCCACATCACAACGTTATGTTAGAATAGAAATACAGATCAAAACTGTTTCTGTTATCATTTTTATTCTAGTTATACAAACTTAAGCTGACGGCAGCCCACGTCGTTCTGGGTGCGCAACACGCATTCCTAAAACCCGAACATCTCCCAAATCTTATGCCATTAGTTATTCTTGTTCATTCAGTAGTGATTTGGCCATTAGTGATTAATCATTCAGTGTTCCCTTACCTTTTCCTCACAGTTTCTAATTTCTTTTCCCTCCGGGTTTACTTTGCGGTGGCATGCTCCCTGTTCTAACTCAACTTTACAGTCGAGAAAAGTTCTCTTTACACTCTGGTGTTATATCGGCATGTGTTCCCCGTTAAGATGTGCTCACCGTCAACTCCGCTCCGCCCAGAAGGTGGAAAAAGCGCGTGTCCGCTGTAAACTCGCGCTCGCGCCCCACAAAACAGGCTAAATGAAAAGTTTACATTAGATCGTTTTGGTTAACCAAAATGATCCAAAGAGTCAAAAACTCGAAACACGAAAAAAGAGAGATGCCTTTACGAAAAGACAATATTTGAGCTTTCACAGCTTCCGTACGCAATTTACAGCTTGGGCAGACTGGCTCCTCCCTCAACCACCTGATCACACCATCAGATCACACCTTGAAATACCGTCACATGCTAAACAGGATACTCAGGAGTCTGAAGCAAAATCACAATAACTAGAAAAATTAGAACTAATGGAACTTTACACCTCTGAAAGCCAACAAAAATATTAAAGGAGACTAAAACCACAATGACTGAAACTAATATAATGGCGATGTGTGATTTAAAAAAAAAGGTTTGCGGTGAGACACAGCGCCCTCTATCTTTCACAACTGAAAGCGACGGTGTTGTGTCGAAAATAGCACCCCTGTCACGAAAAGCAACTTTAAACGCAGTTTTCTCCCCCTTTAAAACCAAAAACGTGATATAATATGAACGAAATCGACAAATTAATACAATATTTTATTTTTCTATTGAATAATTTATTTAGGTAAGCTTAAGAACCAGCAAGCCAGACTGTCGGCTCTTATTTAAAGTAGTTACAGCCACATTATCATACAATCCACAATATTTTCCAAAGTCTCCAAACTATTTCCAAGTTGTTTTATCAGAGGACCCACAGTAACATTTGTTTTCCATGGGCTAATCATTCAGGCAGCGAAGCCGACAAAGTTCCTTTTTCAGTACGGCGGCATAATTCGGCACAACACCGGAGCCGGATGTGAGGTTTGAAATACATTAGCTTCAGGACCGCGTTAGGTAATCATTCGGTGTACCATGTTGGGTTTATTAATCTTTTTACAGTTTATAGGGCAATTCTGAAAACATGTTGGTATTTGCGAGCATACCCTATAATGTCTGCTAGTAGTCAAAAAGCTTTAACATTGTCTGTGCGATTGTAGCCACCGTTAAAACCGCCAGCGCTGGCCTTTTTTGCTAGCTTTGCTAATGCTACACATTGTTAACGTTTAGAAAGACGGCCAGTGTGAGTGTTCAATACATTTTAGGTGTTTTAAGACACCATATCGTTTATAATATTCATGGCACTGTTTTAATTGTCTTTCTGCAGGGGTTAGTTGAGGTTGCAGCCTCGCAGGCCGAACTTGTTCCGTTTTCACCGCGAAAAGTATGTTAGCATGGTAACACACACGTCATGTACATAGCTCGTACATCAACGCCATTTGTAAAACCAAAAAGCAAGCTAATGATACTGATTTTTGGCCGGCAATTGTTACGTAATATTTTTTTAAATTAAAAGCAAACCCAAAGTTGTTATGATATTCGCACTGCTGGGCATTTCTGTAGAGGCCGGCTAACCTAACAGCCTGCCAGCTTTACTTTTGAGTGTCGAATGAAACATGTTAGCTGAATTGTGTTTTGTTTCCCCATCAGATGTCTGGTTGCTACAGAGATGAGTGATAACGTGAAGTTGTTTGTGGGGAACCTCCCCTTAGATGCCACCCAGGAGGAGCTGACTAAACTTTTTTCTCCTTATGGAGAAATCAACACCTGTTCCTTACTCAGACAGTATGCCTTCGTTACCTTGAAGGGAGAAGGAGCAGCAGACAGGTAAACAAACGACTGTTGTTTTGTGGTGATAAATAAATTGATGCGTATAAAGCTTAGAGGTTTAGACATTGGCGGACGTCTTTTGCATTTTTAGTTAGGGCCAAAGGAGAAATTGACAGAAAATTACATTTTTTTTTCTAGAGTAATAATTTACACACCTACATTTGTAATACAAGTCAACTGTAACAATACCAATGCATATATAACTTGGTGTTTTATTTTAATTGAGGGCAAATTACACAGTGTAGAGTGGTGTAACATTTATATAGTCTGATTATTTGAGTTTTACATGTAATTAAAAGAAACAAAACCACAGCTTAGTAATGTTTAATCGTCAGCTCCTTATCTCGTGATATTGCAACTAACTTTTTTTGCTGCAGTTTAATTCGCGAAATACTTTTTTATAAATCAAACCCAACCTTTTGGTCTGTTGCCATTAATCAAGACTAATTGTTTGTCAGTAAGGTAATGCATAGTTTTATCTTTGGTATAATTTTATTGTTTTTATTTGCTGCTATTTTCCTTGTTGGCTGTTAAATGTTCAAATGTCTTAGGCTAGTGTGTGTGTGTGTGTGTTTTAAATTGCATATTTTTTCTATCTGTTGCAGATGTAATTATTGTCTTAAAACTGTAGATTTGTGTTAGGGGTGGATGTTATGGGAAAAAAATAATATCACAATTTTGTTTTGCACAATCACAATTTCTTCTATTTCTACAATTTAGACATTTTGGAAGTTATCAGTAAAACACAAATTTAAAAGGATGCCTCTTGACAGAAAATAGGATAAAAGATTCAGAATTCTTAAAAAAAACTTAAAATTCCAATATCTATCTATCTATCTATCTATCTATCTATCTATCTATCTATCTATCTATCTATCTATCTATCTATCTATCATCGTTTAGAGTTGGATACGTTTATTTATTATATATTTATAATTTAAATTCTATCTAGAGGTTGCTCATATCCTATCATCCACAATAATTATCTCTTGTCTAGAGAAAATATCTATCATGTTATGCTAAACTCATGATGCATCCTTTAGTTAGGATTACACTCCTGTCATTTGTGCCTCACTGCTCTCCATAGATTTTCCTGACTACACAGGGGAGGTATTTGGCATAAACAAAACGCATTCCAGTTGTCCTCGGAACTAGGAATTTCCAAGCAGGAAATGACGTAATGGGCTCGTTTTGCGTTCCAGCTTCCAGTTCTGAAAAAATGGATGCCACCAGAGTTTCCACATCTAAATAATAGTGACACATACACACACTCTTCGACAGTTGCCACATGCAACCAGAAAAACATTACAAATCAAATGTAAAAATATAAACGCCAGGAAACGTAAAAACCATAGACACTGGTCAATTTTGGCAGCAATGTTAAATTTTTCTACAACATAACTATTAATAATGCATTGAACTTATATAGCGCTTTTCTAGACACCCAAAGATGCTTCCCACACACTCACATTCACACACTGCTAGTGATGGTAAGTTACTTGTAGCCACAGCCGCCCTGGGGAGGTCTGACAGAGGCGAGGCTGCCATTTGGCGCCGTCGGCCCCTCTGACCACCACTAACACAGGCAAGTTGGGTGAAGTGTCTTGCCCAAGGACACAACAGCAGAATACCCCTGGCGGAAGCTGGAATCGAACCCATGACCCTCCGATCATGAGGCAACCCGCTCTACCACCTGAGCTACTGCTGCTTGATAACAATAGACTACTTTACCGGTACTGGTAGATAGCAAAAAGAAAGGAAACAGAACATATAAATGAGAAAAAATAAAGACATAACTACTTCCTGGAAGCACTGGACGCAGCCATCTTGAAATTTGGGATCTCGAGGTCATCTGAAGCCTATGAGCTCGCAGCTCTGAATTCCAAGTTCAATGCATAATTTCCAGCTAACTTATCTCGTGTGAATGTGTGTGTGAATGACTGATTGTGTTGTAAAGCGCCTTGGGTGGTCCCATGACTCTAGAAGGCGCTATATCAAATACAGGACATTTACCATTTACCTCGAGAAAACGAGTTCCGAGGACAACTGGAACGCACCAGCTCCGGTCGGCAGCCACACTGAAAAAACTGTCTAAAACACAAACGTCCCCAAATAATAATGGCCACAAAGCCAAATGCAAAGTTTAGAGCAGAACATTGACCCAGAGGTTCTCTGATCCAGCAGACACATGAGGATACATGTTGCTGGCTAGTGGCTATTGCTAGCGGCTAGCCGCTAAAACAAGAATGGTCAGTGTGCTTCTTCAAAGATTCATAATCGTTTATGTCTGCATCTTAATACAGCGATTATTAGATTATTTTATTCTGCCTTACCGAGCACCCAGCTAAAGGAACCAACACACTGACTTAAACTTGCTCTGACTGGTTCATCAGTGTGTGTGTCATGCCAAAAGAAGCAGACCAGCAAATGGCGTGACTCGGCTGAGATAAAATGTGTGCCCGTACAGGCGTCCAGAATAATGGCACAGGTGATAAAATGTAAATAGGCGGTTCTACGATCTCTGAGCTTTGGAAAGTCGTCATCACTTTATAATCCTTAACAATCTTATATCGTTGGATCACACTGCCCTAATTTATTTGTTGGTTCTGTCTTACAGAGCCATACGGCACCTAGATGGCAAGGAGTACAGAGGGAGACCGTTGGTGGTTGAAGAGTCACGTGCACGCCCACCCAACTCCATTAAAGTGTTTGTAGGAAATATTAGTGCCACATGTTCAGCAGATGACTTACATGGATTGTTCTCAACTTTTGGAAGAGTTTTAGATTGTGATAAAGTCAAAGGTAAAGCACAGACCTTTAGGTCTGAACAACTAGCGTTTTAAGTTTTGTCGTTGTTGAGGAAACGGCACTGAGAACATCAAAATGAGAAGTCTTCCTTATGTGATCTACAGCCAGGTTATGCTCAAATGTTGGCTATGCATTTGTGCATATGGAGAGGAGAGAGGAGGCCCTGGCAGCCATTGATGCGCTCAATGGGACCATGTTTAAGGGGCGCCAGTTGGCTGTGGAGCTTTCCAAAGCTCAACCTTTGGTCAATCAGCTTTCATCTGCGGGAGGATCAAACGCTGCAGGTGCTGTAACTAAACAAAGTCCACTAGTGTCTTCCATTATAATAAAATGCAACCACATAATGTGTATTTTGTGTGTGTGTGTGTGTGTAGGTGGCAGAGAGGGTCTTCTTCCTCGACCGGCTTCATCTCTGGAACATCACCAGAGTCAGGCAGCTGTACTAGCTGCTGCAGCGGCTGCAGCTGCTGGTCTACCTATCCAAGTTAGTCTTTTTTTCCTGAAGTTCTATTGAAGTTAATCTATGAAAGCTAAGACGATGTGGGATGAAACTCAACATCCACTAAAACAGCATCTGATTAAGATACTTTGGTTTAGATACTTTATTTTTTCCCCCCCAGGTTCAGCAAAGTGTCCATAACTCATTTTATAACACCACGACCTTTGACCCCACCTATGCTGCTCTGAAGGGCATCACAAGTGCTAAAGGTGCAGATGGGGTCATATATGGTGCGCTTGCCAGTCAAGTATATGGTTCTGTAGCTGACCAGGTGTACCAAGAGCTTTCTAATCATAATCCACCTGCTGCACCTGAGGAGCAAGATCACTCTGTTGCACCAGATCCCACTACACTTTTTGAGGCTGCAAGAGCCAAGTTCTTTCAGGAAGGACAGAAGGTTTGTTTACTTTTGCTCTAAAATTTCATGTAACATTGTTAAACTTTTACTTTGATCATTGCATACTTCCTATTGCAGGTTCTGGCCGAGCAGCAGGCAGGAAAAAAGGCGGCTCCCACAGATACCGAACGAGACCGCAGCCCGATTAGAGGAAATCGAGTCCCTCTCCTCCCCGATCCTGTTCCAAGTTCCTTTGCTCAAATGCGATCGAAGCGAGGTCCACTGCTGCCAACGCCACCCGGGGTAGCTCCTGAAGATGCCCCTGTTGCCACCACAACTGCTGAGGGGTCAGATCCAGTTGCAAGGTACACATAGCACATTTTATTTACTCAAGTCAGAAGAGAAAACAATATTTGATGCCTTCTCCTTTCATCACATAATCATTAGTATCCAATTTGTGTCATTTTTAAACCTTTTTGCATTTATTCATTTTTTATTTTTTTGCTTCTTTCCTACACACTGTTCCACTGTAAAATGCACTCTAGGTCTTACACAGAATACTACCAACAAATGCATCAGTACCAGCAATATCAACAGTACCAGGAACAGTATCAGTACCTTCAGTATGCCTACACCAATCCTCCACCTCCTCCTCCGCCTCCATCGGCTACAACACAAGATGCCGCCACGATCCCTGCACCCCCAGGGACGTACACAGCCCCTCCAACATATGCCGCTTCAGACGTCTATGCAGCCCCAGGAACATACGACACTTCGGGAAGCTACGGCGCCTCAACGGGGAACTACAACACTTCATCTGGGAGTTACGATACCTCTTCAGGAAGCTACGACACCTCCGCAGGATATGACACATCTGCAGGCTACGGTGCTTCAGGAGCATATGGTTCATCTGGAGCTTACCAAGCAGCAGGAAGCTACTCCACATCTACACCGTATGAGCAGACACCCGCACACGGGCACTCCATGCCCCAGCGTCATGATTACCCTTACCACACGCCAGAGCCCCCTTATCGATAGTCAGTCCCACCCCTACACACTCCTCACGCCGCTGATGTGTGTACTTACGCATTTGTATTTACATGAGGGACGGAATAGAGGGGAAATTCAAAGAGTTTGCAAGGTTATAAATGAAATGTGCTTTAATTCCCTTTCTCTTACTTGGCTAAATAGTTTGTCATCTTTGAGTTAGCGAGGTCTTCAGACGGGCGGAGATATCGGGGAAGCCTAAATTGAATCATCGTTAAACATTGAAGTTTCTGCTGGTTGTTGTGGTGACTCGGCTGGTCTCTTGTTGAAGGTTCACACTCTTAACATTGCCTGGAGCAGGGTTAAGCTTAGAGGCCAAGGGGAAGTTAGCGACCTTTTCAGTTTAAGTCTGGATCAAGGCCTTTTATATACTCTGCATACTTTTGCATATTGAAATTTGCAGTTCCAATCTTCTAATTCCACCAATTACATTTCACTTTACTTTCACTGCGTCGTAGAGGCTACATAGTCGGACTGAAGAGCCGCTCTTACGATTTCTTTAGTAGTCAGGATGAATGCAAAACGGTTAATTTGTAAACTGCACAGAAATAATCTCCAAAGCATTTATTGTAGTATTTATGATACAGAGTGCCCTTTGAGCTTGATGGAGCAGCTCTACCCAATACCTTTGTGGAGTATGTATTAGGCCTTAAACGGATCTAGCTGCAGATCCACGCTCTTTTGAAACTTTAAGATGGAGATTGCTAAATGTAAAACATACTTAGGAGAGAACAAAAGGTGAAAATAAGTAAGTTGTGAACAAATGAAACTCCGGATATTACAGTTGACCAGGCAGCGTAATGTCACTTGTCTTCAGAATTGTGAACCAATCAGGCAGTTTGTTTAGAAAACAATAGCTTAACTTTGTCTCTCGCTCCACTGACGCTCTGATGTGACATGAGATGACTTGTTGGAGTTCTGGGTGTTGTATGGCAATCAGGTGGAGCCATTTGATCCTGTAGCACTGAGGGATGTTCTCAGTGCGAGTAACAGATCGGTTTGGACAAGCAGTTCACTTATTTTGAATGAGTTTTAACTATAAAGTCCGATAGGAAAAGCAGATAAAGCTCCAACTTTCAGTGTGGCTTTGATATTCTAGTATAAATGTAGATCAGATTGATTGTCCCTTGGAGTAATTAATGTATTTTTTTTATTCTTTGCTCGGCCCAGACTTTGCATTTAGCTTTTTCTGTGTTTACAGAATCTGGTTGTTGCTAAACTGAATCCTTTGGTATTTTTGAAACATTCAGTTTGTTTGTGTTAAACTTTTAACAGAACTATATAAAAAAAGCAAGTTCGTTGCTTTCACGTCGTAGTTACAGACAATACTCAGTTCTCTGCCTTTTTGTGTACATATGATTCTACAGAGGCAAGTTTTACATCAGCAAATACGTGGTCAATTTTTGTAGGATTTGAGCATTATAAATACTTAAAATTCCAATTTATTTTTTTGAACTTTCTATCGTTAACATTCTTACATGTTTTTTGTTCCTCGCCTATTTTCATGGGACGCATTCATGATTTAGGGGAAACAACGACCCATATTTCATACAGGAAAAAAAATATTGGTACTCGTGTAAATACTTTAAATCTAAGAGTAATAGCTCGCCAAATTTGGAAAGAATTGTGACTTAGTAAGATAATTAAACTTCAAGGAGAGTTGCGGACCTGGTGTAGGGCAGTTCTTAAGAATTAAACAACCTTTGGGTGGAGGGGCAGTGTGGTAACATCTGCCACCATCTTTGTGTGATCTTAATGTCATAGAGGCTGTTGACAGGATGGAGTGTGTTGAGTCGATCTGTGTGGCAGATGGCATAAAGATTGTTTTTGGCATTCGTGGGGAGGATTCATTTATTTTGTCTGGTAGCAGTCAGACGAACCAACGACGTGTCCAAAGCAAACCTCATTTTGACACATGGGTATGTTTTGTTCTGGATTTAGATCACATAGCAGTTAAACTCAAAACATAGGTCAAGGTGTGTTTTACCTGGTTAATAGTTTTTTATGCATATCTGATTCCGTCTGACTTCTTTGAAGTAGAGTAGTTGTGCAGATCTGATCGTACCACACACGACTCATCCTGATTCCCATTGGGCACATGAGCTACTAGAGTAAGGATTAAATGACACATTGCGACCCTACATTTCCACATTGTTCCACCTTCTCCATGTGAACTGTTAGTTGCATGCCTTGTTGTTGCTGCTGCTCCAGCCACCTTCTTCCTCTTGCTGATTATTGCAGCTAGAGTGGGAGGGAGCCAAACTGAGCCCTTGCCCTGGACGTACGCCGCACGCAGCTGTAGAGTGGGATGGGGGAAACAGCAGCGTTAGGCCTGAAACTGCTGTGGACGATGGGGTGTCTCCCCACTAAGGTAAACACTCAGACCACACACTCCTGCCCCTCCCTGAAACATGCGTACACACTCTCTAGCACACATTCACAGTACAGGAACACTTAACGTCCATACCTATTGTTCCTTATCTATTTTTTGGGATTTTCATTTGTCAGGATTTCAGATTTCTGGAAATTCCTGTCTTTTGTGTTGGGAGATCCAGTTCTTCCTGCTTTTGGTTTTTCCTGCTCACTTTCCTCCAAGCATACTCTGCTCATACATTCCTGCTCCCAGCTTGACAAGTTACACACAATCCTTTGAGGACCCCTATACCAGCTTCAGTCTAAATCTCATCACTTTCAGCAGCTCCGTTCTTAGCCCAACCCGTCACTTAAAGAGTACCAGACAATCACAGCCAAGAGCCAGATTGGGACATTCAGGTGGGATGGTTGGTTCTTTTAATTAAACCAGCCCTGCCGCCGCTTTGGGGATAGGTGCCTTGATGAGGAGCGCACTGGTAGACCCTCGATTTCAGAGTTGAATAATCTGGCTCAGGATCAGTTGCTGGTTCGACGCAACAAACACAATACTACTCTGCTGTTTTAAAGTACATTTTGTCATTTTTGTTCTTTGAATTGTTTATCAATAAAAAAAATTCCAACAGAACTACTTCTTTGTGTGAATATTTGAAAAGGTTGCTTCTATAATTCTAAAGCAGTAGTGGCAGCCACCAAATAATGCAAAGCTCAACATCTGATGATGTTTTTTATTCAATTTTCTTCCAAAAAACATTTAATTTATGCCTCTTTAGAATAAAAAACAAAATTTGATAACAATGCAAACCTGATGATAAAGTTTAATGTAAAAAAATAGCTAAAACAATTGAAGGTATGATTTGTTACTCCCTGCAAAGAAGAGTTTGTCGTGAAATACCGCTGAGTTTCATGCCCTCAGCAACACTTAACGTTTGCAGATTGACACTAGAGGACTGCATGAGTGTTTCAAATGTATACACAAATGGTATGCTGAGGTAATAACATGAGCAGGTTTATGGAAATTGACCGTTTAAAATTTGGACAATAAGCCAATAGTTGACATGGAAATGTGGCAGTTGATGAAAATGCAAAACTTATTTCCAGCAGCCAGAGCAGTCTGAAGTGGCATTGGTGGGGAGTGCAACAATTATTATTTTTTTTTTTCCATTTTAACAGATTTCATTTTGTGTAAAAGGAGTAATTAGTTTTTGTTAATACTTTATTACCAACCCACTCTTTCAATTAGCCTTTTTTTCCTTTGTATTAAATTTGCTCTTAAACTTCACTCTGCCTTAAAAGTTTGCTTTTGGAAATTACAAGTTTTCTATGGAATTAGCAAGTTGGATAAGCTTGTCCTAGGCTGCATTTGGGATTGTAATACTCCAAAATACTATCACGTTATGTTTTTTCACATTTATTCACGTTGAAGAGTAGACTGAGTAAAATGTGTTCCAGAAAAAACGCAAACATTTATGGACCAGAGTGTGCTAAGGCCTGTTTATTTTTGCCTAGCTACAGTTACGCGAGATAAGAAATTCTTCCTCCTTACAGTGTTTCTGACTTGCATTACCCTAATTTTTAAAAGCAGAGTTTGATCTTCTAGCAAATTGAACTTGGTTTCAGAAATCCAATCAGCACTTCAGAGGTTGACAGGAAACTGGTAAGTAGTTAATGGTTAGACGGGACAACAAGGCAAACACTTTAAAAACACCACACAGTGTAAACCAGACCAAACACGTGTTACAGTACTCTGAATGAAAACCTCTCATGATGCTGCTGGCTGTATATCAAAAAGGAGCAAGCATTCAAACACACGTATTGAAAATAGCAACGCTTTAATAAAGAGCGATTTTTTTTCTTTTCTTTTTTTAATTTTTTTTTATCTTTTTTACAAGACTGCAATGTCTAGCTAGTTATGTGATAACAGACATTGACATTCATAGTGTTTTACCTAGATGCAGTTTTAGTAACTAAGTTTGAAGTTTGGTGGGTTGCAAATTGCATTTGACCATGCGAGGCAGCCTTCAAACTGTTACAGGCTCCACATTGTAAAACAGCTTATGATGAATGTCAATGAGCGTTCATGTCTAGAGGGAAGTAAAAAAAAAATCTCATGGAGAAGTTTTTGTAACAGTTTCCAAACACACCGGTAAGAGTGAGTTCACACTATGGTCATGCTTTTACCGGGCACACTAGCCAATAAAAAGACGACACAAAGTCATGCAAAAGAGACCGTTTCTTTGTCTTTTGAAAATAAAAGAACAAAAAAAATTTTTTTTCGGAGTTCTGATAGCATCCATCCATAGTGAATAAGAAGAAGCTGCGCTTTGATGATGACTTTGGTGCAAAAAAATGTTCCTGTTATGAAGAGGACAGACCCTGTCCTGCCCTCTTCCTTGATGAAGACACTCTTGGTATTGACCAGTTGTGATAATTTACCTTTGATTAACCCCAACCCACTTCCATCATGAGATGGACATAAACATTGACCCTGCCCGCCCACCCACCCATCCCTGGATAGTGACACCTTCAAATTACAACCATTCAAACACAAGTACAGCAATAAATTGTCCCACATACAGTAAATCATCCAGTGGAGCTTTGATCACTTTACAGAGGGAGCACGTCTAAAAACACATGAACAGCATTGCCTATATACAGAGGGGACACTAACAGTCTGAGGTTGGTCTGAATGGATCGTAGTGAGTTGTGCTGAAGAGATCAATGAAGAAGCCCTTCAGCTGACGGAGAAAGACAAACCTCGAACAAGGAGTAATGGAGAAGAGGGAAGCAACAGCTGATTTAATAAATGTTCGTTCTAATGCAAACCCTTAGAATATCGGTGGTGATTTCTAACTCAAGTCTGTTTTAGAGTCTAAGCTGCAAAGAAAAAAATTTGGCCTAGCCACAGTTACATTGCAAACATAAATCACAATAGCACGCCCATACTAAGTTGGGTTTTTCAGAAGGTTGTGTTAAAAATCCCCATCCAGAGCAGCTTCGGTTGATTGGAGAAGTTTAACTCAGACTTGCATTTAGCTAGAGCGTTTTTGAATTTTTCAGCAGGTGAGTGATCCTTAAGCCACCTTAAGTTGATGTGTTGTACAGAGTCAGACACCGTCACGAAAACACTCGACGCCAAGTTAGTACACACTACCAACTCGCTTAGAGACCTTCCATCTCTAATCGAGGAACATGACCCTGTTAATCTCTATTCAAAGGCATGTGCACACAAACACAGGTACAGTACATGTACATAGAACAGACACAGTCAATAGAAAATGATGTCATCCCCAATCAATTATTGCCCCTTTTGACTGTACATCCCAGCAATGATTTTAAGGTTTTTGTGCAGCAGAGCGTTGTCCCTTCTTTGAAGGCTTGTGCTATATATACGTGTATATATATCATTGGACTGTGAGTCTGACTTGACCTTGAATCTGCAGGAAAATCCACATTAACATTGAATGCCTCATTAAGGCTTCTTGTCTCAGCCTGTTTGAATTGATTAGTATGCTGTCACTACAGTTTTTACCTGGGTCGTGTTGGAAAAATATTACCCCTCAGTTACTTTCTGATGGCTTAGGGTTCTTTGGAATTTTTGCAAGAACCTTCAGCTGTCCTGTCCATGTACAGTAAAATTGAAATATGTCATACCAGAGTTTTAAAGGTGAAGGTTGAACATGTTCAGTAGTGCTTGTCCAAATCCAGTTTTTTTGAAAGTGAAGAAACCTCACCCATTCTGGACATAATGGACACAAAGAAAGTCCTTTAGTGTTTGATTAGCTAGACTGAAACTCTTTTTTCTTATCCACTTTTGTCTGGCTCAGTGCATTTTTCAGAGCATACAGGTATAGCAAAAACTTATATAAACCAGAAAACTAAAGTATTTTGTACAGAGCCATGAGGTGGACACTCAAAGTACAATACAACCACAGAGAACATACCTAAACAGGCTATGGATGTGTGTGGTGTGACGAGGGTAACACGATTTTGCAATATTGCACAGCTGCAGAAAAGAAAACAAAATATGAATACACAGTGTGTACACCATGTCCCCAAATAGCAAAGTTAGCGTGAGGGGTTTTGTTTACATCCAATTGCGATAGCTGTATCTGTTTCAGTGCTTTCATCAGTTCATTCCAGTGCAGAAACACGTTGGTACCTGGCAACATATAGTCATGACATCAGGTACCAAAAGAGACACACAAACACAGTTCACACCGCAGGGGGTTGCATCCATTTAACAATCACACGAGCGTAGAAAAGAAATCGTCGTTTTACGCATTTAGGAACATAAAGAAATTCATAAATAGAAACGATAACCTTGATGCAGCTTGCCAAATGTAGAAAAAGGGACATGCTCACACGCATTCAAATCACTTCTGACATTTTGCGTTGGATGGCACAAAAACCAGGATCAGTCTCAACAAGATACTAAAATCACCTACATGGAAACACACCCTTGGCAAAAGTTCACATAGAATAAAGTGCCATGATCCAGTAAGAGAAAGAAATGAGTCCTCCTAATCTGATTCAGTTGTGGAATGGAGATAAATGTGGTCAAAATTTAATTTAAGAAATTAGGATGAGTGGGTGTCAAAGTGGTGTCAGCCTTGGTAGCAACAGCTCAGTTCTCAGTTGCCCTTTGGGGTAGCAAAACAAACTATGGGTAGGACTGAATCAGAGTCTCTGTACTTGCTGGTTAAAACAGAGAAATTATTAGCCACATGGAGAGGTAAGAGAAAATGTGAAGGTCAGGTGACATTAAATTGACATCAGCATTTCATCTTCAATCCATCCCCTGGTCTTCTCTCCTCCCTTTCCCTGGCTGTCCGTTTCTTTCTTCCTGGATTTGGTTCTGCGTTTGTGTTGGCTGTCAACTCTTTCCCTCCATTTGTTTATCTTGCCTCTTTCCTCAGCTTTGCTGCTATGGTTACAACATCATCTCTACATGAAGTGCATCTGGAGAAGACAAGGGGAGAATTAGGAGTAGTTTAGTCCAACAAAACACATATGTTCAGGCATCTAGTAAAGTATCCTGCTGCAGTGACAGGAAAACAGTTTCTCATCTGTGTGAGTTCTTGTTTTTATTTGTCCTAATATACATGTTTTTTGAACATTCCATTACTTTTGCAATAAAATGATTGATACTTGCTTTGGAAAAAAACATTTTAAAGCACATTATAAAATGTATTACATGCCATTTATATGCAAACAAATGCTGAAATTGAAATTTCCACTAAAGATGAGTGTTTAAAATTGACTTGCAGTAAAATATTTCCCAAACTGTTATAGCAAGACCTAAGTTGCGTAAATGTTAGCACATATACAGTTGAGGAAATGCACTTTTTACAAGAACAATTTCAGTTAATTGGTAGATCTGATCTTGTATATATTTGAAATTATGTGAAATATTTCAGTCATGGCTTGTCGGACAGGATAGGGAGTCTACAGAATGCTTGGCGTTTATCCATGCTCTGTAGTAGCTTTTCATAAGTTATAAACCAGATTGAAAATTTCTCGTCTTCTTCCGCTTATCTGGATCCAGGTCGGGGGGGCAGCAGACGGTTGGGGGGAGTTCCAGACCGTCCTCTCCCCGGCCACCTCCAACAGCTCCTCCGGCAGGACCCCAAGGCGTGTTCCTTGGCCAGTTCGGAGAAGTACTTTCTCTAACGTGTCCTGGGTCAACCGGGGGCCTCCCGCCGGCAGAACATGCCTAAAACACCTCCCTGGGGAGGCATACAGGAGGCATCCTAAAAAGATGCCCAAACCACCTCAACTGACTCCTCTCGATATGGAGGAGCAGTGGCTCTACTCTGAGTCTCTCCTGAATGTCCAAGCTCCGCACCCTATCCCTAAGGCTGAGCCCAGCCACCCCGCGGAGAAAAGTCATTTCGGCCACTTGTATCCGCGATCTTGTTCTTTCGGTCATCACCCAAAGCTGATGACCATACGCGAGGACTGAGCGTTAGATCGACTGGCAAATCGAGAGCCATGCTTTCTGGCTCAGCTCCTTCACCTCAACAGAACGGTTCAGCGTCCGCATCACTGCAGATGCTGCCCCAATCCGCCTGTCGATCTCCCCGTTGAAATTTTCAAAATTTAAATGATAAAAGGTTGGAAAATGTCTAGTGAAATTGTTAAAACTATTTGCTTGTGATCTGTTAGGTACTGTGATTTTCTCATATGATATGTGATGTCCCTTCTTGCACTTGGAGTTTCTTTTGAGTCAACATGCCTGTTCTTGTGTTACCTGTGTACCCGGGATGGGTCCAAATGGATTTGTGGGTCTCAAGACAGGCTGGTTGTACATGACGGGCTGTGGAGGGATCATAGGAACACCCCCCATCTGATGACTCATCTGAGGAGGGAGCTGGTTACAGCACAGGTGAAGAAGGTTAAGAGTGCAACAGGCAGGAAAAAATGAACTGACTGTGATTATCTGGAATATATTGCATATATTGCACTTTGAGATTTCATTGAAATGTAAAGTGTGTTACAAATAAAGTCTATTATTATTATTATTATGTTACTATGTTTTTGAGTTAGAAGCTGAAAATTATTCTTTACCATTCCATACACAGGCACTTGGGGTGTTGTCATAGGAAAAGCCACTGGTGCTGGAGCCTGTAGGAAGATGAAGTCTAATCTGATGTTTGCCCTTTGTCTGAACAGTCCAACAGATACCACATACTAACACAGTAGTGTACTTTGTTGCTAATCCTACACATAAAAAAGTCTATAACAAAGTTAAGTTGATATCATAAACATTTATTGAATTATGGTGGCAGATTGGTTGTCTGTAATAAACAAAACGTGGCAAACCACAAGCAGAATGGCAGTTGAGAGAGTTTGTCACAATGGCGTTTTGATTACTTACATATCCAGTATAGATCATCCCATTCTGTGGTGAGTTGGGAGAGAAAACAAAAAGGTAAATTTAGTTTTCTGACTTTTGAGTCAAACGTACTCTCTCAAGATGGTGAGAGAAGATAAATTAGACCTTTATCCATTCATCATGATAAAATCACATCTATTTTCTATTCAAGTCATGCCTCCGGCTTTCCAAACCATTTCCTGACAGAATGAGCGGTTAGAGTTAAGAGGCCATTCAGTCTAAAATTATGAAGATTAAACCAGATTGAATGGAAGAGACATGGAGATAATCAGAGTGGCGCACAAAGGGCATAGATAAAGATAAAGAGATGATGGTGTCCACGATGGGTTTTGACTCCACCAAGAATTAATTTGGGCTATTTAAAGAGTGATAAGTAAAGATGGTAAAATGCACTAAGTACATAGATGAATAGGACTGTTCGGTGTAAATCATTATTAAAAATGTAGCTTTTCGATACAGTAGAACACCTGCCAGTGCAGTACCTTTGTAAAGCATAGTCCTTTTAAGATCTAAGAATTGACTCACTCAATATTAAAAGTGGCTAGAAGTATTTTCTTTGCATTTGTTGGTAAAGTAGAAGTTATAGTTTTCTAAGTAATTGCATAAAAATATTTTAACATCTAACACATTTAGGCCAATCGGTTGCCAAGTCCAAGTCTGGTAACTTCTAGCATCCTGAAAAACCCAAAACTTGAATGTTCAGAAACCAGTTAGCTATGCCATGTTAATGTTTATTTCCCATTATGATTTCACCAACAAGAACATATTTAGGCTCTTTGCCTTTTGTGATGTTGCAAGATGCACCCTCAAGATGGAGTTAGCGGAATAGAAGTAAACTGAAATAACACTTGGATGCTGTCTTATCGAGTTGTTGTTTTTAATTTTACACAAATTCAATAGGTTGAGTTTGAGCAAATTTTAACAGTACACCATAGTTTTTAATGACACAAGCACAAATCATCCTGGTAAATAGCAGTTGATGCTTTTAAATTACCATCTGAGGGACGGGCATGGGTGCAGGTGCCATGGGATGATGGGTTGTGTGAGTCCAGTTTGTATTGGTACACATAGATTTTGATTGCCAGCCACTTCCTCCTGTTGGCTTCTTCTCTACCAGCTGGCTCCATTGGAGCTCTGGCCTAATGTGCATGTACAAAAACACACATGTGTATTACAAGTGCACATATAATGTGAAATCATGCAGCGTGTAGAAAATCAGACAGAAAACAAGCAGACAAAAAAGACATTTGCATCTGGCTCATATGCTTATGTAAGTTCACTCACTTTTTGGATGGCATACTCCCAAACTGCAGGTCTAAAAGAACAAATAAAAACTCAAATAGCAGCAGATACAAAGTAACATAAGCAAGAGAACACAAAATGGGCAAAATAAGACAGTCAAATTAGTTTGGGGAAAAAACACAATATACTCACTGCCAACCAGATTTGCTAGGGAAGAGTCCAAATCATTGGGCAGCATTTTCCCAGAGTGTAAAGGAGCTCCTGGACTATGAATCTGAGTAGGTGGAGATGGCTTTATCAGGTCACCTGATTTCCATAGGTAACCATGGAAACATGAAAGGAGAGACGAGGAGGGAAACGAGTCAAGAATATAAGGCGTCTGGCCATTATTGTCATACCATATCCAGCTTTTAGTGTGTGTTTTGTAAGCAAGTGGGAATGTAATTGCATGCTTTCTGTTTGTGTGTGTGTGTGTGTGTGTGTGTGTGTGTGTGTGTGTGTGTGTGTGTGTGTGTGTGTGTGTGTGTGTGTGTGTATGTGTGTGTGTGTGTGTGTGTGTGTGTGTGTGTGTGTGTGTGTGTGTGTGTGTGTGTGTGTGTGTGTCCTACCTCCCCATGCGTTGTTGGGCACAGTGTGTGTGGTCTGTAAGGGGGTGAAGTTAGGCTGCAAGGTGAACAGCTCAGTGGTCAGGTTTGGCACACTACAGAAGGAAAAATAATGGCTCATATGTAATCTCTTCAATTTCATTTATATAAGCAACCATACCCTCAGTTTTGCATCAAAGAACCGAGGCAGCAGGATAAAGTGAGATGGCATGCTGAAAGCTCTACTCGGTTTTTACATCTGACTGCAGAAGCTTGACTCACTGGTTGCTGATGGGTATGCTCGGTGAGTTGGAGAAGAGCTCAGTGGCCCCCACGCTGCTGCTGGCACTGCACACTGATTGGGTGCTGGGTGAAGCATTAGGTGTCTGAATGTCAGTCACTTTATGACCATCGTCCTGTACAGAAAGCACCAATGCGACTCATCAACATTTCTATTTTCTTTGTATACCCAGTGCCAAAAGATGTGAATACAACTTTCTCTTTCATATTAAAGAAGAAAACCATCTTTTATTTAGGGTATCTCAAGATAAAAATCACAAGGCGCTTCACAAAACCAAAAAAGTGAAAAATAAAAATTATTTTTAAAATATGATTAAAAATATGTGCCCTGCGATGGACTGGCACTCTGTCCAGGGTGCACCCCGCCTGATTGCGGCAGCACCCCCCCCCCCCCCCCCCCCAACCCTACATGGACAAAGCGGGTTCAGACAATGGATGGATTAAAAATATGTTTAAAATGATATTAAAAAAATTGTGATAAAACTATGTAAGGAAATGGAGAGAGAAAATTAATAGGAAAGAGAAAAATCGGTGGATCTCGGGACAGGTAGAACAGGTAGAGCAGAATAAGGAGAGGGTGATGAAGGTCACACAAAAGCCAGAGTGAACAGGTGAGTTTTCAGCTGCTTTTTAAAGGAGACCACTGAGTCCACTGATCTCAGGCTCAGGGGGAGAGAGGTCCAGAGTCTGGGGGCCACAGCAGCAAATGATCTGTCACCTTTGGTCTTTAGCCTGGTGCGTTGCACAACCACTAGGCTTTGATCACTGGACCTCAGGGACCTGCTGGGGGTGTAGCGACTGAGAAGATCACCAATGTAAGATGGTGCTTGTCCATGTAAGGCCCTATAGACCAGAACCAGGATCTTGAAATGAACCCTGAAGTTGACTGGCAGCCAGTGAAGCTGGAGGAGAAGCGGGGTGATGTGTGTACTTTGATTATTTGGTCAGAAGCCGAGCACAGGTATTCTGAAGTGAGTTGCAGTAGTCTAAGCGTGAGGAGATGAAGGTCTGGATAACTGTCTCAAGTTCAGAGCGGGACAGAATGGGACTCAGCTTAGCAATGTTCCTGAGATGGAAGAAGGAAGAGCGAACAAGAGAACTGACATGAGAATCCAGGGTGAGAGCTGGGTCAAAGGTCACACCAAGATTCCTAATAGAGGGTTTGGTGCGAGAAGCAAGCTGACTAAGAGAGTCCCTGACTTTGGGAACCAGCTTGTTCAGCGCCTTGGGCTTCCTGACAGGGTTGTGGAAGGCGCTTTATAAATAAAGCTTTGATTGATTGATTGATTGATTGTCTGGGGCACAGATGAGGATCTCTGTCTTGTTTTCATTCAGCTGTAGAAAGATCCCAGCCATCCAGGTTTTAATAAGCAGGTGTGTAACAGCTGCAGCTTAGACATCTCATGGGGCTTAAAGATGGTAGGAGATTCCTTTAAAGGAGTTCAGGATGTGCTAAAGAGGAGGCAGATAGATGAGGAAGAGTAGAGGCCCTAGCACAAAACCTTGTGGGACACCATGGGTGAGGGAGGTGGTGAAGGACCGAAACTTGAAGACGGCCACAGAGAAGGAACGCTCAGACAATAGGTGTGGACTCGAGTCACATGGCTTGGACTCGAGTCAGACTTGAGTCATTATTTTAATGAATTCTGAATTGACTTGATAAAATCTATAAAGACTTACGACTTGACTCGGACTTGATTGCCAATGACTTGCGAATTTAATCGACTTGCATATGTTGACTTGATGATGACTTGAGCATATTTGATATTTTAGCACAAGAGTGACACGACATGGACAAAAATCGTAAATCATTCTTCGTTCTGGGTTTGATCTTGTTCTGCTAAATTCAGCAGCACTTTGTAATCAATCTCAGTTGCATTTTCTGCTTGTTTGAGCAAATAAAATAAGCTTCAAAATGTTTTATTTCTGGAATTCATTTATTATAATTGTCATTAAATTGAAGTTTGGCAGATTAGTTGATTTTGACTTGAAAATTCAAAGTTAATTTCTTGGACTTCTAGATCATTGACTTTGGACTCGACTTGGACTTGGTTGTCTTTGACTTGAACTTGACTTGAGACTTGACTGGAAAGACTTGTGACTTACTTGTGACTTGCAAAGCAGCGACTTGGTCACACCTCTGGCCCAGACAGATAGGAGGAGAACCACTCCAGAGCAGATCCTGATAGGCCTACCCAGTCTCTCAGCCTCTCCAGTAATAGGTGATGGTCAACAGTGTCAAAGGCTGCAGTCAGGTCCAGCAGGACCAGAACAGAACAGTCCTCTGCATCACTGTGAGTCAGAAGGTCATTAGAGACCCTAAGAAGAGCGGTTTCAGTAGAATGAGCTCTATGAAAACCTGACTGGAAACTGTCATAGATGTTTTGTTGATCAAGAGCAGCTGTGAGTTGTTAAGCCACAACCTTTTCCAAGATCTTGGAGATGAACGGAAGTTTAGAGATGGGTCTGAAGCTGCTATGGAGAGAGGCGTCAAGACTTAGTTTTTTTTAAGAAGCAGGTGGAATACAGCATTCTTAAAGTAAGCAGGGACCTGACCAGAAACCAGAGAAGCATTAATTATAGAGAGCACGCTGGGACCGATGGACTGAAAAGCACTTTTAAACAAAGATGAGTTTAAGATTGAAGGGGCATGCAGAGGTCTTCATAGAGTTAACTAGTTTGGTTAGCTCAGGCAAAGAAACAGGAGCAAAGCTATCTAGAAAATATGTCCTCAACATTTAATTAGAAGAAAAGGCTGCTGTAAATACGCAGTATTTTTGGCTTTCAGTCCATTTGCATTCAATTTGTAGTTCTTTACTCTGTAGGCTGGTAGCCAAAGATGAGCTGTACATTTTACTATGCTGCAGAATTAATTCACAAGTTCAACAGCTGTGTGGAGCACAATGAAAGTTGACATTTAGATAATTTTTCCACAGTTTTTCGCACATATGAGAGTTTTCGTGTGTGTTTGGGTGGAGTGCTCAAAGAAAAAGAACAACTTAAATGTGTAATGCATTAAAAACAGGCTAAATGCCTTGCCTTGTGTTGCTGAAGTCGGTTGTCCTCTGTTTTGTCATCAATTTGGCTGAGCGAGATTCCTGCACTGGAGAGAGACGACACTGCACTAGACAAGGTACTGGATCTGCGAGTGAGACACAAAAATGTTACTGGAAAATTTTTATATCAACAACAATTGATTTTACTTACAGCCTCTGTGCTTGTTTTACTGATGTTATTTAAATAAGTCATAAGATGCACAATGTCAAAAATTTTAAATAGGTTTCATCCCAATGATCCATTTAAACAACATTTAGAATACTCAAGAATGAAGATGATCGATTTATGTTCCGCTAGTGGTAACACTGAACCATACGGATATTACTAAGGGGCTACTGACACAAAATTTTCACCAGATGTCAATATGTCAACTGCGTTCTTCTGGCTAAAAGTGCCCAAAAAGCTCAGTTAGCTTGTAGCTGTGAAGTTGATGACTGACTCAGAGTCTTGCTCTAAGCTCCACCACTTTGCCCAATTTTGGATTGTCTGGGCGTAACGAGACTGGTGACGCTGCCAAGATGGCAGAGATCGGAACCACCCACTAGGCTTCAAGTCAAAGCCTGAGAAACCCATGGGTGACGTCTTGGAGGGTCTGTCCATTTTATCAGCAAACGATACATAAAACTAGAAGTTGGCCCTATTGTGAAAGATAATACCTTTTGCATAGTGAGAAAACTGGCGATCAGCATTTATTTGCCTTTGAATGTGACTGGCAAAAACAAAGTATACTATTCAGGATGAATACATTTCATGTAGGATCCGTGCATCAATCCATTTTCTTTTCACATATCCGGGGTCAGGTCGCAGTTAGCAGTCTAAGCAGAGAGAACCAGATTTCCCTCACCCCAGCCGCTTGAGCCAGCTCCGTTGGAGTGATCCTAAGGTCTTCCCTGACCAGCCGAGAGACATGGTCCCTCCAGCGTGTCCTCGATCTTCCTTTAGGTCTCCTCCTGATTGGACGTGCCTGGAAAACCTCACCAGGGAAGTGTCCAGGAGGCATTCTGACCAGATGCCTAAGCCACCTCAACTGGCTCCTCTCGACATGGAGGAGCAGCGAGTCTATTCCAAGCCCCTCCCAGATGACCGAGCTTCTCACCCGATCTCTAAGGGAGAGCCCAACCACCCTGCGGAGAAAACTCATTTTGGCCGCTTGTATCCGGATCTCGTTGTTTTGGTCACCTGAAGCTTGTAAGTGAGGGTTGAAACATAGATCTACTAATAAATCGAGACTTCGCCTTCTGGTTCAGCTCTCTCTTCATCCCGACAAACCAGTACAATGCTGGCATCACTATACACGCGGCACCAATTAGCCTATTGATCTCACCCTCCATCTGTCCCTCATTTGTGAACAAGACCCCAAGATACTTAAACTCCTCCACTTGGGGCAGAACCTCGTCCCTGACCCAGAGGATGATGTAGGATCCAAAATAAGAGTTGTCAGAACCCACAGTTGGAAGTCCTGATAACAGCAACATATCTAGCAGTAGGCCTACACAACAATATCAATATTAATTTTAAAGTTGGTGAAACCCATCTAAGGTTATCAAAGATTAATTTGGAAGAAAAAAATGAGGTATGAGCCGACGCGTTTCGGTCGCGTCGGCTCATACCTCATTTTTTTTTCTTCCATATTTATCTTTGATGTTTTTATGATCCTAAAGAGCTCCTGAGACATTTACAGAAAATGTATCTTATCAATCCCACTGATGCGCTCACCCCCTCCTGCCTGACATGTAAAGTTATGTTTTCTTGTTTATTATTGTCATACCTGCTAGCGGTTGACAGATCCTTGAGCTTCCTGCCCTCCAGAGAAGCTAGGTGCTGCTCCAGAGCCTCCAGGAGAGAACTAGGAGCCTGAGAAGGGTGAAGGGGTACATGGAGTTGATGGGGTAAAATTAGACGGTCAGCCAAGTAGACAAAGTGGGTTTAACAGCTCTCTTTAACCACTTCTCTTTACTCATTTTATAACAAACACACACAAAAAGCAGCCGCAAAATTAAGACATCACCCTCAGGGTGACAATCTACTCAATGACGGCTCTTTTGTTTTGCTTTTGCATTTGGTTTCATCAGGTTTGGTTGACCAGCATGCAGACATTAGCCTTGGATCATGCAAGCGAGTCTGCAGCAGGACTGACGGATCAGGGCAGAGCAGAGCGTCGTCACCGAGGGGCTCCAGAGTGGAAACACAGCAAACACATCTCTGAATCGTCTAATGAGCCCATGCAGAGGCCAGCCATCCACAGACGCTTTCAGAAAGCACACACATGTACGCATAAAGAAAATCACTATCCAGAAGAGTTAACTCATGGGCTCCACTTCAAGCAATGGGAAAGTTTTTGGTTTGGAGATTTTGTACCGATCAGTCAAATAGAACCAAGCATCCAACAGGAAACCAAGAAAGTTAACTCAGTCAAATGTAAACATCTGATGAAAACACAGGTATGCAGCTTTCTCTAGTGGAAAACCAAAATAATGAATGAGTTGATTTGGACTACATGCGATACCATGGTTTTCACCCAGAGCTTTACATCCCAGCTTTAGAAAACACAACCCAAACATAACAGGCAAAGAAAAGTTTCCTCTTATACTTATTTAAAGGGGGAACGTGTAAAATGCGAATTCTGCATATCCTTCTCCAGGGAAATCTAGAATATGCTAAAAGTTTACAAATAAAACAGACATGTCTACAGCTCAGTAAAGGCATGGGTCATTGTGTTGAATAAGGGCATATAAGGTCTTCATAAGCACTACAAATATTACATTATTTCAAGTGAACCCTTTTCGGTCTTTATTTTGTCACAATTACAACCAATTTTGTTTCCACAGGATTGAGCTGCAGTAAAATCCTTCCGATGCAGTACTTATGATGGCATTATGTACACCTATCCAAGTCATTTTTGCAGAAACCTCATTAATAAAAACCATTCGCTGCTCTCCCCACAGCTAATGAAATTGGATTTCTTTTTAGAAAAAACACCTATTTTATGAAGTTGTGCTGACTTTTCTTTTTGGTTTGTATGATGAGTCTTTGGGTAAATGGGCAGGGTTTTTTTTTTTTTTTTTTTACTGAAACACTATTGGAAAAATCCAGGTAAGTGCTGTCGTGTTAGAATAAAATTAATCTGCAGGGGAAAAAATTACAAATAAAGCTTTTGTTACCCAGCTGCTTAAATTATTCTTTAAAAATTCTTACCTTTTGAGTAAAATTTGTTCTGCAATGATTCAAATAAGAAAAAAACATGAAATTCCTCAAAGCCTGATAATTGTATGAAGGAAATGTAGCATCAAAGCTATTTGCTGGTCTTCATTTATTGTTTCCTCTCTATTCTAGACTCTGTTCAAACAGAAAAAGAGGCAAAGCAAAGGAGATAAGGAGAGTGAAGAAGAGAGGAAGAAGACGGGGCAGCTGCAGTGTGGGCAGGTCTGTAGGGTGAGTAGGGAACGGGAGCGTTAAGAATGAAGCATTATGAGACTGACTTGACGGATTATAAACTGGTTGACTGACTGGTTGATTGACTGATTGAGATGAGATGTGGACTGACCTGTGTGAGATCGGGGCTGTCGCCCTGATCTATCCCAACTCGCTGTGTCACAAAAAAGGGAAGGGTGGGGAAGGGAGGAAGGAAGGAAGGAAGGAAGGAGGCAAAATGAAAATAAACCAAACGTAGTAATAAAACAAAAACATACCACATTTGGGGAGGAAAAAAAGGAAGAATTGTGTGAAGGAGGAAGAGGAGGAGGAGGAGGGAGAAAGAAGAATCAAATCCAAGCATTCATTACTTCATGCAGTGGCTGGAAAAGGAAAACAAAAGACAACAGAGGAAAATGGCACATGCACAAACACACATACAAACAGCTATATACACAGAGTGTGAGCACACACAGAAATCTGGAGACTAGTTGATGATGAATGCCGAGCACATCAACTGATTGAACAGGCGGGGCAGAGAGGGAGGACAACAGGTCACGTGACTACAAGGAAGAAAACATCCAAAAGGAAGACACTCAACTAATGTTGACTTTGAACAGAAGGAGGAGGGGGGACACAGATGACACACAAAACAGACAAACGCATTTTGTTAGACAGGTAAAATGAATGGGTCCTTAAAGTCAACGTTAGTCTTTTTTTTTTTTGTTTTTCATTTTCTTTGGATCAAGCGGCTAAACCCCAAACCTTCTTCCAAATGGGAACGAAACCAAGCAGTGAGAAAGCCTTTGAAGATGACGCATGGGAGGGGAAAAAAAGGCTACGCAGCCTAAAGAGGATAAAACTATTTATATTCACTTTGAAGCCTAACAGGAGCTCCATCCGTTCAGTGGATAACAGCCATTATGTACATAAGATAGATCTTTTTAAGGAAAATGAAGGAGCTAACGAGGCAGAACAAGGGGACAGAGAAGGTGATAGAAGAGCTTGCTTGAACATGCAGTGCAGGCATGTGAACAGGCAGCGCGCGAGGGGTCCCTCAGCTGGAAGTTGTACATGAGTGGCTCTCTGACAGAATAAGACTCGACCATTAATTGCTGTCTTGGAGAACCCCAATCCCCAGTTCAGGGCAAGAGAGGGTCAGAGACAGGAGAATATCTAGATGCAGAAAGAGATTTTTAAGATTAAGTAAAAGAAGCCCTTGGTCGCTGATCTGCGGTCATTTTGGGTTTGGAATCATTGACCGTACATCAGAACCGCAGGGTAACAGAAGTCTGGAGCGAATCTCAGCAGATTTGAACTGCGTTTTAGCAAAATGTTCAACTACTCTGAGAGACAAGAGGAAATAGGTATAGCAAAATCTTTAATGTGTTTATGCTAGAGAAGACAGGAGGAAGCTTTCAAGATTCACTCCAGACAGATGTTTCCATCGCACCCATGGGAGGACGGAGCAAGGCGAACAAACGGTACCTCTGCCACTTTGAGAAACTCAGACAGCTTAGTCATCCTGTTGAGGAAGGTCTTGTAAATCTCCAGAGCTTCTTTGCATTGATTCTTCCTCATGTCAAAGTATTTCTCTGTGTAGCAGAAAAAGGACCAGTCAGTAGATGGTTCTAGAAAAAAATCTGTGATCCAAACATCAATGATAGCCTAGAAATTTAGAAAAGCCGCAGAAGTAGCAAAAAGATTTGATTCTACAGGTTGATCTAGCAATGCTCCATTGTAGCCTCAGCAGGTCTACCATTTGCCCGAACAATCGCAGCACTTTATGTTTGTAGCGAGACATTAAACGCCAAAGATAAACTGCAAACATGGCGCCAGCTCAGGAATGGCTTCAGCAACAACTTTAGACGATTTAGACTTGGGCCTTTCTTTGAGACATGAGCGAATTGAAGCACTTACAGTATGTCCTTTATTTCGAAAAAGGATGTATTTGCTTCTTCTTCGTCTGACTGTGGTGGACTGCCCTGTTCACTAATTTCCGCAACGATGAATACGTCACATTGTTCTACGCTCTGATTGGTTCTAGCACTGTCCAATTGCGTGCAAAGACACCCATAGATTCCATCCGAGCACTGCCTATGGGTCGTGGCCACATCATAAGGACAATCACAGCACAATCTGATGAATTACCCAACATGTTGATGACCCCTTCGTTGTAAGCAGCAAACAACCGTATGGAGTCTTTGAACAGCAACATGAAAGCCGTGTTGATCACCCCGTTGGTCAGCTCGTTGGAGTTCGGCTGCAGGGGGGACAACCCCAAAAAAAAAAGAAAAAACTGTAAAGTTGGGATCAAAATGCCGCAACTACAGCTTTTTATACGAAAGGTTTCGCTTAGTTTACCTGGAAGTCTAGCAGTGCATCGAGTTGGTTCTGGATGATGGGCAGCGTTTTGATCAGCTTCTCTGTGTTCATGGTTCGCATCACACCATCAGCCCTGAAACACCAGAATACACGCAAACATGCAACAAACTCACAGAACCTATCAAGTGTGAAGTCCAAGAAGATATTTTGTTAAGTGTTGAGTATGAAGGAAGTGAAAGAAAGAAATGTGCTTGCAAGAGTGTTACCCTCTCTTCATCTTGGTGAAATCCACTTCTCCTAGCCTATAAGACATAGCTTTTTCATTCAGGTATCGGCTGTAGCGTCTGATGAAGGTTGACATGTTATATCCTAGAGGACAAAGAAGGGGAAGCTGCAGTTAAGAGACTGAACCCATGTGTACTTTATTCCACCCCAAAATATCACAAATCAAACCAGATCTTGCACAGGTTTTCTCTTCTTCTTTCCTTTTTGAATAACACTTGAGCATTGTTGCAATTTTCAGCATCATTTGGCAGCTTCTTGTAGCAAACAAAGGAGCATCTTCTCAGCAGCCCCGGACCTTTTGAAATAGACTCTGAATACTGGCTTATTGGTGGTGTTACAGAGCCAGAGAGAGGCCGACAGAAAGTCATTTTGTTAGACATACAGCAGTGCTGAGTCTAAAAACAGTCAATCGGCATTAAATCACCTTGTAGTGCAGCCTTATCTAGAAAGTTGTTGAGGTTGAAGAGCGTGTTTCTGGAGGCGATGTACTGCATCAATCTCTGATGGGAAAAAAAAGGACAAAGTCAGTGATTTATCTCTTCGTTCCACCAGACAATATGAGCCTATGTCCACTTGGGAACGGGTTTTTAAGGTAAGATGAAAGTACACTTTTTTGAGGATAGCTGTAGCTTTTCAATCCTTTCAGAAAGGATATGTATGATTATTTGCATCACTCTTTAGTTCAACACAGCTGCATTATAATAATACTTAGTATCAAACTTCTGGTGACATTCATGCCTGTGTTCCTTATTAAGACCTTAGATCAAATGTTTGGACCCTTGCTCAACCATTCTAACTAATCAGCGCTTCTAGATGGTGGTGAGTTAATACTCTGATCACTGATCTTCCCTTTTTTTTTTTAAGAAAGATAACTTTTTAAACATAATAGGATTTAATGTTGGTCAAATGACCTTTTAAGAGACCATTCCTACTCATTAATGGCTTCCTGCTTTGACTTTTTGTGTCAAATGCCTAAAGTGCAGCTATCCATAATAGAATAGAATAGAGTAGAACAGAATAGAATAGAATAGAATAGGTCACTACCCAAAGCTCATGACCATAGGTGAGGGTAGGAACATAGATCGACCGGTAAATCGAGAGCTTCGCCTTCTGACTCAGCTCTCTCTTCACCACGACAGACCGGTACAATGCCCGCATCACTGCAGATGCAGCACCAATACGCCTATTGATCTCACACTCCAGTTTTCCCTCACTCGTGAACAAGACCCCGAGATACTTAAACTACTCCACTTGGGGCAGGACCTCATCCCTGATCCGGAGAAGGCATTCTATCCTTTTCCGAATCAAGACCATGGTCTCAGATTTAGAGGAGCTGATTCTCATCCCAGCTGCTTCACACTCGGCTGCGAACCGCTCCAGTGAAAGCCGAAGATCACGTTCTGATGAAGCCAACAAGACCACATCATCTGCAAAAAGCAGAGACCTGATCCTCAGGCCACCAAAATGGATGCCCTCCACACCTTGGCTGCGCTTAGAAATCCTGTCCATAAAGGTTGTGAACAGAATCGGTGACAAAGGGCAGCCTTGGCAGAGTCCAACTCTCACTGGGAACGAGCCCGACTTACTGCCGGCAATGTGGACCAAGCTCTGACACCGGTCATACAGGGACCTAACAGCCCTATCAGAGGGCCTGGTACCCCATACTCCCAGAGTACCCCCCACAGGGCCCCCGAGGGATGCGGTCAAACGCCTTCTCCAAATCCACAAAACACATGTAGACTGGTTGGGCAGATTCCCACGCATCCTCCAGGATCCCCCTAAGGGTATAGAGCTGGTCCAGTGTTCCACGGCCTGGTCGAAAACCACATTACTCCTCCTGAATCAAAAGTTCGACAATCTGACGGACCCTCCTCTCCAGAACCCCTGAATAGACCTTACCAGGAAGGCTCAGGAGTGTGATCCCCCTGTAGTTGGAACACACCCTGCGGTCCCCCTTTTTAAATAAGAGGACCACCACCCCGGTCTGCCAGTCCAGTGGGACTGCCCCCGATGTCCACGCGTCAGCCAACACAGCCCCACAACATCCAGAGCCTGAAGGAACTCTGGGCGGATCTCATCCACCCCTGGAGCCTTGCCACAGAGGAGCTTTTAACCACCTCATGGACCTCAGCACCAGAGATTTGAGAGGCCAACCTAAAGTCCCCAGACTCTGCTTCCCCACTGGTAGACGTGTCGGTGGAATTGAGGAGGTCTTCGAAGTATTCTGCCCACCGATCCACAACGTCCTTAGTAGAGGTCAGCAGCACACCGTCCCCACTATAGATAGTGTTGGTAGAACACTGAGCAGCAGTTGTGTGGATGAATATTCATTGTTGTCAGAGTTCAATAAGAATGAGCTGAGAAAGGCAAGAGTAGCTGAAATAACCACTGGTTACAAGCCAGACATGGGAAGTGCTGTCTCTGATTGCTACAATTCACACAGGATTGCCAAAACTGGACCATAAGATGTTCTGATGAGTTGCAATTTCTGCTTCAGCCTTCAGACTATTAATTTCAGAATTTGGCAAGAACAACACAAAAGCATGGATCCATCCTGCTGTTACCAGCTCAGGCTGTTATGATGTGAGGGAGATTTTCTTGAGCCACCTTGGACCCGTCAGTACCAACTACTGTCTGCAATCTTTTATACTCTTTTTTTTAATCCGATCCGCTCATCATTTAACATGTTTGATGTTTCGCTCGTTGATCTTGTGAGGCGAGCGGCAGAGCGAGGCGATTTGTCACACTAGTCATTGAAATGTCAGCGGGATACTTCATCAGTGTGTGTTGGACACGTGGAAGACACGGCTTCAAAGAGTCCCACTGCAATGGAGCTGGAGAGAGATTGCTGCTACCTGGAGATCTGTATGTCAGGCTTCTTTAGAGGGGTCAATAACTCCAGCTCCCTGACTGGCAAACGTTCAGGGTCTGTCTTTTATCTCTCTGTGCAAAGAAAGTCATCATGCACAGGCAATACACTGGTTTAACGTTCCCAGACTTGTACTTAAACTGATCTATAAAAATACACCTATTAACAGCTAATTCACCTCTTAAGAACAGTCTACATTCTACATGGAGATGATGAGAATTATTTGGGGGGGGGGGGGATACAAGTCCCCTTTCTTTGCCCTGGGTGTCCGTGCTTCGATGTGTTTGGCTCACCTCGTTGCCATACATCATGAGGTGGTGTGTGGTGATGAGCGTTTTGAAAACCACAATCCAGCTGTTGCTCGCCGTGCGTTCCATCAGCGTGTCTGCCAGATGGGGGATGCTGACGTTCAGCTCATTGGTGCAGTGGATCAGGTCTGGAGGACACAAAGAAACCAGCATGAAACAACCTGAGCTCATAGAGAAAATCAGTAAGTAAAACAAGACAGGGATGGAACTGAAAACGACAACCAGGATGTTCTGGATTCTGGTTTAGGGCACTGTCATTAAGCTGTCCCTCCAACTGCTCACTTCCTGTAAATAAAAGCAGCAGCCGCATGGTGAAAATAGACATTTATATGCTCGGAGCATGGATGTAGTTTTTTTTTTGGGGGGGGGGGGGGGGGGGCATGTCCCCTCCACCTTTTCCAAAGTCAAAAAAGAGGGGGGGACAATATTTTAGGTTTTGTGTGAAAATAAGTCCAGAACTACAAATGTGCTTCACGAAAGTGACGTCATCGAACCAGACATGGAGAAAACTGAGGGAAAATGGCTGTAAGTTCAGCAAACTTCCAACAGGAGGAATGAACCACCATAAATCTGGCCATTTAGTAAGTAGCAGCTACTTTGGGGAGAGGAGATTATGTGGTGATATGTGACGTGCAGATTTCTAGTTTGTAGTCATGCTAAATACGAACTTTTATAAGCTAATAAATCTCAAAGTACGTGACTGGCGTGGTCAAAACACCCATTATTAGTTTTCATTTAAATTGCAGTATAACATATGTGTGATCCAGGGCGCAAGGCAAAGCGGATTATAAAATAGCGTTTTTAGCCCCGTTGACTTGCATTCATTTTTTCGTTCTTCCGGGGACCCGTGATGCAGAAGTGACTTAGGCTCCCTATTGGCTCTTGCTAACGTATGATTGGCTGTTCCTGCCACCTGTGTATTTGACAGCTCTGCATTCCTGACATTGCATAAAAGAGCCTCTAGGCTGTAGTTTTACACATATTTTTAGTATACTTACTGAAACTATGTTCATGGCTCTGAGAGTTGACTAATAGTGATGTCATCACTTTGGTTCCTGCACACAAATCTAATAATAAAATACCAGAACCTGAATGGGCACCAAATATAATTGATTAACAACCAGCAGTGGTAAATATTTATTACACTTAAATATTTATACTGTTTGCTTATTCTGAGTGTAATTCTCAGCTCAAATGAAATCCCTGAAGGAAAATGGCTCAGCGTTGTTCTGTTTGACAAACGAAAGAAGGCGGTGTGTGTGTGTGTGTGTGTGTGTGCGTGTGTGTGCGTGTGTGTGTGCGTGCGTGCGTGTGTGTGCGCGCGTGTGTGTGTGTATAGATTGGTTAACGTAGGTACATCATTTACATAAAGACATGCAGATTCTAATATTTACTGTGTGATTTAGAATCAATTCACCATCAAACACACCCTTGGGATTTAACAACCAGTTGCCCCAACTTTTTATTAATCTGGCTGCAGATCAGACTTAGAAATATGTACAGGATCTCCTTAATCCCAGAGATTTACCGATTTATTAAAAAATGGCACAAGCATACTCCACAGTAGATTCTGTGTGCAGCAAAATCTGCCCAACAACATGACCCAAAACTTAATTACTGAAACAACATGTTTTTTTATATCTTTTATTAAAATCCTCATTTTATCGGTCTGTTTAAATACAATCTGTAAGGATATTTATCAGTAAATTGAAGATCTTGCCTTAGCGAAATCAGTGAATGTTCAGTTGACCCCGGCTGGTAATAATAACTTGGTTTAAACAATCAATAATTAATAAATGAGTAATTAAAACCACTATTGAACATCAGCTGTAAAGTACAATCATGTGGTTGCAAATCATTTTTAAAGTTTATTAACTCAGTTGAGAGTAAAAAGATCCAGATGTGATATCAGGGCGTATTTTAAAACCGTAGAAATGCTTCTTGAATCAAACTGAATGCATTAAAGGCACCAAAAAGCTCAATTTCATTCACCAAGATCAGCACAGTCAATAATAAATAAAATAAAATAAAAATCAACATTGAATAGATTTTGTCAACAGATTTGTCTACCAAAGACCTACATCCCCAGTTAAAGACCAAATATTAGTCTGGCATCTGGTAGTGGAAGAAACACGTTTTTATTAGATTCAAGAGAAGATTAGCAGATATTTATAACCACACAAAGCCGCCTCGCATTAGAAATAACCAACTGGGATTCTGACCACCTGGACTGACGAAGAACATCTGTCTGATGGATCCGTGGAGTTCACTACGGTAAAATTTGTAGGCAAGGTGAAAGGCTAAGTCTCTTTTGTGAGACAGCTGCATGTCTCATACGTCCTTCAAAGACACCGTTTAAAGAGACACAATTGTGGACGTTTTAGGACAGCTACAATTACAACAGCTTCTATTTAAATGGTTTTATCGGGATAGTAATGATGCCACATTTAGAACACCGCCATACTTCTGTTTTTTGTTTTGGGTGTGATAACAGGTGAGTTGTTTTCTGCAAAGAAACTCCAAAGCATTGATTCACAGCCTGATCAGTCTCACACAGTCGAGGCTGAAAACCAGCCGGTGGGCGAATAGTGAACTGATGGGGGGACGACTCTATTTTCTCATGTCTGGATCTCAAATTTCAGCCCCAATTTCTTCTAAATAATAGAAATTCTCCACTTAGACATCTCTATCCATCTCTTTGAGGAATTATATAGTCACATATAGCAGATAGTCAGGTAAATAACACACTATTGATTGTATGATAACCTACTGATAATGTGCAGTCTTCATGTAAATCAAAATCTTGATTAGAAATGAAATTTTTCATATCAGTGTTGAACAGGATGGAATTACTTTTCAATTTAAGCCAGTTAGGATCAAATAAAAGAGTCTTAACGTGTGTGATGGAGGACATTTAACAGCTCATAAAGAGACTTACTGTAAAAAGCTATGAAACTTTATTCGCTCAGTTTTAAGACCTTGGCTTTGGATGAAACACAAAGTATCGAGGGCATGAAATTGTTCTGAAAAGATAAGGTCATTAAGATGACACACATATGTGGGAGTAAGTGGTTTCCATTAGAGCACATTGCTGCACTGTCAGGCTGCCTGTGAGGCAAAGCTGTGTCACCAATTGTAGTTTTTATTTATTTTTTATTTTTTTGTTAATGTCTTGTCAATTCTGGGTATTCATAATTTATCAGAAGAAAAACAGGAGTTTGTGGTTTGTACCACAAGAAAAAGTGATGGAGGTGATGCTACAATTAAACCCAAGTAACCCGTAATTACATGATTAAAAAGCTACATCTGAGTTAGCTCATGCTGAAAATATCCATGAGCAGAGTTTGATTTATAATACATTAGAAAAAATGGCACAACAATTAATCTTTATTTTAACTGTGCCTGCTGAGGATGAATAAACACCAAATCCACCAAGACTACAAACGCTTTTAGACGTGTTGCCCTGGGTGACCGTCTTTTCTGTCCAATCCAAACAGCCTGGGTTAATTCCAACTGGCCTCGTTTATAAGCTCATAGGTATGCAAGGCTAAAATCTCATTCAAATATTGATAAACTCAAAAAATAGTGACAGTTGCAGACAATATCTAACAATACTAAGATTGATTTTGGCGAATGTGATCCATCTTTTCTATGACAGTGTTTACCTGCAGCTTTAGAGCTTGCTCAGGCATGGTCAGTCGATATTTCATAGAGGACTAAAAGAAACCACAGTTTTGTTCTTTTTAATCTCTTTGTCTCCTGACTTCACATATTTTTGGTTATTTTCCACAAATTATTTTAAAAGTAACATTAGATAGTGCTTTTTTGTTTGGTTTTTTTACTTAAAGCTCGAGCGTTACATTGATCTCAGGGACTGTTGAGCCGTGAAATCGGTTTAATAACATAATATTGGCGATTTACCCGCAAGCTCATTCCCAACCGGGAGCATTTCTGACATGAAACGGTTGCAAAAGTGGTCCACACAGCTGATCCTGTGATGTCACAAAAGCACGGGAGAATTGCAACAACATGCACGATTTCAGAAGTCCACACAGGAGCAAGGAGAAAGACAACTGCATGTTTCAAAAAGGTCTGTGGTTTATTTTCTGTTCTGTTTGCATTGACTATGAGAGTTTTAACAGGAAATTATGTACATTTACCTTGATGTGACTTTTATTTTGAAAGTTTCCAGATGTCTCACACTGCTTTTGTGTTTGACTTTCTGTCTGGAGCGATCTAAACTGTGGAGTTTTACATGTTTTGGAAGCAAAGCGTGTAAAAAATAGACTTGCAACGTAATGGTAGTGGCCCTTCGCTTCCGGGGCACAAAATAAACTACATTTCACAGCCGTTTTACAACTCTTTCATGTGCATTGGAAAGAAGGGGTTAGAAACTTGACCAGTTTTATATTTGACACCACTCTGCAGCCCTCTACTGACCAAAACCCGCACTTGATATTTTTTTGGTCGAATACATGTCCTCTTTACCTGCTTTACAGCTGTTAACTGTAATGCTAACATTTAGAATTTTCAGTTCGCCAATTATCCATAAAACTTACAAGAAGAAGAAAAAGAGGTTTGCCTTTTTGTTGACATCATGGCAGAGCCTGGAAGTAAATATAGGTGTGTACTGTCTTTGGAGGTGAAGCAAAGAGCTAAAACCAGAGTGAACATTGACATGGCCTACACTAGTTTGGGGGAGCTAAAGGAGTCTACAAAATCACAGACTGATGGTGACCTGGCTTTGTTGCTACTGTAAGTAAGAATATTTTTGTACAATCATGTGGATCTTTATAACTTGTGGTTTATTTTAGTATTAGTTGACTCATTTTAGTGTTAGCTTGTTGTTAGCGCTAGCCACTGCAGGCTGCAGTAGGGTTATTTACAACAGTTGTAATTTCACTTTCAACCGGTAGGGCGGAGGAGCCGTAAACTGTGTAGTGTTACTTTATAGAGCAAGTCACCCCTAAATCAACTTTTTTCATGATAAACTATATAAATGTGTGTCTAATCGTGCAGAATATAAATCTGCCATCGCTATTGGCCAAGAGGTACTCTAGAACGTTAGCTGGTACCATATGATGTCACAATGTCGTTGTGAGCCTGTGTGTGTGTGTTTGTTAGTGGCTCCGCCCTCTCGGTCTGCTAGGCAACAGCATTTGTTATATTTTTCAAACAAGAAGTGGGAGCGGAGTAATACTCTGGTAGGGGGTGACTTGCTCTTTAAAGACTGTTCAGCTCTAAATTTTGTCCTCTTTGCTTCGATTTCCGATGTCGCTCCTGTTGAGAGCTTTCATACGAGTTTCGTTATGAGGCGTGTCCCTTTTTTTGGACCCTGTTTACCAGGCTGTACTGGAAAAAAGCAAATAAAAGACTCAAATTCACAAAGGAAGTGTGGGCATCACATAAGTGGGAATGCAGAGCTGAGACAGCTCACAGATGACTCATCAAGAGCTCTTTTTGAAAAGTTTAGTTCATTTAACTTTTTTTTTATTCACCACCAAGGTCTTCTCAGCCATGCAGTCGCAGGATTAGCGCTGCTGACCTCTTCTTTCAACAGTTCATGTTCTGTGTGTAAATAGGAAGACCCCCACAACCTGGTGTAAACAGTATCTAATATTGAAATCAGTCGTCTGTTTGAGGTTACGACTACAACCGAGCATTGAGACACAGAGAAGCTGGCAAGTGGTTTCTTTACAGGGCTCTAAATTCCTCCAAAGATAATAGTGACCAGTTTGGAACAATAAAATGTCTCCCATAACGACCTCTGCTAGAATAAAGCGGCCCTTTCTGGGACAAATTTATTTGTCCCTGAGAGTAGTTTTATAAAAATCCATTCAGCAGCTGTGAATTTGTCCTGTAAAAACTGTGCTTCAGCCCTGAGTGATGTGACATTTTCTTGTTTGTGAAGTAGCAGGAAAGTAAATATCTGCATGAAACTACAGCGGATGTAGGATTACTTGAATTATTTACAAAAGCTGTCGATTAAATTGGCTTTAGCGTAGTTATCATGTATGATCCTTTTCTTTTTCTGCAGAAATCTTCCAGTTTTAGAACAGAAAATTAAACAAAATGTTGTGAATAAAAGGAAATGCCTGCGCCTCCTTAAAGATCTATAGAAACCTATTTGCAATCAGAGAAAATGACTCCTGGCTACTGCCACCGTTACTCCATATTGGTCAAATTCACTGAGTTGCAGCCATTTTTACTCATTTATGGTGGTCCTCTTGACACCAAATTTTACCGTAGATATGGAAAGTATTCAGACTCCTGTTATTTTTCACTCAGTTATTTTGCAGCCATTTGCTAAAATCAATTACATTAATTTCTTTCCTCATTAATGTACACACAGCACCCCGTATTGATAGAAAAACAGAATTTTAGAAATGTATGCAGATTTATTAAAAAAGACGAACTGAAATATCTCATGGTCCTAAGTGTTCAGACCCTTTGCTGTGACGCTCATATTTAACTCAGGTGCTTTCCTTTTCTTCTGATCATCCTTGAGATGGTCTTACACCTTCATTGGAGTCCAGCTGTGTTTGATTATACTGACTGGACTTGATTAGAAAAGCCACACACCTGTCTATATGAGACCTTACAGCTTACAATGCATGTCAGAGCAAATGAGAATCATGAGGTCAAAGGAGCTGCCTGAAGAGCTCAGAGACAGAATTGTGGCAAGGCACAGATCTGGTCAAGGTTACAAAAAGATTTCTGTTGCACTTAAGGTTCTTAAGAGAACAGTGACCTCCTTAATCCTTAAATAGAAGATGTTTGGAACAACCATAACCCTTCCTAGAGCAGGCCATCCAGCCAAACTTAGCTCCCGGGGGAGAAGAGCCTTGGTGAGAGAGGTAATGAAGAACCCAAAGATCACTGTGGCTAAGCTCCAGAGATGCAGTCAGGAGATGGGAGAAAGTTGTAGAAGGTCAGCCATCACTGCAGCCCTCTACTAGTCAGGGCTTTATGTCAGAGTGGCCCGTAGGAAGCCTCTCCTCAGTGCAAGACACATGAAAGCCCACATGTTTTTCAGCTGCAAGGACAAGATGACTAGTTGCAATCGAGGGAATGATGAATGTGATTTACCTTTCAACATGACAATGACCCTATACAGCAACAATAACAAAGGAGTGGCTTCATGGCATCTCTGTGACTGTTGTTAAATGGCCCAGCCGGGTTGAACCCAATTGAGCAACTCTGGAGAGAGCTAAAAGTGGCCATCCACCAACGTTCACCATCCAACCTGACAGAAATGGAGAGGATCTGCAAGCAGGAGTGGCAGATGATCCCCAAACCAGGTGTAAGAAACTTGCTGCATCTTTACCAAGAAGACACAGGGTTGAATTAGCTCAAAAGGAGCTTCTACTAAATACTGAGCAAAGGGTCGAATACTTAGGACCATGAGATATCTCAGTTTTTATTTTTCTGTGTGCTTTTCTGTCAATACAGGGTGCTGTGTGTACATTAATGAGGAAAAAAATTAATTGATTTTAGCAAATGGCTGCAACGTAAAAAAGAGTGAAAATTTGACAGCGGTCTGAATATTTTCCGTACCCACGGTAATCAGTCGTGGATGTGCATCCAGTGACTCTCAGTGTTTCTTTTAAATCCATCCACTAGTTTGTGACACTTGTTTCAGATACTATCAACATATTTGCACACAGGCAAAAACATCACCGGCCAACTTTCCGGTGATGCATTTTAGGGCCATAATAAATGTAGGGTTTATTGCTGCACGAGTACAGATGCAAACAGACCCCAGATGAATTTAGAGACGTGAAGCTTTTTTTTGTAGGCCAAACTCCTACAGATGTAATATTCTGGTCCCAACGTGCAGCACCTCTTGCCGTGGACAGGACTGAGTCATCTGCTGCCAAACTTGCCGGCTGACTGGCTGGTTGTGCAGTTTAGGTGCCCGGCTCTCTGGTTTGTTTGGCTACTTGCCTTGTGGTGTCTCTCAAACTGATTTAAACACATTTCCTCTGGATTAGCCAATCTCGCTCTTTTGCTCGTCTGTCTGGACTGACTCCCTGTGAGCTGCATTGATTACCCATCATCCTGTCAAGTGATAAAGAAGCTTTATAAAGATTCCACGCAATGTTAATAATGATAATAATTACTGGTGCATGCATGAGGAGGCTTCGTACACAGGATGAAGAAGCGTGTTTTGTCCTAATGTCTACCACAGATAATGTAACACACACACACACACACACACACAGAATCATTGTCCTTTTTTGGCACATGCAGGACTGACAGCAGGACATTCAGTAATGAGAAAACATCAGAGAATGGCGGCTGTGAACTTGAATGTGAGATTGTGGGGTGGAAATGAAAACGTTGCAGTGGATAAATGCACATTCTGTACTGAAGAGTCTCCAGGGGGGAGTGTATACTGCTGCTGATAGTGGCGTTAATAATGGATAGGCCTTCCACTATAAAGCAATGTGATTAGCTCCTACCCACAGTGGCCTGTTTCTATTCCCCCTGAATGACAGACGGGATGCAGCTGGAGTCTTTAGCAGCATCACTTAGAAATAAAGAAAGATGCACAGATTCAGACTCGTTGTAATTTAAATGTCTGATTAAAGGAAGCCTGCGTGTGTGCGTGCGTGTGTGCGTGCGCGCGTGTGAGCGTGTGTGTGAGATGAGGGTGCAGGGATGCTGTTTGTACAGGCTGTCCTTTGTGAGGCGTGCAGGGCTGTCTGAATGTACAGGAAGCAGTGATGGCATGCTCAAACCTACAGTCAAGGTGTTTCTTCTTGGGTCCGCTGACTTCGTGCGTCGTGGCCTTGCAGACGGCTTTGCTGATGGCGGAACCGGTCATACTGTGCTGCGCGGCGGCGATCCGGTCCGTCAAAGACTGGCCCGACATGTTCCAGCGGAGGAGAAGGAGGTGGTGCTGCTGGTGGAGGAGGAGGAGGAGGTGATGTCCGGGTGGGTGGGGGACCGGGGAGGACGATCAAAATGTCTTTAGAGGCAGGGAGGAGGGTAGTGCCCTCTGTGAGGAGGAGGATGACAGCAGCCGATGAGGATCCGGTGAGAGAATTCATGCAAATTCATCCAGACGCGTTTAAAATGCAATCAAATGCAGGATTTTCTTTCTTCTTTTTTTAACGAAAGGTTATTTTTCTGACTGAAACGAGACGCTCTGATCCCTGAAGCAGACGCAGCCAGAGCCGGCGGCGGGGTGCGTCCAGATATCAATAATCTACACGATGAGCTGCATCATGCATCCGTCACACGCGTCCTGCTGCAGAAATCCCGTCAGACATCATCGTACCGTCCTCTGTCGGATCCGCGCACACTGCATCAACCCCTCTTAGCAATCGTCTCACAAACAGGGAGGTTTTTTTTACCCTCTTCCAATAGGACAGTACTATTTCCCCCCTTTTATATATAGTGCCAGTTAAAGTTGCGTGTAAAATGGCAGCACATGAATCAGGTGACTGAGAGAGGAGGGTGATTGGGCCACTTTCTCTGGTCCGGGGAGGGCATTTTAAAGCAGAAGGCGGGTTTCTGCTGGAGAATGGCACCAGATGGTGTAATTGTAGGTGAATAAAGTGGCTCTGATAGTATTTAGGCTACCTACTGAATAATACTCACAGATTGTAAGGAGGAAAAACACGAATAAATTTGTTAAGATTTATATGAATGATACACTGATTATACCTGATTATTTCACAACACGGGGTACCAGGGGAGGTTTTAGACCAGTGGATCCCCAAGCTGGGGTCTAGCCCCCTCCCCAAGGGAGTTCCCAAGATTTCAGGGGGTCCCCACAATTTTGTCAGTGACAAGATTATATTTGTGAAAATTAGGGATGTAAGAAAATATCGATATGGCAATATATCGTGATATTTTACCAGCGAAATTATATTGATATTCAAAAGCCGTGTATTGGATTTTTGGAAGAATTCACATGCAAACATTTGTGTTTTTTCTTTTCTTTTGGTGCAATTCAAATGCCGACCGCTAATTTGCAGCAGTGTGCAACTGGTTTTGTTTCCACCATTAAAATGTTAATCCCTCTGTTATGGTTCAGAAACCTCATGTTAAACACGTTACGTATCACTTTGGACTGTTTATTAAACAATAAATTCAGTTGAAAAACATCACTAATATTGTCTGACTGAATGTATTGCAATATATTGTGATATATCGTATCGTCTCCCCTGTATCATGATACATATCATATCACCAGAATTTCACCAATACACATCCTTAGTGAAAATGCAGATGGTCAGTAGTTGCTTCAATGTAAAAAGTGTTCTACACATTTTTCTGTTACATTAATGTGGTTCACTTGTTTAATCAATAAATTTGCGTTGGTCTCTAGTAGAAATTAATGCCTTGCCAGTCGTTCTCGAGGGGACCATAAAAATATACCAGTGCACCATTTCCAGGAACTAGTAGTGACCCACATCACAGCTGAGAATCAGTCAGCAGGACTTGGAGTCTTATGCCACTTACACACTATAGCATCAGCTCCACTCCGCCTAGACCGGGTTGGGAGTGTTCTCATTTAGGTAGCCTTGGATTTTCCTGCATGCATGCAACTGGAAGTCTTTTCAGCCCTTTTCCCTAGGCGGTCTGCCTGGAGCCGAACAGGGCTAACACACCCACTGCCGGCTGATTGGCCGGCGAAAAATCACGTGTAGCATTAGAGGGAGCTTCCAATTGGCAGATATAATCAGCCCGCGGGGGCTTCCCGCATTCATGACTCATTATCATTCTGGATGCTGTAGAGTTAACGAGCATCTGACTGAAGCTGTTTTATTCTGTCCCTCATTGCTATGAGGACACACACACACACACACACAGTGCTGTCAGACACAGCAAAGCAGGATGCAAATTCAGAGTCAGAAGCTATTTTTACAGGACCATAGCGTTTTCAAAACGGGATTTGCCGCGGCACCCTGGGGAGGATTTTGGCATTTATAGTAGCAAAGCTGAAGCTAGAATATACTGCCATCAGACACCTCTCCAACCAAGACGGGATATAGGGAGGTTGCTGCCCCCCCCCCCCCCCCCCCGCGCGCATGTGACGTACAGGGTCGCGCATTCAGCGTCAGACGGAAGACACATCAGACTGATGAAATTTCTTTTTCAGGGCCTTTAGCTTTGATGTGACCTGCTTTTTGTCCCGCTTGACGCCCCGCTCAGCCAGTGTTTTCACCACTCTGTCGAACAGCTGGCTGTCTCTCACCGTCCCCATAAAAAGGTGACTAAACTGTGCATCCACTCGCACGGCCAAAAGCTCCATGGTCTCCGCATCTGTCCAGCCAGCTTTCCTTCTGGCCGGCACCCGGCGCGCAGTACATGTGACTAACGCAACCTCCCTCTTTTGCGGGGGGGCCTCCCACAGTCGCTCCAAAGGGATTAGCAGGGCTGACATGCGTTTAACCGTCAGAGGCAAGGGGCTGATGCGGCAATATTACTACCAAGCGAGGCGGAACGAATGCCGCGATATTTGCGCAACGCCATGCCGGCATGGCACGTTTATAGACATACCATTGCGGTAATATTACGCCTATATACTGGCATGGTGTGTCCTATAAAAGCGCCTAGAGAGTCTCCAAAAGCAAGACTGCTCAGGCCACTTTTGTTTAATAACGGAGACACTGCAGACTTTTCTGCGATTTTTTCCCCCTCCCATGTGCTCAATCACGTCCGCATTCCTATGGCAGTGTGGAACGAACCTGGCCAGGCTGGGGCAAGCGGAGCAGAGTGGAGCCGATGCTAGTGTGTGCTTGTTTTTTTCCTGATATTTGGACATCTCACTTCAGATTGAATAACGGCAATGCTACTCTAGCACTGACTTGTATTGTGGTTGTTTTATCTCCACAAATAACAAAAGTTTGAAGTTCTGCTGTTTAATGAAATTGCAAATGCTATAGGTTAGCTTCTGCTAGTTGAGACGTTCTCTGCTGAATCTTGGAAGCTGAAGCCTGAGTCATGCTTCTCTGTCAGCTCCAAATGGGAGGGACACGCACACACGGACAGAGACATTTTGCCCTCATACTTCTCCGTCTCCTGGGGAGTGTTGCAATGCAATTCCCCTTCAGGACAACAGAGGGCGTAGCGCTGTTCTGTGGTATCCTGTCATGTATCCGGTCCAAGATGGTGTGTTTAAATTGTGTTTTTTGTATAAAAGAGACTTTTTAACACAGACAAATTTGTCTCTCATTCTCCTTTTCATCTTCTTGCGCTCGCCACCTCTAAACCCACATTTCCTGTCATTTCTGTCCACAAATAAAATGCTTGCTGCGTATCTTTTCACTGCTCCAATCACGGGGGAATTAAACATTCATTTTTTAGAGTTTTTTCACGAGGTATTCTTCAAGCTTCTCCGTGTCTGCCGCTAGTTATTCTCAGCTCTCTTTATGTTTTTGAGGGCGCAATGGCAGTGGTGTAGACGACAGCGGTGCCCAGACCAATCACAAGCTTGCGTTCTCCGTCTCGACGGACGGATGTTTAGAAAAGAGAGCTCGACTCCGTCCATGCTTACGGGCCTGCTGGAGAGCACCGGCAAAGACAGATAATGGTGTTGCGTGTCTCCGCACTTACGCAGAAGCATGACCAACAACAGACTTCCCTGTCGTGAGTCAAGAGACTCCATAAAATTTTAAGTGAGTGTGATGTAAATCTGTCAGGCTTTTTAAATTTTATTTTCTATCAGAAGCTAAGGAGATGGGTGTTGGAGACTATTTCATGTTCAGCCTGCATGAAAAACTCAGTGACTGATTAAAATCAGAAATAATCATTTGAAATGGGTTTTCAGTGTTCCACACCTCTCAAAGTAAATGAAATTGTCTCCGCAGCACAACTTGACCAATGTTATTAACACTATTCTCAGCACTGGAGATTTCCCAATGATTTTTAAAGACGCAGTTGTACAGCCGATATTGAAGAAACCCGACCTGGACCACTCCTGTTATGAGAATGTCCGACCAATCTCAAAAGTTTTGTTTCTTTCAAAGGTTTTGGAAAAAATTGTTTACACACACATTTCTGCTCACATGGACAGCAACTCTCTGTCAGATGTGTTTTAGTCTGCTTTCAGGCCACACCATAGCACTGAATCTGCCCTGATTAGGGTGCTGAATAATATTCTGGTGGCATCTGACTCTGGGTCTCTGCTATTGCTGCTCTTGTTGGACCTCTCTGCAGCCTTCGATACTGTCAACCATCGTATTCTATTAGACCGTCTTGGGTGGGGGGTGACGGGTATTGCCCTCAAATGGTTCAGCTCCTAGCCAACCCAACTGTTACTGTTCAGATTGGTGACTGTACCTCTTCCTGTCTCCCGCTGCCTTGGGGTGTGCCGCAGGGCTCCGTCCTCGGGCCACTCCTTTTTTCCATATATATCTCGCCGCTGGAACAGCATGGTCTTCATTATCACATCTACACTGATGATGAATATGGCACTTAATGGGAAAAGCGTGGACTCCCAAGTGTCAGCATGCTTGGCTGAGGTTAAGGGCTGGCCGGCTGCCAATTTCCTTAAATAAGTTAAAAACTGAGTATCGTTTTTGGCCCCCGCAATCCCTCAGGCTCTCTTTCTTCTTTTGACTTTTCTACCCTAAACCCCAAGCAGTGTGTAACCAGTCTTGGGGTAAAATTGGATACCGCCCTCTCAATGGCCCCTTGGATAAACTCAGTGGTGAGGTCATATTTTTATCAGTCATGCCATCTAACTCTTCTATGACCAATCCTGAAGCGGAGGCACTTGGGATCAGTTATACATGCTTTTATCACCTCTCGCATGGACTATGCAAACGGGTGAACCAGCTGCAGATTGTCCAGAATGCTGCTGCTAGATTTTAAACAAACACAAATCGATGTAGCCATGTCACCCCGGTCCTGGAGAATCTCCACTGGCTCCCCGTTACCTTTCATGTATGGTTTAAGTTATTGACCTTTGTGTTAAAAGCCTTACATGACGTAGCACCTCCTTATCTGTCTGACCTGCTCACCCCCTATGTGCCCACGCGCATTTTAAGGTCAGCTGATCTTCTGCTACTTTGCACTCCCTGTCCAACAAATAATGGGTTGAACTAGCATTTGTCTATGCTGCCCCCATGCCTTGGATTACACTCGTCATTACAGTCAGGCAGGCATCCTCTCTGGCTGTTTTGAAGTCCCATTTAAAGACCTACTTTTATGGTTTGGCCTTTAGCCAGTGACTCGTTTATTGTATTTATTGTCCTTATTGTTTTTACTGCTTTTATTTGCTTTTACTGCCTTGCATTGATTGGTTCTACTTTTATTGGTTTCAGTCTTATTTTGTTTTTAAATGGACCTGCCTGTGCAGCACTTTGGTCAGCTCTCACACTGTATTTTAAATGTGCAACAGAAATGAAGTGGTATGGTATGGTATAGTTAAACACACAGCATGTTGGACAAAACAAGTTCAGGCGGGCTATGAGAGCAGCCATACAAGGCGCTCATTAACTCTGTTCAGTAAATTCAACATTTCATTTCTTAGAAGTTATGGGTTTTAATTTATTTAAAATTTCATTTGATATCTTATTTTTCTCAGTAGCATCAATGAAGTATTTGATTATCTATTTTCATCTTCAGATAAATGCATTCACACACATTGTGTCATGACTCGAGGTAAGTGCCTAACCCAAGACATGCAGAATCATTGCTCGTCGGGCAGAATAGGTAAAGTTCTTTATTACATAAACGGGAACAGAAACAGCACAGGGAAGTCCTGTGAGAGTGAGCAGTGCAGCTCTTGTCCATGTAGCGTTCGGGATGAACGATAGAGGAGGGGAAGCCGGGGTGAGCGCTGGGCAGAGGGTGAGCGCTCCGGGAGGGGTGAGGTAGCAGAGGGAATCCAAACAGGAACAACGGAGGAGGATGGGATGTGGTGTATGAGATCCAGAGTTCGTAGGCAGCAAGGGTGGAACAGGTGGTGAGAGAATCCTGAGGGGAAGGGAAAACAAATACCAGACGTAAGGGGTAATCCAAAACACAGTCCGAGGTCATAAATCCAAGAGGCAAAAACGAGTCTTAACATGAACAAACTTGAACAAGAACAAGTGGCTGAGGCTACCTAAACTGGTGCAATCATCCGGCAAAGTGAGGTGTCTCCATCCTCCTTTTAAACCCGCGTCCCTGATTTGGGAATCACCTGCAGCTGCTGCTCCCTCTGTTCCTCACCTGTGGAAAATCAGCTCAATACTGATTAGAGATGGTGTGACTCACCTCTGCCCAGGAACATGACACATTGGTTCATTAGGCTAAACTAATCACCAAAAAAAATTCAGTACTTATTCAAGTTTAGGCTCCGCCCTCAGCAAGGGGGCCTGACCGATTGCTGTCAGTGGGGCACTGGCCCACCCTGGACCCCATTAGAATTGCCTCTGGGTATAATTTAGTTTTAAGCTGTACAAAACATAATTTAAAAGTCTGCAATTGATGGCATTTCATGTAGATATACTTTTATATTTAACATTTGTACATTACATTTTTTTTACAAATGCATTTTTATGTGTAATGTTTTAATTTGATTTTGTACCTATTAATTATAATCAGCCTGATTTTTTTCCTTAAGCTTTATTCACCTTTTACAACATCTGTCCCTGGGGGCGAGCCTAGTGAAGCTAATGAAATAAAACAGCAAGCTCTGATGCAAATGTTACACTTTGCACTTAAACCGAGTTCATGATTCGTCTCTCTCAGCTTTCGTGGCATTTTATTTGCACACTGACGAGCCGTGATCATGCCGTTTAATCGCTTTTGCACAATTATAATGATTGATCTGTGTGTTTTAATGGCCTAATTAATGCAGGTGTTTTATAGTCTTCTGATTCATCCTGATTAAACACTAAAAAAACACGAAAAACACATTTGTGCAAGAAAACTCAACTCGTGTTTTTATTGCTGTTTTAGGTGGGTTTTACAGTTGAATGCAGACAGTTCTTTGTTACTGTGCAAGTTAAAGCTATTAAACATCAAAGGGGGTGAAGTCGAATTGAAAACATTGAATTTTAAGTAACACTCAAGGCAGATTCAACAAAGGCAGCTGTGTTTATGAAAAAAAAAAACACATACAGCGAAGGCCAGCATTTGGACCAGCAAGATATTGATTTTTACCATTGTAAACAACAACTCTACAATAATAGAGCCCACAGTTTGACAGTGAATCAGCTCTGAATGAAAAACAGTCGTTTTGATGCGTCTCGAGTCCAAGACTCACCTCTTGAAGGCTTTGGAATAAAAATGTTAATTATTTTTGTGAATGCCAGATACTGGCCTGCAGGATGAACCGTTCTTTATATTCTTTTATTATTTATTCTGAAATTAGAGCAAAAGAAACCCAAAAGTACTGTTCAGCTCCTGAGCCATTATTTTCTCGGCTGTAGTCTGACAGTTGAGTAGTCACCACTTCATACATGACGAGCAGTAAAAACGACTCTTGGCAGTGCTCGCGCTCCCAGACAGGACCATGGAGCTGGGTTCTTGCTCCGCCTGAGAGCGCTCCTCATTGGTCAGGATGTGCTCCACCAAATAGTGAGTTGCTTCCTCAATATTCGTGTTCTCCTGATAAAAAAAGAGTTTTAAAATATTTTTAAATTTTGCAGAACCATTAATTGTTTTTCTTAATGAGGTCACCTTTGCAGAGGTTTCAAACCAGCCCACGAAGCCATTTTCCCTGCAGAATGAGTCGAGTCTGGGCAGCTGGGATGCCGTCTGGTCCGACTTGTTAGCTACAAGAACTGCTGGAACTGGTCTCCCATGGCTCAGAGTCACCTTAGGAGAGACAAAGGCCAAGAGGACAGGTTGTATTTATATAACATTGTTATTTAAGAGTACTTCCAAAGAACACTAGAGGATTAAAAGTGTTTTATGTGCACCAATATCAAGATTTTTCAAGCCAAATTTGCAGGTTTTTTTATATCCAGGGATTTTTTAGATGTATAAGTGTCATTTCTACTAAAAGATGCTCAGAAGGATCAAGGAAATCACACAAGTAAACCAACCTAAACTCTTTTTATAGTTTAAAACTGGGGTCTGTAACGTGATGTCATCAAGGAGAGGCAGAGATCTTTAAATCTGAACAGCTATAACTGCCGCCCCTAATGCCCCTCCTTCTGGAAGGAGCTGAAAGCCACGCCTCATAACGTGCATGTGCACTGGGGCACACCGGAGACAGATGTGCCGTGGAAACGCTGCAGTTTTGAAGTTTAAATATTTTTTTAAATTTTTATTTTATTGAAGGCATTCGACAAACATACAAGGCATAGAACATTTAACATATCCTTCTATATTACCGTAACGATTGAGCAAAACCAACATTATGCAGCATGTATATGACATATTATGATTACAGAAATCAAACCACACGAACAGAAAAAAAAAAATAATAATGAATAAATAAATAAAAACATATGAGGGGCCATTTTATATTAACTTGAATTTTTCAAATAAAGAATGCAATTTAAGGGCTTTCTTATCTTTAACCAGTTAAAGAGACTTGCTAAGGAGATTTAGCTCATTCCCCAAATGAGTCAGAGAGGGTTTGGTCTTATAGAATCCATACTTGTGAATAAAAAACTTACCAAATTGCAAAAGAAAGTTAAGGACAAAATCCACATCCTTATTTTCAATAGAAACACCAAAAAAATTGTCTTGACAGACAAAGGTAATATAACATTTCTGAACAATAGCCAGCTCTGCATCTCTCTCCAAAAGGTTTGCACAATATCACAATAAAAGAACAGGTGTTCTAATGATTCAATATTCTCTAAACAAAAGAAACAGTTACTATGGTCAAAACTGAATCTCAACCTCAAAAATTCCTTTGTTGGATAGTCACAAACAACATCACGCAGGGGACTTGAGAACAGGAAGTGGGAAGTGACTTTTTTATACGTGATCAGACTTGCCGTAGTATTTTGTAAGACTAATTCATTAAAAATCAATAAGTACTCTATTTATTAGAATTTTTAGGATCAATAGTACTTTAAAGTTATCAAAACTGCAACTGGGTTTGTGCCGTAAAGCCGTTCCGCGTCATAATGTCTGTTGTTACGTACTCCACAATAGTGCAAACAGCCGTGACGCCACGAGACAAAACAACGCTGACAACACCACATTGAGACGCAGACAGGGTTAAATACACTGGGGCAGGATGAGTGGGAGATGAGCTGCAGGTGCGTGGGGAGAGAAACCTAGTGAAATCAATTAACTAATCAGGGAGAGGAAGGTGAGCTGAGGAGGGGAAAATAACATGACCTAAGAATAAAAACAAAACCTAAAGACTAGAAGAGCAAGATAAATAACTAATGATCTGAGGAGGAAGGAGAACTAAAAAACCCGGTGGGGAAAGAAACACTAAAAGAGACTGATTAAATGAAAAGCTGAACCTATAGAAAAACTACAGAGGGGTGACCAACGGGAGCACAGGACCTGGAGGGATACCTGGGGGGAGAACCTGGAGGGGCTGCAGACAAGGGGACACCTGAGGAACACAAGGAGACACATAAGGGGATCCTAGAGGGGGATGGAGAACACAAGGAGACACATGAGGGAGACGCAGACCGTGACAAAGCAATAAGTCTTTTAAGAAGACACTAAATTCTCTCTCTTTCTGTGACACACACACACGCACACACACACACACTCACACACACACTCACACACACACACACACACACACACACACACACACACAATCACTGTTGCAGTCTGTGGTAATTGGGTGCCTTTCTGAGCCCAGAGGATTTCACATAATTCAACCGTGTAGAGAGAAAACACAAGAATCTTCAAAAGAGAAAGGAAGCTTTTCTCATTTCTCATCAGTTTCTATGTCAGAACCGCCTGTGGTGAAGAAAGAAAACTCTGGGTTTGTGTGTGAGACACCTTTGAGTCCAGGTCCTCCTTCCACTTCAGCACAGCATCAAACGTGGAGGCCCTGGTCACGTCAAACACCACCAGAGCTCCAACCGCCTCTCTGTAGTAGACCCGAGTCATGTTTCCATAGCGCTCCTGTCCTGGGACCAGAAGAACAGCTGTCAGACACAAAGAGCATCTTTTATTAAAGACAAAAACGTGTTTCTCTGTGTGTTACAGGAGCTGCCGTCATGTGGGTGATTACTGAGTCACCAGGCACAAGGTCTACATTCCACACGTCAGCATCAAATGCAGGGAGGGACTCAGGCATGCAGTGGAAGGATAAAGTATCTTGAGCCAATTTAGAAAGTAAAAAGTCACACACAGTTCATAAATAATGAATCATTTATTTGATTCTAAATAAACCACAACGCCGGCTTCTCTCTGTAAAATAAAATAAAAAATCCCATTTGGTTGTAACAGACCTGCGATGTCCCACAGCTGCAGCCGGATCACAGTGTCCCCATCCCACTGCAGCACCTTCAGGGCGAAGTCCACCCCGATTGTGGTTCTGTAGTGCTGGGAGAAGATCTGCTGGACGTACCGCTGGATGATGGAGGTCTTTCCAACCCCTATGTCCCCGATGACCAGGACTTTGAACAAGAGCTCCTGTTGCATAGTGGCAGCTCGACGAGAAGAAAACAACTAGTAGTAAAGTAAGTAGTAAAGTTGGTAAAAACTTTGAAAAGATGCAGATAAACCTGTTAACTGGCTAATAGGTTTTGTGGGGTTGAGTTAACAAGCAGTATTTCTGATGTGAAAGTGATAATCAAATGAAGTCATAAATGAATGAAAAGCAGTGGTCAATAGAGCTGACGTCATAACAGCTTAAGTCTGCTTTTGGCTCCTGGTGATGCATTCAGGTACTGCTCATAAATATCAACTTCATACTCAGCTAAAATTATTTAACTAAGAGTTACAATTATCTTGTAATTTTTTTAATTAATTTTGTTTTTTTTTTGTTTTGTTTTTTTTTTTTGCCGTTTTTCCCATCAGAAAGCTAACATTTACCTAATTAATTTAACTCTTAATTTCAAACAAGTTTGTTGTAATGCCACAGTGTCGCCACACGAGGACGCCCGTGACGATAAGAAGCAGAAATCCAAGATCAACAGCTACAAGATAGTTCACTTCTTTGTATTTGTTGGTCCAAATAAACCTCCTCGGCTACCCTGTTCACCACCGTGTTGTAAAATGATGTTTTTTTTTACACAGTTATAGTATTTAAATGACTTAATGTCACATGGGTGGGTTCATTTCAATTCAGTTTATTTATATAGCACCAGTTCACAACGAGTCGTCTCAGGGTATTTTACAACGTTAACATTCCATTTGAACCTGAGTTCAGTTCATTATTCCAATTAGTTAAAAATTTCCTGTCAGGAATATTACAAAATAATATACTTTGTATCATGAATGTGAAGAAAAAGTAAATTATTCATGTTTTAATTAAATATTTGTAAATAATTCAAAATATCAGTCAGTAATGTTATTTACTGGTCCGTTTTTTTTTTCTTTTTTTTTTTTTTTTTTTTTTTGTCTCCAGGCATTTGTGGACCTGATGAGGGAAATCTTTGAGCTGGTGAGGGATGGGGACATCAAGATCCAGGACAGCTGGGAGGGCGTTAAAAGCGGATTCGTCCCCAACACGGTCCACTCCTCGGAGGAGGTCACCGAGGGCGGACGGCAGTGCTTCTGCTGATTTACTGGTTTCCTGTTCCCGAGGCTGACTTCAGACCAACTCTCGGGACTGTTCATCTCTCTTCCTGTCCAGTTCTCTTCCACCTGTAATCTCCACATACAGGTGCCAGTTTGGGTCAAACTTATGATGAGGTTAGAAGCACAAGAATCATCCTGACCTTTCACCCTCTGTCTGCATGTTTCTTTCAGCAGCAACACTTTAGCTTTACGCCACCGCTGGCCTTTCCTGACACTCCGGTGGCTGAGACGCTGTGACCAGGAGTGTTTTCTGTCCGAGTTTCAGTGTGAATTTAATCAGAACCAGTGACTGATTTGTGTTTTACTGCTGCCTTGTGTGGACTCAGCCCAGGTAGTCAGGAGCCACATGATGATGAGAGTAAAGCGCTGAGCTGGGCACAAGGAAACCTGCTTGTGTTTTGACGTCAGCAACTATTTTTACCTATACGGGTAAGAAAATTCGTTTCAATGAGGTTTTGGTGATGAAAGCAGTGAAATCTGTATTTGAAATCAGTCTTCTGGGCTCAGTTTGAGAAGTAATGCCTAAAAATTAAATCTTTAAATCAGATTATAGGTTGGTTAATAAATCCAAGTGTTATTACATCAGTAACAAACTACTGGATGAGTCCAACTCTTACACCTGGTGGAGGGAGAATTTGCAGAGTGCCTTTTGGATGAAATATCATGTGACATCATTTGTTAATTTATGTGGAGGCCAACCGTGACAAAGTCCTCTATTGATGTGTTTTTGTGACCCAGTTTATTTTATGACAGCACAAGTGTCATCAATAATAAATGACTGGAAACGTGATCAAACTTTTGGTGGGGAAGAACAAGCTTGAAGTGTTTAAATCGGGGGTCGGCAACCCGCGGCTCTTTCATCCATCTGATGCGGCTCTCTGTGCTTGTAAAATAATGAATGGATATTTAAATAAAATGCTTTATATTTTACTGCATTAATTTTACATCTGTATGCCAATTCTAAATGTAAAGATTGTCTGCGTAAACCTGAACAGTTCCAACCCGGTCTTACTGTGAGACCGGGTTGACGCGTCACGCTTGTGCGTAATCATAGGCGCTTTCTGAGCTGAAGAGGATGTGAGATTCTGGGATTCTTCTCAGACAGACTCCTGGATGTGTCGCCACATTGGAGACAGGAACAAGCGCTATTCAGCCAAAGTTTCATAATCAGGAACATTTTCTAAGTGACAAGTCTTGCTTCAGTCGGAGGAATCTTCCTGCATGCGCTCTGGTTCTGAGACGCACTCCAAGCCCCTCTCCACATCTTCAGCTCACTGTGCTCTGTACGTACGCGCTGACAGTGAGCTGCGCTGAGCTCAGTGTCCAGCTCAGATGTTCAGAAGGAAATCTTTTCTTGAGTGATTTAACTACATCTTCAATGTGCGAAACAAATAAAGTGTCAGTTCGTCTGCTTGCGTCGGGGTAATTCTTTCTATTCTTTCTCCGTCAAATACGGGAACTGTCCGGTCAACACAAGCCCTGCTTTTAACTGTTCTGTTTTCTTGTGAAAATTGTTGCAAAGAGATATAATTTAACTTGATTAACACCAGAGTCAGGCGCACTGCGCCGTTATCTATGTCACTGTAAATGAGGGAAAAACAAAATGATCGGATCATTTTCTGACCTTCCCCACCTACAAAGTTTAATTACAACAATCAAATGGGACAGAGCCTGGATTTGTATTCTGAACAGTCTAAACATGTTTGAAAAAGAAACGTATGACAAAAGTGACACCTGCTCAGTAAAACCACCAACGGTGAAAAATATCAAAATATTGTAGGCAGAGACGGGCTACAACTTCTGGATCCACTTTATATAAATCGTTTTATTGATTATCGTCTTATGAAAGATAGCTTTGACGTACAGGAGCGACTGGTACTGGCTGCTGTCACCTGTTGTGAGCAGCTCTCTGCTGTCTGAGGGTAGACCCCACCCACAACGCCGCGGCTGCTGTGGCTCCCAGTGTTTTCTTTACTGTGGGAAATGGGTAATAATGGCTCTTTGATGGGAACAGGTTGCCGACCTAAATGATGCCACTAGAGGGCATCGTGGGGCCGCAATGAGAATAGAAGGAACCGTTTAAAACCAAAATCTGAGAAATAACTTGATTTTTCTTTTTATTTATTTATTTATTTATTTTTTGCTTTGATCAAAAGGTAAATGGAGTTTGGAACATTTGATCCACTAGAAACTTAAGCATGAAAAAACATTCAGTTAAAACTCACCTTATTATTTTCATTAATAAAGATACAAACAGGAGCACAAAAAGGTAAAGATGCAGAAACTTTGAAAGTAAAAAAATGAAACCATATATGTCGATGGTTTAGCCACAGGTACTTTTAATTACCCAGTGTAAAAAGAAAATAAGGGTAACTGGTCTCATAAACCAGTGGATGGTTCTAATAGACTGGGATTACTGGATCTGGAAAACAGGTTTTAGTTTACTCAGACATGACAGAAACTTAACTAATGTCTCAGCTTAAAAGATAAAATATGACAGGAGAGAACTTTTCAAGTGTCTTAAACTTTATTTATTGATAGGAGACAAGGTCTGCAACCTGCATCTGGAGCCACATCTGGCTATTTGGACCTTCCACAATGGCTCTTTATAACTTTGGCCACATTTTCTTTTAGAGGTTAGAACTCATTTTAATAAAAATATGTAAGTTCAAGCATTTTTTGCAGTTTTTAATGGGATAATTGCATTACGTTCCCAAAACATTATGTCATTAAAGGTGTACGCATTTTCTTGAACCAGTATGTGCTACAATGACCTTTTACATGGTTAATGAAAGGTCACCCAGCCCTTATCACCCCTGTGGCCAGAATATTCCACTTGCAACTTCAGAGTTGCTGGTCCGCTCTGTTGAGGGCTGACATATAAGGCGTCGTGGTCTGCTCCCAGCACGTTTCCTGCATGTTTTAGATGAACACAGCTGATTAGTTTAAATTAGTGACGAATCACTCCTGTAGACACTAATGAAGGCTGGGAGACATTTCACCTGTTAGATTAAGGTGTTAAAAGATGAATGCACAGCGAGGTTCTACAATTGGACACTAGGGGGTGCTAAAAGCAAGCCAAAACTGCCCAGTATCCCTTTAAAAGTCCATCCATCCATCCATTTTCATCCGCTTATCCGGAGTCGGATCGCGGGGGCAGTAGCCTAAGGCGAGAGGCCCAGACTTCTCTATCCCCAGCCACTTGGGCCAGCTCCTCCGGGGGAATCCCAAGGCGTTCCCTGGCCAGGTGAGAGACAGTCCCTCCACCGTGTCCTGGGTATACCTTTAGGTCTCCTCCCGGTTGGACGTGCCCGGAAAAACTCACCAGGGAGGCGTCCAGGAGGCATCCTGACCAGATGCCTGAGCCACCTCAACTGGCTCCTCTCGATGTGGAGGAGCAGCGGGTCTACTCCGAGCCCCTCCCCCTTTAAAAGTACTAATATTAATATTGATTTAGGTTTTTTTAACATACTTTTCAGTAAAATCAGCATCCCATAGAAAATATAGATGAAATACACACTCCATTCTTTTTGCAAATGTTATTGTTCTCGCTTGATTTTAAAACCTAATAAAAATAAAACCGTGTTTTGTCCAAAAAGGACAACAAATCTCATATTTATAGAGAAGGGGAAATAAATATTGCTGACTTTAATCTAAAAGAGGAATAAATAATATTCCCCCTCTGGCTCGAGTCCTCTTGCCGTAGATATTTCTCAAAAATGATAAATTCCTTTTGGCAGACGCCTGTGGTAGAGGAAAACACACCCGAGGTCACCTGACATCATATTGGCTGCTGGGTGAAGGTGTAACACACACACACACACACACACACACACACACACACACACACACACACACACACACACACCTGCCAGTCAGGTCACACTGGTTGTTTTAGAGAATTCAAAGCATCTCAGTCATTTTCTGTTACATAAACCAGTTAAAATGTTTTCAGCAGAAACTCAGATTTAAGAAAAACTGAATCAAATCTAAATGATGAATAATTTTTAGTTTTCAGCTCCACCTGTGATGCATAAAGCTCAACTTTAGCTAAATGAAAACCTGCCTCATCTGGTTTTAAAGCACAATCAAGCTGAATGTTGGCCGTGCGCTCGGTAAGGCGACTGACTCACGAGTCACGGACAAACGGGAACCCAAAACCACAATATGCATCACTTTTATTAAAAAAGGAAAATTAAAATACAGTTTATTTTTACATGACAGCAGTATGTACAGGATGCAAAACAGAAATAAGGTGCTGCTGTTGATGAGACAGCACCAAACGGGGAGATGACTGGATACGTTTTTCCAAAAGGCACAAAGGCGGGGTGTGATGAGCGCCATGAGTCAGACGCTTCACGCAGATAATTTAGTGGCAGGTTTCTGTGGAAAGCCTCTTCGTTTTCAGCTGATGCAACCTGTGACAAATCCTTCGGTTTGGATTTAATCAGCAGGAGGACTAAAGATCTGCTCCACTTTGGGGGATTTGGTCCAGAGACTTTAGCTTCCACAGGAGCAGATCTGATTTGGCTTTCAGCAGCATCGATTCCTTCCTGGTTAATTTACAAAAACGGCCTCGAATTACATTTAAGTTCACATTCGCCCCCAAATACAAATGATATATGCATATTTTACAGCATTTATACAAAGATCCAGTTCTCGGCGAATACTGTACACTCTACAGTAAAGCACTTTACTAGCACAGCAAATAAGCTCTCCGATGGACTCCAAAGGATTATGGGTAAAAATAGGTTTAAATATGTTAAAAAACCAACTTTTAGTGGTCAATCTTTTTTTTTTTGGAAAGCAGTTTCCAAAATAGTTCAGTTTGGTTGAGAGGGACCAAAATATTTCATGTGACAGAAAATAATAATAATAAAAAAGATCAGCAGTCTAAAAACTGTACAGGAACATTGTCTAAAAAGCACATTTGTGCAAATGAATACGTAATGGCAAGGAAACGTATTTTAAGATATACCAAAAACAACTATAAACACATAAATATTAACATTTCTATTAAACAGAAGTAAATAAAGTGTAAAAATAAACACAAGTGAAGAGAACTTAACAGACAAAGCTGCCAAGAAATAAATGTTTCAACCTTTGTGGAAAACTTTTTCACAAGAAGTTAAAAAACCTGGCTGTAAAACTAGATTTTAGTGGGAAATAAAACCAACTTCAGTTTTATCGAAGGTCCTAATTCCTCCTAACAGAAAAGCTCTTTCATCTAAGAATAAGTCTGGGAAGGATCTTTAAACAGATATGTAAGAAACTCATTAAAAGGACTATTTGACATAAACGGTTAGGAACAAAGCTCTAATTTAAGTCTGAAGAGTTGAAATCAAAGGCCACAGAACGAGTGAAACCAGAGCGGTTGTCTGAGGGTCTGTGGGGCAATAAGCTTTGGATGTTGAACATAAACATGGACCCGACCTTACGTAAACTCAACAACAAGCCGTTGCACTAAGACCGTAAACCAGACACATGAAGAAGAGGTGATGAGCGGCGGTGTTGTTGCTGGGCTCTGACGCGTCACTCGGGGGTGCGAGTGAGTTCATACTGTGGTCCTTAAAAGCCAGAACGGTTAAAACGTAACAAAGTTCCGTTGTGTTACGCCTGCTGAGGGTAAAGGCTTAATCAAACCAAACGGATGGTCCAGAAAATGGCGTCTAGTAGTCAAGTTAATCAGCCTCCGAATCAGAGGTATGAGGTGTGTGGCGTTTTCCTGCCCTCTCTCCCGTTAAACCCAGAGCAGCGTTCTAATCCACCTATGCTCCAGATGATTGGAGAGTAGCTGCTCTACGTCGCCCCCCTCAGGTCTGTGCCGCTCCACATCAGGGGCTGCTGCCCCCCTCTACGTCGCTCTCGTCAGGGGCGCCCTTGTAAATGGGGCTCTTGTTCTGCAGCGCGGGTTCGTATTTACGTGGGGACGACCTGTTGGTGGCTTCACTGCTGTTCTGGATTCCGTAGAAGAAGTAGATGGCGAAACCTGAAAAGGAGAGGAAGGAAGCAGAAGGGAAGTTATGAAACAGCTAACCCTTTTGGAGCGACAGAAGCAGGATCTGTGGGATTCAAACGCACCAATCAGCATCCAGACAGCGAACCGGCACCATGTACCCAAATCCAGCTGCATCATGAGGTAGATGTTGACAAAAACACTGAACAGGGGCAGCCAGGGCAGCAGAGGGACCTGGAGACAACAGAGGACACATTTTAAAGAAACACCAAAGTTTTTATCACTTTAAGCTATTACTTTCAAACATGGTTTCAGCGATTCCTGAAGCACTCAGTAGCCCTCTGCTGACCAGAAACAGTACCTAACAGTTTAGTGGTTCAGGTAGGAACAATAGTGGGGGTCTCTACCTGCTTCATGGCAACAGCTGTTTACTGTGCAGACCAGCACTTAGCTACCAACCGTCAATAAAAAGCGCAAGAAGAATTGAGCTTTTCTGGCATCATGTCGATGGCCTTGCTTTGTTCAATTCAATTCAAAAATACTTTATTGATCCCAGAGGGAAATTGATTGCTGTAGTAGCTCAGAATAATAATAATAATCAAGTTGTCAAAGAGTTATTGTATATCACAATGGCTGTTGGCAGGAAGGATCTCCAGTAGCGGTCAGTGTTGCAGTGAAACTGAAGAAGCCTCTGACTGAAGACACTCTTCTGTTGTCAGACAGTCTTGTGAAGAGAATGCTCGGGGTTGTCCATCATTTTCTTGATTCTCTGGAGAATCCTTCTTTGCATTATCTCCTCCAGTGGTTCCACAGTCGTCCCCAGAACAGAACCAGCCTTTTTATTAGGCTGTTGAGCTTTTTCAGGTCCCTGCTTCTGATGCTACTACCCCAACAGATGATGGCTGAAGAGATTACACTCTCAACAACAGACTTGTAGAAGATCTGCAGCATCTTGCTACAGACACTGAAGGACCTAAGCGTCCTCAAGAAGTGCAGTCTGCTGTGTCCCTTCTTGTAAACAACTTCAGTGTTCTTTCTCCAGTCCAGTCTGTTGTCCAGGTGAACTCCAAAATATTTGTATTACTCAACCACCTCCACTTCTTCTCCCATGATGGAAACAGTGTTTGACTCCACCCGGTTTCTTCTGAAGTTGCTACAGGACTTAACATTTTTTGGCCAACAGTGTGAGTCTTTTTACTTTGTGATTTATTTAGTAAGACATAGCTTGTGTTGGAATTAGCACGTTGTAATTCCAATTTCAACCAGTAGAGGGAGAAGCAGAAAACTTTTTTTTTTAGTGATGCTTTAAAAACTAAATCAGGAAAAAATGTCCGAGGCTGATTTCAGCAAACCTACCTTGAAGGTGAGAGCCTCTTTACTCTCCGGCTGCCTCCAGATGATGATGATGCAGACGACACAGAGCAGAGCCAAGATGACACAAGGGACCAGGACACCTGGATGAGCCTTGAGCAGACCATCCAGACAGTTGGCCAGGATGATGCAGAGCGCTGTGATGAGAACAGCTGCAGACACACGAGAGGAGACATCAGTGTGAGGAGGATGTCAACATCTGGATGACGCCACTCTACGCTAAATCTGGACTTACATATGACAGCAGTAGTGCCGTAGACGATGGTCCCAGAGGTCTGCGTCGGGACTTTTCCACTTGGACAGAAGAGCAGCTTGATGGTGAAGGTCTCTTTGAGGGAACGGTCGTCTGTCTCCATCCCATACTCGTCACCGCTGTCCTCTCCACCTACAGCCACCTTCTCCCCTTCCACCAGCTCCACCAGCTTCTCCGTCTGACTGGGTGAGTTTAGATTGCCCGGCTGATACCTATGGAAGGCAAAAATGTAATTACGTTCTAAAACACAAACGCACAAATGAAACTGGAGATTTTAGATCAAACGTGTGGAAGAATGAAAGTGTAAAACCTCTATGACCTTTGAACAACGGCTCAACACAGAGCAATGCTTTTAAAGTAGCTTCAGGGGAACGAGCAGGAAGCATTAGAACACCCGCTGCTATAAAGCTTCAGACTCACAATGAGCTGATGGAAAATAAAAAGTGCTTACCGAAGAATTAGGACACAGATGGCCACCAACGAGTAGGCCAGCAGAGTTCCTATGGACATGAGGTCGACCAGGGCTCCCAGGTCAAACAGGAATGCCATCAGAGCTGTGAGGGAAAAAGGAAATGTTGGAGCTGCTGTTCCATCTCAGGAGGCGTTATTGATCCTGGACTGACAGACCGCTGAGGCAGGAGATAGAGCCGTTACCTCTAATCTCACAGAAACCAAATGACACAGCAAACACGGCCCGTTGCCTCACAGCAGAAAAGAACCAGAGAGATACAAGGATCAACAACTGACAGGGCTGTTTTACCTGCAACGATGCCAGAAACGATGGTGGCCAGGATGGGGGTCTTCGTGCGGGGGTTCATCCTGGACAGCGAGCGGAACAGCAGGCCGTCTTCGGCCATGGCGTAAATAACACGGGGCATGGGGAACATGGAGCCCAGGAGGCTGAGAGAAGATCAGCTGTTAGCATTTTACTTACAGGATCGTGGTAGCCGTGATTCAATTATCTGAGCGTCCTCACCTTGTGGACAGAGCGCAGAGGGAACCCACAGCCACGATGTACCTGGCAGGAGCCCAGCCCACATGACTGAAGGCCTCAGGCAGAGGACTCTCCGAGTTCAGCGCGTAGTATGGCATCATCATGGTCAGGGCGGCGGAAACGCCAAAGTAGGCGAAGAAACAGATGAGCAGCGAGGCCACGATGCCGATGGGGATGGATCTCATTGGGTTCTTCGCCTCTTCGCCTGACGATGACAAAATATGAATGTTTTCTATTCTGCTCCCCATGAACAACAAATAAAGAAACAAATATCTGGAACTCGGTAACTCACTGGTTGTTGCGATGCAGTCGAAGCCCACAAAGGCGTAGAAGCAGGTGGCCGCACCGCTCAAGACTCCAGCAAAGCCAAATGGAGCAAAATTCCCTTCGCCAAATTCTTCCTGTACACTGATGGGCAGAAAAAAGACGATTCAGGAGAGTTCATCGTCTTACAACCAAGAATAATTCCACATTAGATGATCAAACACATTTGTTTGTTCTAATTAGGGTGTAAATTCACTCACTTTGCAGTGCGATTGGTTTCCTTTACGAATTGCTGGTAATCGTCGTTTGTGAGCTTCCAGTTGTTCGTGTCCCCCTTAACGAAGCCGGATATGATGACGAACCCCAGAACCACCAGATTGATGCCCGTGAAGATTTTGTTCACCAGTGCTGACTCGCTCACGCCAAAGGCCAGCAGTCCTGAGAGAAGGAAGCGAGAAGAAATTCATATTCAGCATCGACAGCTTGCCGCTCCGTCCGCTGAGGGGGCGGACATGTTCCCACTTTAACACGTCCAAAAAACCGTCGCTCAGCAAAAGCACTTCTTTCTAACAGCGCTGCTGAAATGTCGCCTTCGCTGTGAGATGAGTGTGAAGACTGTTCCGAGTTAAAGATCCATGTAGCAGTTTGACCAAACAGGAGTGTTACTTCCTGTTCAAGCCTCTCAGAATTAAAAACAACAACAAAGATTGGGATAAAAGCAAAAAGCCAACTGACCTGTGAGCAGCAGCACCAGGATCAAGGCGAACAGGTCGGGGTACTCGGCCAGCACTTTGCCTGGAACTTTCATCGCCATGGAGGCTTTGAAGAATCCAGATATCTTTTGTTCAACGAGGTTGTCAAAGGTGGAGCTCCAGGCTCGGGCCACACTGGCTGTACCTAAAAGTAAACAGAATCAAAGATAACTTAGCGAGGTGCTCTCCTTTACAGGAAGTGAGGTCAGTTCTGAGGATCTCAGCTCCTGCTGAAGCTCACCTATGACATATGAGAGGATGAGGTTCCACCCCGTGATGAAGGCCCAGATCTCTCCTACCGTCACGTAGCTATAAAGGTACGCCGAGCCCGTCTTGGGGACGCGAGCGCCAAACTCGGCGTAGCACAGACCGGCCAGCATGGAGGACAGAGCGGCAATGAGGAAGCAGAGGACGATCGCTGGCCCCGCCTTGTCTCGGGCGACCTCGCCGGCGAGGACGTAGACGCCAGCGCCCAACGTGGAGCCGACTCCCAAAGCGATGAGGTCCAAGGTGGACAAACAACGGGCGAACTGGGTCTCCTCGCCGGAGCAGTGAAGCGCGCGGCGACGCAGGAGGATCTTGCCAAAGGTGGACAGCTTGTTGGTCATGATTGCTGTGTGTGTGTGTGCTAAACCAGGCTAAGTGTTTTAAATACTTCTAGTGTGTGTGTGAGAGAGAGAGACTGTTTAGATCAGGACTGCTGGAGCACGGTGGACAAGTACAGTGCTTGATTATTACTGGTCCTCTGACGTGTGTGTGTGGGTGTGTGTTCACTTAGGCAAGAGGCTTGGGTACACAGAGCAGGAAGTGGCAGGTGTGTGTTCACAGCAGCAGATTAGGACCTGTGAGGAAACACAAGAAAACAAGAGCTGAAAACAGGGACCTATTGAGTAAATGCCAGAGCTTACAGCTCTGGGTTTGGATTTAAATGCTCAGATTGTGACGCTCTTCCTGTTTATATTAAAAAAAGAGGGTTCATGAGTTTGGTGCTGGAAAAATACCTGATGTTTTATTATCTCAAAAGAATGAAACTTAAATTATAACAAGCTGTGCAACTTCCAGGAATTCTTACCACCTTCTTAAAATCACAAGCCTTTAATTTAGCTTTAACAAATAAACCTGCTGCTCGACACACCCCTAGGAAAACTAAAGAAACACCTAGCCTAACTCCTCACCACTCCCTTGCTGTGAGAAAAGCCTATTCTAACGCTGGCGCTGTTATTGGAGGACATGAGAAGAACCCTGGGAAATCCAGAGGTTGTGAGGAGACGAGGGAGCTAATCTTAACAAGACGCGGGAGGATAGCATGAGCCAGCGGGATGATAAGATTAACCTTCTGCTCTGGGGAAAAGCTGAAAAAAGTCTGTGTCAGTTGGGAAAACATAAGAAAATTGCTTTTATACCAGGTTTTAGGACTAAATCTATTCTATTAAAAGCTACTTTTTCTTAGAAATAACACACACCATCATTTAAATAAGAGAATAAATACAAAACACAGCCTAAAGGACAAAACCACCCGTTACATAGGTCGTGAAGGTTTGTTACGTTCAGGATAACAGAAACTATAATGATTACACCGATTCTACAAACACGTGACAGGATCGCTGCAGGTCAAGGACCCTCAGGAGGGCCCATCTGGATGGAGCAGGTACAGGCTGCACACACACCCCTATATTGAAAGAGCCGCAAGTGGTGAAGTTTCCATGATGTGTGTGCGTCATGTTTTAGGCGCGTGGCGTAGAAGAACAAATCCACACCCATCAGGAAAAGCCTTCTACCCCAGGTGTCATTTCCAGATATTTGATGCAACAGGTTCTGTCACATTCCACTTTGGAGAAGATGTAAAAAAATCTTTTTTCCCAACCATCAAATTCTGAGAAAAGTTGAAGCAGAGTCCATTGATTAACAGTCCAAACTTAGTAACTTTTGTTTTTTCACATGGACAAAAACACTGAGAGCAGCACTCAGAACATTATGAAGTGTGTGTGAGAGTGTGAACACCAATAAACAGAAATCCAACATTTGTCTGAGTCAGAACGGCCTGGTGCTCGCTGTTCTGGCTGCTAAATCACTCGGATCACAGGAGAAGCTGAACTTACACTCACGCTGCTACTCCACCAAAAAGAATCTGTAAAATCTAAAAAGGCCCTGCTAGATTATCTTATCAGCAAAGGCTGCACCAAATCATTTACAAAGGAGAATAGGATGTTTGTTTATTTGCAAGTTTATGCAATGATGCTAATTTCTTGCTACAAGATTAACATCAGAATAACAGCCAGGAGGTTTAAGTAGGTAGTAATTTAGGTAAATACCCCAGACACATGTTCATGCTTTATTTACACTGTGAGGAAAATGATCTTCAAGCAGATGTTTGAGGGTCTGGGTGATGCTAAAAGTAATGCTGCACCATGTTTGAGGCCATTGAAGCAAAGATACTTGATTCCCTCACATCTCAGTTATATCGGTCACTTCACGGCTGTGAAGAGAAGTGAAACCCTAAACCATCAGCACAAACTGGGCCGCCTGTGTCTGAGACTGTGTGGATATCTGAGTCCGGTCGTTCGCTTGGACGAGAAAATACGCTGATATTCTGGAACAAACTTCTACAAATGGTTTAGCTGTTTAAAAAAAAGCCAAAGGTCCAAAAGTTTCGCCTTTTCAAAGGCGATAGCTAAAGTGCAACAGTTCAGTCGTAGATTAGTCTAGACTTGTCCTCTTTTAGTGCACCGGATGCCAGCTCTCACGATTTTCCATGTTTCAGTACAAAGACCGAATTCTATTAATATCACAAAAACAACACAACCCCAATAATCAAAGCTCAGCTTGTCCCAGCGTTTCAAAAGAGAACATCCTGCCTCGTACGCTTACGGGTTCACTCAAATGAAGACAAACAGAGCCGAACAATGAAACTGCAAAAAGTACAGTGCACCTGACTACATCCATAACAAACAGCCGATCTTCTGAAGCCCCACTGGAAACGGGTACATGGTGGAAAACCGCCCATTCCCCTTTAAGTGTGACATTCCAGCAGCGTTTCCACTCACACACCAGGAACTGAGATCTGAGAGTGTGTGTTGTGTTAATAAACATTTATTAGAGTGCCCAGCTGGCTGTGACCTCCTCAGGAGGTTCACCCAGCCCTTCACTGAGGACAAAAAGGTGCTCGAGGGCAACTATGCCGTGGAGAACTGAACATCCTTGGTTTTGTCACAGAAAAATGTGGAGGTTCTATGATGGTCTCAGTAGAACGAGCCTTGACTGAGGCACAAGTCACGTCTGCTTAGCGCTAATCTTTTCCTTGTGGTTTTCACGAGGGTGCTCATTTGTATAGTCAGGTCGGTTTAAGCCAGGTTGCTCAGAGGTGTGGTTCACAAAAGTATCGTGTACAAACTCCACAAGTGCATCTTAAAAGACTAATATGATTGCTGCTGCTAACCCTTTACTTTCCTTGTATAAAAACATCCATCTACTAGGAACATGTTCACTGCCGTACCCTAATGGAGACTAACTGAAAGGTTCTTTATGTGTTCGAGGACTGTGCCCAGTTTGGTCCAGCAGCACTCCGGTTATAACAGGCTTCAGGGATAATGGTCCTGTTACTTGCCTTAGCTTGGCTGCAACTGCCAAGTACTGTAAGAGGATTAGCTTGAGAAGTAACAAACCTGCTAACCTCATTACAGTCTGCTGCTGCTCCTTGTTTTGTCCCCAACAGCACATGGGTTTGTTGTGACTGCGACAGTTGACAACAACGCTGCTTTGTGGAACAGGATCACTGATGAACAGAAAATATACTGTAAAAATGTCCAACTGTGTACATCCAAAACAGTGAACAAACACATGGTTGTCCATCTCTGTTAAATTCTTACATAGGATTTGTGCAACCAGACAAACTTATGAGGGCCAATTTAAGACCTAACCAACACCTAACACACCAGAAATGACAGAAAAATATAGATAAACCTGGAAGGTAAACTAACTTCTGTGCTTTTCCCAGAGTCTGAAATCATACATAGCATCAGAAATATATGTCTTTAATTCTACAAAGCTGCATAGCAGCTTTTGTTCACGTATCTGTGGAAACTGACTGCTGAGAATGAGCTGACCAACCTTTCAAGGCACCTGGTAGGAAACCACGATCCCTGCCAAAAAACTGCTCTCTCCGTGAAATGGAATGTGACAAAGGAAGAACCTGTTCACCTTCCCATGACCAACTCCAACAGTACTTACACTACCTGACCCAAGAACAACAGCATAAGCCCATGTAGTGCCTGTTTGGCACATAGTAGCCACTTCTTGAAAGCTGAGGTGTGGACACTAAGCTGCAACGCAGAATCGAAAAATGGATCTAGTAAAATCTGACGATGGGATATATTTGATAATACAGGGGAGACCATATGATATGCAACGATCCAAAAAAGATAATATTTATAAACGTTGAAACTGAATTCAATTGGAAAACGTACGCAAGACAATTCCAAGACACATCCTGTTTTATCTCGAGATCTCGTTGTTCTGTCAGAATTCTGCCACCTAGCAGTTGGGATTTGAATTGCACCACACAGAAGAAATGCATATAAATTATTGCTGCTTTAAAAAGGGGCAGTGTGTATTTTCCATGGCCTAAATCACTACAAGTAAGTGGTATTTTTGTGTTCTACTAAGACCAGACCAACAAATGGCCATTACAGTAAAAAATCCCTGGAAGCACAATTTTCAAATGAGTATTTCGTCAGAACGTTCAACCTCCAGCAAAATGACAAGCACATCAGACTCCCTTTCAACACTGGCAAAAAGTGAAGAGGTAAATGTGTACAACAACGTTTATGAATGGGGAAGGTTTAGTAACCGCTTGTTACAAATCAATAAATGTGTTTTGTCCTCATGGACTTCCATAGAAGGAAACATGGCGTCTAATATGGCGTGACCCAGAGTCACTCCCATGTATTTTAGACCTGGTTTTTAAGATTATACGTTACGAAGCCACCAATATTTTTAAACGGCCGGGCTTTATTTAATTATTTTTCAACATTTTGATATTTCAAGAGATTAATGGTAAAAACTACACATTGTCTCTTTAAATATCAACTTTAATATCATAAAACGGAATATTACAATACTTCAGTGTATTGTCTTATATCCCTTCTAACAGCTCTGTAGTAAGTTTGTAATCCAAATATTATTTTTTAATTGATGTATATTTCAATAACGACATTAACAGTTTTAACATTAAAATTTCAAAATAAAAGCACAATGATAACGATTAAGGTTGATTAACACCCTGAAAGGCTTTTTAAAATGTTATGCAAGAGGTAAGCTGCACATTAACCGCATAAAAATGTTAATAAAATGCAAACACGGGAGAGGGAAACGTGCCACTTCCTCGTGTATTTAACTTCCTGGTTAAATAACGTGGCATATACATCAAGTTCTCCTTTACCGCTCTTCATCAAAACCACCTGACCTTCACTCTATACATGTAAATAAATAAATCGGACATTTTTCGTCAGACTGCATATATCTGAGTATTTATGTAGAGGATCTGAGCAGGCTGATGCAACATAGACACGGTAACACCCCGAAAGACAGGAAGCTTGGCACAAATAACCCGGAAAGATGCCTCTCCTTGATGAGTCGTGACTGTTGGACTTCGATGTGATTCAAATTATTTAGAGTTAAAATATTCTTACTTACAAAGCAGAGTCAATCACAACGAGCGACTTTCCGCCATCGTTTTGAGTGGCATTTTCATGTTAACTGGAGAAACAGCAGCTACCTACGCGTCTGCGACGTGCTCGGCTCACGAGTGTCGCCTTCATGTGTAGATGCTGCTGTAATTACTGCGTTACTACATCGAAAACAGGCGAGCACAGCAAAATATAAGGCCAGGATGCCCCCCCAAAAAAACATGATTAGGATGCTTTGACCTTTTCAAACGTGAAAAATAAACGTAAATCGTCAGCTTTTGTTGTTTTAAATCAACCTAAAACCAACGTGAATCTCCTACATGTTCCTGGCTCAATAAATCTAAACACCCACATCACCTGACAGTTAATGCACTTTATGTTCGGTAAGATTAATGTAAATTAATATCAACTTAACAGCGTTTTGTGAAATTTCCGGAGTCGATGAGAGGGTCTTTGAAAGCATCATTTCGTTCTCCCCACGCCTTGAGGGTAGTAGCACGGCGTGCTAGCCGGCTAAAACCAAAACAATGAATGAAACCCTCAGCTGATAAAACAGTTGAGTGTAACGATGCGTTCAGTAGCGGGAGACAATTTAAGCAGGTTTTCCACAATGGTCTCTCCTTATTAGGTTACCAGTTTCTGCTCTTGTTCTTGGTTTTCCATTACGCGCTGGACTAACTACATCAGCTGGTTCGCCGCTCACATGTCAAGTTAATTAAGCCGATTTACAAAACATTAACTACCGCTTATAAACTCGACGTGACTAGCATGCTTTGTGTATAAAATACACGTTTTAAACCGCAAGCAATAATTTAATAAATGTGAGGAACGCTATGTTCTTTTCGAACAATCCGCCAATTAAACGCACGAGGAGGATTGCATCAGTCTAATTCCTGGTGAGCAAACGTTACACGTTGGGGAAAATGTCAGTTTAACAAGACTTATATTTAAAAGACAAGTATAAAGTGGTTTAATTAAATTGGGAGGTTTTTACCTGTATTGTTCTTCTTGTATGAAAAAGTGGAAAGACAAAGACGAAGGAGAGAAGCGGTGTCTGAGGTTGCTGATGAAATATCCCGCCTGCTTGTGCGTGTCGGTTTTGTTGGAGCGGCTGTGTACAAACAAACTGACGCAACGGTGGGCGGAGCTTTTAACTCATGAATGGAAGAACAAACATAAGTTTACGCTTCATATCGACCGGAAGCACAATAATGACAAACGCGAGCGATTCTGGGATAAAAAAGTGAATTATATCCATTTTATAAAACACGTTAAACCAAGTCAAAGATATGAGTCGGTTGAACGTGCCAACGTGAGCACGTGATTTCCTGTAGTAGCAACACCCATATATGGTAATCCTGCGCCCGCCCCTCTTTCAGTTGCGTTGCTCCCGTTGCTCCACAGATTCAAAGAAGAGCAGCGGAATATTAGCTCACTTTCATCGTGTATGCGTGCACCCAGTGACCTGAGCCCTCTGATGGGTCAGGGGGTCGCAGCAGGAGGAGCTGAGATTAAATCAAGCACAATCTCGCCTCCTCTTTCACGGTACTCCAGGACACTGTGTCTCCAAATGAAAAATATTTTTAAGATTAAAATGGATATTTATTAGGCAAACTGATATATAGATTAATTAATCAACTACACACAGGAGTTTTAATAGATCACATGACTTACTGATATTGCATGGGATTGTGTAAAGTATTACATCTAAATAAATAAAATGGATTTAAATTCCTCATTTGTCTGCATGAAATGAAAACTCTTGCATGAAAGGAGTGATGTGCATGCATGAAGAGAAAACAAGATGACCATAATGCAAATATTAGCGCTTCTCCTTGTGTTTCTTTGATCTCTTCCACCAAAAGAGTAATATTGTGGAAGGTGTGTGTTTATTTCTAATGCAACTTCACATCAAGGTGATTCATTGTCACTAGTTCACTCTGTAACATTTGAGAAACTTGAACCAAATCCAAATTACAATTTAATTTTCCTATAAATCCAGGTGGGCTTTTATGTGCTTCTGGTCAAGGAAGCTGACCTGAATTTCTTTCTCTTGTGATTTTCTTGGACATTTGGTGCAGCTTTAATCACATCCTGCAAACATTTTAGATGTAGATATTCACAGATCAAGCAGAAGTTAAAAACAGAAAATAGTGTTGCACATTCAATGCATTTTTCTAACTGAGTAACTAACTAACTAACTAACTAACTGTTTATGTGAAGCTTTCTCATGTTTCTTGGCTTATCCAAAGGGATAGATCAGACTTTAAAGGCTGATTCTATGGAAAGTTTATTATCAATTAATTTCTTATCTGCTGCAGATCAATCCTTGAATGACCTCAGTTTGGAAAAACAGATATTCTTCAGACCAGACTGATAGGCTAACAGTTAGTGGGTGTGATTTCATTGTTGGAACTTTGGGGTAAACTGACCAGGAGATGAGATGGCTCGGTCCTCTTGGCTGTTAGTGATGTGAGTGATATCTCTGATCAGTGCCAAAAAGTGTTCCCATTTATAAAGTTATACATTTAAAAAATTATTACATTAAAAGTTTCATTCTGTGAATGTACAGCATAATTTAATCCATTCAAAGGATGAGAGCAGCTGCCTGATGTAAAATGTGGCATTCAATGACTAGAAAAAGCTCAGTTTTTTTTTATGGAGCTTTGTGAGACAACACAAGTATAAAGAATCCCAAGGTGTTCTCTGACCAGCCGTGAGACATGTCTCTCCAGCGTGTCCTGGGTCTTCCTTTAGGCTTTCTCCCGGTTGGACATACCCAGAAAACCTCACCAAGGAGGCGTCCAGGAGGCAGCAGGTCTACCCCAAGCCCCTCCCAGATGACCAAGCTTCTCACCCTATCTCTAAGGGAGAGCCCACCCACCCTGCAGAGAAAATTCATTTCAGCTGCTTGTACCCGCAATCTCATCCTTTCAGTCACTACTTCCCTCACTCACGAACAAGACCCCGAGATTCTTAAACTCCTCTACTTGGGGCAGGACCTCGTCCCTGACCTGGAGAAGGCCCTTTTCCGATTCAAGACCATGGTCTCGGATTTAGAGGAGCTGATTCTCATCCCAGATGCTTCACACTCGGCTGTGAACTGCTTCAATGAGAGCTGGAGATCAGATTCTGATGAAGTCAGCAGGACCACATCATCTGTAAAAAGCAGAGACTCAATCCTTAGGCCACCATCAGATCTCTTCAACACTTTGGCTGTGCCTAGAAATCCTGTCCATAAAAGTTATGAACAGAATCGGTGATAAAGGGCAGCCTTGGCGGAGTCCTAATCTCACTGGAAACAAGCCCGACTTACTGCTGGCAATGTGCACCGAGCTCTGACACCGGTCATACCTAACAGCCTGTATCAGAGGGCCTGGTACCCCATACTCCCAAAGTATCCCCCAGAGGGCTCCCCGAGGGACGCGGTCGAAAGCCTTCTCCAAAAACACAAAACACATGTAGATTGGTTGGGAGAACTCTCACGCACCCTCCAGGACCCCATGAGGGTCCCCCTAAGAGCTGGTCCAGTGTTCCACTGCCAGGACGAAAACCAAATTGCTTTTTCTGAAAGTGAGGTTAGACAGTCTGCCGGATCCTCCTCTCCAGAACCTCAGAATAGACCTTTCCAGGGAGGCTCAGAAGTGTGATCCCCTGTAGATGATACACACTCTGCGGTCCCCCTTTTTAAATAAGGGGACCACCACCCCAGTCTGCCAGTCCAGTGGAACTGCCCCCAATGTCCACGCAGTATTGCAGAGCCGCGTCAGCCAACACAGCCCAACAACATCCAGAGCCTTCAGGAACTCTGGGCGGATCTCATCCACCCCTGGGGCCTTGCCACTGAGGAGCTTTTGACAACCTCATTGACCTCAGCAGCAGAGAATGGAGAGCCCAACCCAAAGTCCCCGGACTCTGCTTCCTCACAGGAAGACTTGTCAGTGGTATTGAGGAGGTCTTCGAAGTATTCTGCCCACCAATCCACACCGTCCTCACTATAAACAGTGTTGGTGTTCACAGTTACCTTGCTTATTTAATCAGTGCTAATCTTTGTTTTTCCAAACTGCGGTTGTTGCAAGCAGTTATTTAAATAATTAAAAGCATCAAAAAGATGCAGAATTGGTGAGTGAATGTTTTATTTTCAGTTTTTTTGTGATATCTTCAATTAGTACATTTTGTTTTAATCGTGTTGAACTTAACAAATATATCAGTTCTATGTTCTCTATCTCCAACCCTCCCTCCATGTCCAGTGGTGCTATAGTTACCATTCGTCCCACCTTTTGTCCATGCTCAGTCACGCTGCTTTGGGTTGCTCTTTCAATTTACTTCCACTTTATCAAGCTAACCCAACTGGGTGTCTGGGCAAATACAGCGAGCGTCATGGATGCAGACTGAGCTCCATGGTTCAAATGGCAAACAAAACACAACCTAATCTCTGCCTTGACCCTCTGTTCCCATCCAGTCTGTCTACTTTCATTACAGGGGACAGGGCCAGCACATCAAAGCTAACTGGTTTTATAGGTCACCATCTTCACACATGACTCCATCACAGTGTACGTGTAATTAAAAAAAAAATTCTCTTTTTTGTTTTAACATTTGAAATTCTAAAGAATTACAGTCACAACTGATTAAATATTTGAACTGGGCATTTCACGAGTCCTTGTGTGTTTCAAGGCAACAGTACAAGTTTATGAGCTTCATGTAATAGTTTGGTCTAAATACGGTCATGCTGTAGCTAATTCGATTTACGTTCAGTTCGTGATCTGCATCACAAGATCACTATTCCTGGACAGGTTTAATCCACCTGAGGCCAGAATACCCCCCCACGGTTAATCCCTACTCGTCCTGAAGGCCATCATCCAGAATTATTAGAAGTCTCTGGGAATTTCTGAAAAGTAAAATTCAACTTAGAATAAAACCACTTGGTCATTAATATCCTTCAGGCTTATTAGCAACGATCTTTAAATTTTACATTTTGTAAATGTCTCTGAGCTGCCCAAAGTGAGAAGTAAACAAAATAGAGCTGTCAGAGACATGGATGTGGTGTATAAATTTTTAACTGGCAGTAGAAAATGCATTCTTTTGGCCATCTGAACTCATGGTTTAGTTCAGAAACATGAGTGACCAGCCATTTGGTAGATATTTTTTGTGATTGTTGCCCCAATTTTTTTAATTTTCTTAGAAATATAAACAGTCCCATGACCTTCTCAGTGGCAGTGTCCACTCTGGGACCGGGAGATCTGGGTTCATATCTGGTCACGTCATACCAAAGACTTTAAAAATGGGACCCAATACCTCCCTGCTTGACACTCAGCTTTAAGGGGTAGGATTGGGGGGCTAAACCACCAAATTATTCTTGAGTGCAGCCACTGCTGCAGTTCACCGCTCCCCACGGAGATGGGTCAAATGCAGAGATCTAATTTCATAAGTGTGTGATGACTAATGGGACTTTAACTTTAATAGCTTGTTCATCAATTTTATCAATTACCAGTCCATGTTCACTATAAAAAGTAACTGATTGCTACGAATATTCAGATTTGTGCTGAGCCAAACAGACAATTATAACCTTTTTTTAAATTACATTTTTTTTCTTTTTCATCCATTTTTATTTATCTTTTTAATATTTTTGTTCTAAGCACCTCACCTCAGGAGTTTTATTTTGAAAGGTGCTGTATGAAAATTTTTTTCCTTTTCCTCTAGTTTGGCAAGAGCTTCTTCATCAGTAGTTAAAAAAATCATAATTCCATAAAACAAGTACATTCTTCATTGGAGTTTAAAAAAACTCATAACCAATACACTCCACTGACTTTCTATTGGAGCGATGCACAAATCTACTCCAAAACTGAATTATTTGATTTTTGAAATTTCGTTTTCTCGCCAAAACTGAAGAGACGGCACACGGCAGGCAGCAGGAAATTTATTCATGGGCTGGATTATCAAGGAGGTTCCTTGCCATCCAAAGTGGGACAGTAATGACAGCAAGTATAATTACATTTTACAATATCCGTAAAGAATTAAATGGCCAAAAAAAGCACATATTAAGCACTCATGTTATATCCCCAACAAAACAGATGCTAAATACGAGATAAAACAAGATACTGTTGTAATGAGCTGCTCCGTCACAGTGCTGAGATACGGTATTTATCTAACATTCCCACTAGCTGAACTGACTGTTCGGTCAAAAACAACAAAAACAATGATGCAGTACTGAAGAAAAAACAAGCCAAAAAGTCTAGGGGAAACAGACCGACTGGAATGACGTGTTGCTGTCTTTTTCAGGGCGCTACATGTTGCTTAACTTTGGGAAACCAACAAGAAAATAATCACAATTTTGCTAACAAAACCAAACCAAAGAAAGCAGATAACTACACTTTTTCTAAACTGATCAAATCAAAAAATATACAGAAGGAATAATATTCATTGTTTAAAAAAATCATAATGGAATGACTAAAATATATATTTAGCATTGCTTTCTTAACTGATGACAAAATAATGTACATACATGTGGTATGACTGACAACACAAACCTATTTATACACTTGATTTCAGTTGTATAGTCATCTTGCTTCTATACGCTGTAGATAATTTTCTCTTCTGACGTTCCCCGCAGCCTTGCAGTTATGTGATGTAGAAATAAATGTAGATGCAGCCGTCTCTGTTGTCTTTGCAATGGGACAGGGAGAGAAAAGACAGGACGTGAGAAATAAAACCAGCATGATGACGCAACAAGTGGGTCCAGCCACTGAACACGGAAACGATCACAGGACCTAATCAAGGTGCTGTGCATCGTGTCCTTTCTACACAGATCAGACATTACATTTGGAGTTAGAAGTGCTTTGACAGTGTCTGAATTGCACTTGTTTTAAATAACCACAAATATTACTCTTGGAAAAACCACAGAACATGCCAACTCCTGCAGTTCTACTTATATCTGAGCATAACTTGAGTTATTTTCTTTAGCTTTAATGTACTTTCTACCAACACCCTTACTAAGAAGGCCAAGCAGCAGGAAGCTGAAATAGCAGACTTAAAAGGAGCTTTGAATTACATGGGACTGCATGCAGGTTTTCAGTCCAAGGCATGCAGACCCAAACACCCCTTTCCTCGAGCCGCAGGGGGACCCGTGCAACAAAATCCACTGTTACACATTACACAATGCACCATGACCAAAAAGCATCACAGGGGCCGTCTAACCTTTGCCAATGAAAACATCTTGATTTAGGGGGAAAATTCTGTGGACTGATATGATGAACGTGACACTTTCTGGTGTAAAACTAATGTAGCATCAAAAAAAAAAAATCCTCATACCAAAAGGCAAACATGGTAGTGGTAGTGTGATAGTCTGGGGAGGCTTTTGGTCTTTGTTGCACCTCTCAGTGCTGTTCGACTCGACTATGCAGTTTGAGTGGTTTTTCATTAGAACAGCTCTAGTGGGCGCACTCGCCAAAGCGGGATGGTCCCCGAGTTCAAAAAGTAGCAAGAAGCTATTTCTTTGCAACCCCAAAACAAAACACAAGCCATCGTAAACTTCTAAAGCCTGATTTATACTTCTCCGTCTGCACGGAGACACAAAACACCATTATGTGTCGGCGCAAGGACTCTTTGACAGGTTCGCAAAGGCTGACGGAGACATGCCCAACTTGTTAGCTATCTGACAAAAGTGACGGGGATCACAAGCTTCCTTTATCTTCATCTACAGCACTGCCTTTGCCCTCTCAAAAAGATAGAGCCCAAGATATCTAGCGGCAAACGAAGCAGATTGAAGAACGTCTCACTGAAAAAATGAATGTTTATTCACTCATGACCATTTCATTCGTAAATGGAAATGACGGGAAACAAGGGTTTAGAGATTGCGTCTGCATGAAGACGTGGAGGAGAATGTGGGACAAATTTGTCCATGTTAAAAAGTCTCTGAAATACATAAACACAACATAAAGAAAATAGTAAATATGCTATCATGAACTGCAATGGTGACAGGATAGTACAACAAAGTGCTACGCCCTCTGCTGTCCTGGTGGGAATTGCTTCGCAACTCGGAGAAGTCTGAAAAGAAAACATCTCCGTCCATGCGTGTGCGCGAGTCCACGCTTGAGCTGACGGAAAAGTACAGGTCCTTCTCAAAACATTAGCATTTTGAGATAAAGTTCATTATTGTCTAATGTACTGATAAACATTAGACTTCCATATATATTAGATTCATTACACACAACTGAAGTAGTTCAAGCCTTTTATTGTTTCTAATATTGATGATTTTGGCATACAGCTCATGAAAACCCAAAATTCCTAATTTCCTATCTCAAAAAATTAGCATATTTCATCCGACCAATAAAAGAAAAGTGTTTTTAATACAAAAAAAGTCAACCTTCAAATAATTATGTTCAGTTATGCACTCAATACTTGGTCGGGAATCCTTTTGCAGAAATGACAGCTTCAATGTGGCGTGGCATGGAGACAATCAGCCTGTGGCACTGCTGAGGTGTTATGGAGGCCCAGGATGCTTCGATAGCGGCCTTAAGCTCATCCAGAGTGTTGGGTCTTGCGTCTCTCAACTTTCTCTTTACAATATCCCACAGATTCTCTATGGGGTTCAGGTCAGGAGAGTTGGCAGGCCAATTGAGCACAGTAATACCATGGTCAGTAAACCATTTACCAGTGGTTTTGGCACTGTGAGCAGGTGCCAGGTCGTGCTGAAAAATGAAATCTTCATCTCCATAAAGCTTTTCAGCAGATGGAAGCATGAAGTGCTCCAAAATCTCCTGAAGCTAGCTGCATTGACCCTGCCCTTGATAAAACACAGTGGACCAACACCAGCAGCTGACATGGCACCCCAGACCATCACTGACTGTGGGTACTTGACACTGGACTTCAGGCATTTTGGCATTTCCCTCTGCCCAGTCTTCCTCCAGACTCTGGCAATTGATTTCCAAATGACATGCAAAATTTGCTTTCATCCGAAAAAAGTACTTTGGACCACTGAGCAACAGTCCAGTGCTGCTTCTCTGTAGCCCAGGTCAGGTGCTTCTGTTGCTGTTTCTGGTTCAAAAGTGGCTTGACCTGGGGAATGCGGCACCTGTAGCCCATTTCCTGCACACGCCTGTACACGGAGGCTCTGGATGTTACTACTCCAAACTCAGTCCACTGCTTCCGCAGGTCCCCCAAGGTCTGGAATCGGTCCTTCTCCACAATCTTCCTCAGTGTCCAGTCACCTCTTCTCGTTGTGCAGCGTTTTCTGCCACACTTTTTCCTTCCCACAGACTTCCCACTGAGGTGCCTTGATACAGCACTCTGGGAACAGCCTGTTCATTCAGAAATGTCTTTCTGTGTCTTACCCTCTTGCTTGAGGGTGTCAATGATGGCCTTCTGGATAGCATTCAGGTCGGCAGTCTTACCCATGATTGCGGTTTTGACTAATGAACCAGGCTGGGAGTTTTTAAAAGCCTCAAGAATCTTTTGCAGGTGTTTAGAGTTAATTAGTTGATTCAGATGATTAGGTTAATAGCTCGTTTAGAGAACCTTTTCATGATATGCTAATTTTTTGAGATAGGAATTTTGGGTTTTCATGAGCTGTATGTCAAAATCATCAATATTAGAAACAAAAAAAAAGGCTTGAACTACTTCAGTTGTGTGTAATGAATCAATATATATGAAAGTCTAATGTTTATCAGTACATTACAGAAAATAATGAACTTTATCACAATATACTAATTTTTTGAGATGGACCTGTATAAAGCAGCCTTAATCCCTGAGTTACTGTTGCCCCATGGTAGTGATGCTGAACATTTTGCTCCATCTCAGACTGTTTTTATATTTTATAAAAACAGTTTATAAAAAAAAAATATTTTATTTATATTTTATATATCAATATTCTTTTATTGTTGATTTATTCAATATATTTACATACAACTGTACAATGTTCAGCGCTTTGGGCTTCCTGACAGGGTTGCGGAAGGCGCTTTATAAATAAAGCTTTGATTGATTGATTGATTGATTGATTGATTGATTGGTTTTTCAGACTCTGGAAAGAAGACACTTGCAAAAGCTGAATACAGCAAATCGGAACACCCTGGAGCAACCAATGACTTCACTCCCAAACCAATCAGTAACCGTCAGTCTTTGAAAATGCGTTTCAGCCCGGCTCAACATTTGAAGCTGGTACTAAAATAGCAGCAGTTACATATTAAACGTCGCTAGTGGAAATGGCTTGGAATTGTGCTGGACCGAGTTGAGCCACGCTGAGTAGGTACTGGTGGAAAAGCCCATTTGACACTTCAGGACTGGATGACAACATAAATTAATGGAATAATCTCTACCAGAAAATCATGAGTGTCTGGCCTTTGATCAATATGCTGAGCAAAATAACGGTGATCAAACGATGCTAAAAAAAAGACAGGACAAGGCAAGCGTACAGGAGCGAGGTGCAGGCTATGATTAGTGCAACAAATAATGACAAATTTAGGGGAATTAGCTCAAGGAGCAATGTGTCAAAAGAGCTTTTGTTATGGGTGATGTGCACCATGTGTTCCCTGCAGAACAACAGTTCACAGAACTTCAGTGGTGACTCTTACTCTGCTGGACAGAAGCCCTTCTGCAGGTCACTTTAGCTGGAATGCAAAATGTTCTTAATTACTCCAATGTTTTAGTGACTTACAGGAAAGATATTCAGTAAATTTACAAGATAAATGAATGTCAGCATTACAAAAGTATCTGTGAACTATTGCTCTTGGGCTTTAGAGTGCCCATGCAACCACCTTTAACTGTCAGAAAGCTTTAGTAAATAGAAGTAAATAAAGCAAACTTACTTCGTTCATACCTAAAAAAATAACAAGAGAAGAAAAACAGGATCAGAATTTGCATTGACAGTCTGCACGTACCCTTAAGGCAAGCATTAGTGCCAGCATACACATTTAGATATTATTCTACTTTATTCTCATTATATTGCATTCTTTAATTCACTTATCGGGTAATGTCTCAACAGTACAACAGCAGTCACTTCATTTCTGAGAATTGCAATTAAAATGACTAATTTTCACAAAACGTTTAGACAATTACTGTGGATGCGTTTCCTATTGCACAGTTATTAAACTAATGCACAAGAGGGGAACTGAATCGCCGTGTTGTCAGACATTAACATACCCTTACATGTAGCAGATGAACATTAATGCAAAGACTGCAATGATGCAGAGTGAGGAAAAGAGGCAAATAAAGCAGAAAGAGGAAGAGAAGTCTTGAGAGAGAATAAAAGGCAGTCCATTGCTGGTTCCCCCCCCAATCCCACTCATTCACCCCAACATCTCCCTTAGTAAACCTAGTGTCGTACTTTTCCAGGAATGTAGTTACGGTCAATGGTTTCCTCCTGCAGAAACATGTGAAGACAGCGCTCGTTCTGGGCCAAAGGGTGACCTGCAATTCTACAGACACACACACACACACACACACACACACACACACACACACACACACACACACACACACACACACACACACACACACACACACACACACACACACACACACACACACACCAGAAAAATGATTAAACTCAGCTAATTTAAACCCTTTTTCAAGGAAGACGATAACATGCAAGTTTGGCATATTCCATCTACGGGAGAACGCCTTCCTGTAGACAGGAAAGAGCTGAACAAATGTGTGAAACTGACCATCAAAGAAGCCCCAATAACTTTTCTGATGCCCTTGCGATAATTTTGCAGACTTTTTAAAGCATTTCTGTGCAAATGTTAGAAACAATTACTGACATAATCAGTAGAGATGGCTTTCTGAATGGCATTGCTTCAGAAAAATAGAAGTTCAGTCCATTAGGATTGATAAGCTAATGGCTAGTCCAAGCGTAGCCACTTTGAAAACAGACACTGATTTGAAACAGGTCCAGTCTTTAAATTTCATAATGATGCATGCAACTTTAAATTTTACAAATATTTACACAGTTATCAACTTCATACTATATGGTTATAAATATTTTAAGATATCTGGCAATAAAGGCTTATTGGTAATTGTCAGAACACTTTTTTACACTTCCTCTTTTCAGAGTCGTGTACTGCATGTTTTTGGCTGACCTGTTGATGAACTGCTCCAGACCCGATCGTCGCTCCTCAATGAAGGACTCCTCGAAAAGGCCCTCGTCTCCACGGAATGGCAACTGTCTCTTCAGGGCTTTCCCTGGCAAAGGCGGTACTACAATCTGTAGTAAGAGTCATTGTAAAAGACATTAACAAAAATAAAAATCTAAACGCACTCTGACTTTGGTACAAACTAAAAGAAATCCCATCTAGAATGTCAAGAGATGTGATCAGATATTAACAATGGAGTTACAATTCTTTTTGCTTTCACAACTATACGGTGATCCAGCAAGCCTCTTTATTTCAAAAGACAAAATGATTAAATACTCGCCTTACTGTCTCTTTCCAGCTCGTTCTTTAACCATTCAAAGTCGCTGTATCTTCTCCTCACGCAGGAATCCTTCATTTTGAAAATAGGAAGGTTCGTCTATGCAAAGAACAGGCCAGAATTATGTCTAGAAGTTAACCGTTGACCTAACATGTTATCGTGGTATGCAAACCTCTACATCTATAGTCATCAGATCACCTGGAGCAGCTGAATGCCCTAATCCTGAATTCTATTGGTATGAATGGACTCATCAACATCAGGTTTATGTGTTTTAGCTTTCCAGTGAATAAAATCATCCATTAAACTGTCAAAGGCTCTCATGTTATTGCAGCAATAGAGTTTAACTTCTTGTGAAGGAGGAACTCAACAGTTGAACCACAAAATGCAGGAGAAAGGCCGGCTAACTTGTAATTACGCAATTACTGAGTCAGGGACACTGCTTGGTATCAGCTTCCTGAAAAAAGTCGTTCATACATTTTGCTGTGTTGGTGATTTTTAAACACACGTAGACCGATTTAACTGCAAAAGGAAATGTACAAATGTCAGCAACAAGCTGATGAATCCAATTTTTATTTAAAATAAATTCACAAAACCCCAGATTTTTGAAGCTTCGATTAATATAGTCAATCTAAAGTCAAATAAAAAGTTTAATTTAAACTTAACATAACCTGAAATTATATAGCTGACGTGTGTTTATTCATTTATAAAATATATAAATGGGAAACATGTCTTTTATGATTTGTTGACAGTACACTAGCTACTGCTAGCAGTTAGCTTCACTGTGCATGTTTGAACTACGTGATTTATTTCGCTGAACAAGTTTAAGTCGGTGACATTTAAGTTATTTGAACACAAAGCTGTAGTTTAAATCCATTTAACGACAACGCTGTAATTAGGTAGAGTAAACTGGATGAATAAACCGTCTCCCCTCGTGCTTGTTTACGAAACTTCTGCAGAGCTTTGCTAACAACATCAAGCACCAGAGCTAGGCCGCTAACAATCCCCGGTCTTTGATTTTAAGTCGCGCCCCGTCTCGAGCCACTCCAGGCGGACTTCTTCAGCGTCACTGCGGCTCCTGTCTCAGTCCGGACGTGAGCCTAGCGGCTAAACATGCTAACTGACGCTACTTTCACCACTAAAGTGCTTAGAGACGTACCCTCATGCGAACTTCATAAGTTGTGTAACGATTCCGTCCAACTCCAACGATCTGTGGATCGTAAACGTCTATTTCCAGAAAATTGCTCGGGGGGCCGTAAGCATCCGTCAGGTCCTGAGGCTTGGAATTCAACCGGCGGGTATCTGCTACAACAGGATCTGTCATTTTCCCCCACCTGTAATCTTGGATGACCAACTGAGAAAAGGCGTCAAACCAGCTAAATACACAATGAAGCTTTAAATCTCATCTGAAGGCAAAAAGCTATCTGGGAGTAGCTCTTCTTGCCTGGGCCAGCCGCCCTGCCCGTCCAGGATCTGGAGAATGCGTTGAATCAGTTCCGTACTGTGCTGGAAGCCCTACACTCCCCCTAACGGACACCGAGATGACTGGACGGACAAACGGGAATAAAGTCGCTCCAGTGGTGCACAGGTAGCATGGAGGAAGCCAGCAGGCACGGAGGCAGATCCTCAAGGGTCCACAAGGCCCATGGCCCTTCTTATTCTTGGGCACAATAACACTAAAGCTCTGAAGACCACAGAAAGGAAAGAATGCCACTTTCAAATGTGGGTATAAAAACAAAAAACTCGAGAAAAATGACTGAACACAGCAACACTTTGGACTAAAAGTTACACAGAAAAAAAAGACTAAATATGGATAAAAACACGCAAAACTATTTAAAAGAATACAATAAAAGCAAATAATACAAAATTACCATAACTATCCACATAAATGAAACACAAAAACAGATAATTGTGTGAATGGTTTTCATTTAACTTGATTTATTATTGAAATGCATTGACGTCTTTAAAGATGACACAGAGAGACAAGTGGGCATAATTCTGGTTTGACATGATACACAAGTATACAAGTATATATTTCTAAAGTTTTACACAATTTTGTTGATTTATGGTGTTTTAAAACCAAAGAAGAAGAAGAAAATATAATTTCTATTGCGCCTCTCAAGATAAAAATCACGAGGCGCTTCACAAAAACAAACAAAAAAAGTTAAAATATAAAAAAGCATTTAGAAAATGATTAAAATATATTTAAAATGAGCAAAAATAGGCAATTGGGATTTAAAAGAAAAAATGTTAAGAAAGACAGTGAATAGGAAAGATCAGTGGATCCTGAGGAAGGTGGAATAGGTGGGGAGAGCAGAATAAAGAGAGTGGTGAAGAAGGTCATACAAAAGCCAGCTTGAACAAGTGAGTCTTCAGCTGCTTTTTAAAGGAGACCACTGAGTCCACTGATCTCAGGCTCATTGGGAGAGAGTTCCAGAGTCTGGGGGCCACAGCAGCAAATGATCTGTCACCTTTGGTCTTTAGCCTGGTGCGCTGCACAACCAGTAGGCTTTGATCACTGGACCTCAGGGACCTGCTGGGGGTGTAGGGACTAAGAAGATCACCAATGTAAGATGGTGCTTGTCCATGTAAGGCCCTATAGACCAGAACCAGGATCTTGAAATGAACCCTGAAGTTGACTGGCAGCCAGTGAAGCTGGAGGAGAAGCGGGGTGATGTGGGTGTGTTTGGAGCACTTGGTCAGAAGCCGAGCACAGGCATTCTGAACCACCTGTAGACGGTTCAGGGAGGTTCTGCTCAGACACGTGAAAAGAGAGTTACAGAAATCTAAGCGTGAGGAGATGAAGGTGTGGATAACTGTCTCAAGTTCAGAGCAGGGCAGAATGGGACTCAGCTTAGCAATGTTCCTGAGATGGAAGAAGGAAGAGCGAACAAGAGAACTGACATGAGAATCCAGGGTGAGTGCTGGGTCAAAGGTCACGCCAAGATTCCTGACAGAAGGTTTGGTGTGAGAAGCAAGCTGACCAAGAGAGTCTCTGACTTTGGGAACCAGCTTGTCTGGGGCACAGATGAGGATCTCAGTCTCATCTTCATTCAGCTGAAGAAAGCTCATCTGAAGGCAAAAAGCAATCTGGGAGTGTGGTAATGTTGGATCAAACTTGACTTTTAAAACAAACAATTAAAATACTGTTTATGTTTTAAGCATTTTATTTTTATTTTTACTATTTTGCAATTTTTCGTGTATTTAAAAACTTTTTCCCATAATATATCCAGCAGTTTATGAGTTAAAAACACATCCCAATACATGTCTATTTATTTTGTAATAATTGAAATTAAACAGTTATTTAACCAGTTTTTGTCAAAGATCAAAAAAGCATTTCATTTCATTAAATATTTGGATATCACATACTATCATAAAACCAGCATTCACATAATGACCAACAAAATAAACATATACGTATTTGTATGCATTAAAATACAAAAACATAATTATTGAGTATGCTGTGGTTATATATCTATGAAAAACAAATACATTGTAAAGCTTTATAATTTTTTTTGACAGTCTAGAAACAACATTTCAAAGTTGGGAATAAAACAGAATACATTGTTTCTTAAAAAATATTCACAATATGCATGTTTTAAAGGGTTATATTCTTTTTTGTGACTTTTTTTCAAGCAGTTTTTAATGTAGACTTTGTTTAAAAAAAGTATGGCTGCTTTATTGAATACTCACTGAGAAACACAGTGATGCTTCATGTTTCACCTCATCTTGGTGTGATAATACTGTTACATTCCAAAAGTCGTTGTAAATAAATAGAACAGAAAATCTACGTGCAGCTTGGATCATTTTTGACTGTGCTTAAACGAAAACCTTCAGATCCTCCTCAGATGACTCTGAAGAGGAAGCGAAAGGTGCGGATCGGTCGTCGGGTTCATTCATGATGATGGAGACTGAGCAGTCGGTCTGATCGGTGGTGACGGTGAGGTCGGAGGTGTCGGAGATGTTGCTGTCAGAGCGGGAGACATAGGCGTACTCGCGTACAGGGCAGGCCTGCTCGTTGTAGTTGGCTTTGAAACCTTCTTTCATCAGGCCTTTGGAGAACGGAAACCAATCCTTAAAGAAAAATAAAGAAAAGGAAAATGGTGAATAGTTTTATCAGCAAAAAATGTTGGGAATGTGATCAAAAAGGAAAAAAAGCAATGAGCAAGTTTCAGCATAACATAAAAACAGCTTCCCTAAAAGAGATTATGGACCAAACCTAAAAAAGAATAAAATCACATTTAATTAAAAAGAAGAAAGGTGTTCACAAGAATATTTCCAGATGTTTTCTTTCCAGATTTCAGAATTATTGGCCAAGTAAAAGTACATTTACAAGGAATTTGTCTTCGGTAGATGTTCGCTCTCTAAAAACATACAACAACCACAATAAATGAGAATATAAAATATTATTAAAAATAATCAGTAGAAACAGCATCAAAACTCAACATAAAGGATGACCAAACAGAAGAAGAATCCCCAAGTAGGCCCCTAAAGTACTTCTACACCTCTCCAGGTGTCGGCCATAGTGTCTCTTACCCAAAGGCCAAACGCTGGTGGGTGGGTGTCCTTCCACTTGGAGGGGAGAAGTCTTTTGGCCAACAGGCAACTGAAAGTGACCATATGTCGTTGACCTTTGATCAAAGGGGAATCTATACTCATTATACCAAAGAGAGCTGTTAAGGGATCCGGATGCATAACAGACCCGCAGATCTTAGTGCATCGAAGATCGAGCACCAATGTTCCTGTAGTGTCGGGCACGACCAGAACATGTGCGAGAGTAAAGGGTGATCGTCTGCAACCCAAGATCAGTTTTAAGAAAATCTGCCTCGCAGTACTGCCTCCACGACTGCAGATGTCTGCTCTTTAAGCTAACAAATACACCATCTCTGTGAGGAAGTCAAAAAACAAATATAACTAACCTCGATCTCAGGGGAGCTGAGCAACGGCTTGGGAACCACGGGGATGAGGATGATCCTCAGCCTGAATGGGAGGTGGAGACCATTTTACTTTCATAAAATCACATCAACTGTACCTCCTGAAATGTATTTAATTAGTTAATGAAGGAATATGTGTTATTTGTTACATTAACACATGCTTATAGATAACCAGTTCAGTATGATAAACAAACACACGTAAAAAAAACACGTGCTTAGCTGGAAATGCTAACAGTTAGCATAAAGTAAATGAATTAAAGGTGCATTATGCAAGAATATCGTGAGAATTTTACTGTGAGAAAATCCCAAAAGAGTCTAATGTTTCAGTCATTTTGAAAGAATGGTTATAAGGAAACATATTTCATATCCAGCTGGCTGCAAGGATTGTCAGTTTGTTTCCTTTCAAAACAAAGTAAGGAGGGACGTAACAACTGTTTACCATCAGTGAGAGTGGGGTTGCCGTGTCTCCTGCGAGCTAAAGCTGCAGCGCCGTCAACTGTAATTTGACGACGGCCGGCAAAAAGCTCCAGAGTTGTTTAAAGTGGTTGCAGTAACCACATTTTACCACATGATGTCATTTTTATTTCACTTCTACACAGTGCACCTTTAAATGAAATATAGTGGAAGTAGAAAGAGCTCTCCTGTTCAGAGCCCAAGGCATGATGGGATGCTCACCTCTCGTGGCGCAGAAGCATGATGATCAGTAGGATGAGGGTGATGGCACCCACTACGTACAGCACTGGTGTCCACACAGATATTGGCTCCTTTATATTTGTGTCTGAGAGGACAGAACCCAAAAGGACTGATGTGAAATGGAAAAGATATTCACAATATTCACATGGCAGACATCTTAAAAACCCTACTTGTGCTGTTGTTGAACCCCCAGGCCACAGGATCGCTCCAGTCACTCCAGATATCCGAGTCTCCACAGCTTTCCGTTATTTTACTTTTCACCTGGAACTCATACCTGGAATTGCTGGAGGGTAAGTTGATGCAGTAGCTCAGCCTCTCAGAAGGGACATGAGTGGACTGTAAAAAAAAAAAAAGGTTAGTTAAAAAGGACTTTAAAAAGTTTTTGATTAAATTAAAAAAAATTCCACTTTGCCTACATCCCACGGCTTGTTGTTTATTCGGAAGCGAACTTGGTTGTCCACACATCGTGGTGTTGACTGGTTCCAGTAAAACCACAAGTTGGAATCGGATCCAATTTTTACTGTAACGTTGGTTGGTGGGTTTAACTTGACTGGTGAGAAAGGAGAAAGAGTGCAATTAATTTCCACTTGTATTTTTCATGGTTTTTGTTCATTTTTTAGTTTAGAATTTAGGCTTTTTGGTGAAATCCCTTCAAATTAAAGAGTGAGTCACCCCACTACCAGAATCCTACATCAACAATATTTCCTGTTTAACTCATTCACTACCAGCCATTTTCTGATCAGAAAAGCCCTTCGCTGCCAACGTTTTTCAGCATTTTTACCGTTTTCTCAAGAGTCACAGAACGTTGCGCTCTATGATGGTGTCAACGCCAAAACTACTAAAACAAAAAGAAGACTCACCTCACCTCACATCAGGAAGAATCTGCGCATTTCAAGCATTATCCGTTCTTTCATAATCCATTCTCAAATTGTGATCGACAGAAGCTTTTTCAGTTCGTGCCTCACTTTTTTTTTACAGCAGCGGCCCAAAACAATCTCCTAACACATGGATTTTCTGCTTTCTGATCACGTGACGTGTGACGTACGCGGATGAAAATTGGCTTTAGAGCTGAGGTGTTTGTTCTCACGGTGCAGGGGCTCGTTCCGACGCCCACACAGTAAAAAAATGCAAATGACGACTTTAGTCGTCAATGGCAGTGAATGAGTTAAGAAATGCACCTAAAGGAGGCGTCGCCCAGCAAGCTGCTGAGGGAGTGACTGACCTGATCCCCCCCCCCCCCCAACTGTAAATCCTAAATGTGCATACCTTTCTTTTTAAGCGCATGTATCTTCTTACTCTTCGTCTCATTGCCGTGTCTCAATATGGTGTAAAAGTCACTGAATTTATCCTCTCTTTTGCAGCCTCGCTTACATCCAATGGTGATGTTGTCCTCTATCAGGTAGTTGGTACAGTTACTTTCTTTATTATTTTCAAACCTGTGGAGTGAAAAATAAACTTTTGTTACTGCAATTATGATCATGATGCAAATATAATATAATGTCATGGATTTGCTCGGCACCAAGCCAAATCTTATTTATTTATAACTGATAAAAATGTTGATGTTTTAAACCAATTCAGAACATTTTATCTAAAAAAATAAGAAAATCGACTTGAGGGCTGTGTTAGAGAGAACAGACTTTACATTTGAAGTTATTCGAGTACAAACCAGCTGGAGAAGGTGTAATTGACCCCTGGAGCTCCATTTTTATTCCAGACACAGTGAACTTGTTCCTGATTCACTATCAGACATTCCACATCTGTCGAAAACACAAGAAAACAAGTTATTTCATGACGAATGCAAATAAAAAAATACATTCAAACAGAAGGGACTCGATGCTTTCTCACCAATAATAAAAGTTTAAGAATTGTTTTAGAACTTTTCTTAAGAGAAACCAACATTAAAACCCAAGAAAAAACAATAAAAGCACAGATTACTAAGCTGCTTGAAAATGATTTTAAAATTATGCACAACACCAGAATATTCTCAGTTTTAGGTCTGAAGTTACCCTGAAAAACCTAACATGACTAAATTAAAACAAACAACAAAAAATTACAATTACGCTAATTAAATGATAACAGATTGAGGACATTTTGGTCCTGTTGCTAAGAGCCACGCTATTTTCTCATTTCCTGTTATATTTTAGTTTAATGCTGGATGAACACCCAAAACAAGCTTTAGAGACGAAAAAGTTCAGATCCATAATTTCATTTCTGGGTTTTGATAAAACAAGACAACATAACAGATAAAACTAATATTTCTGTAAAGTTACATCAAAATACTAAAAGAAACAATCAACAGGAATGTGACCTTGGTTGGATCAAGTTCTCACCCTTAGGACAAAAAGAACACCGACGCAAAACTGTTAAATTATAAAGTTTTGATTCATGTGACATTTGAAGGTGGAGTCGTATTACACAGGCGACATGAGGTGTAACACACACACACACACACACACACACACACACACACACACACACACACACACACACACACACACACACACACACACACACACACACACACACACACACACACGTCAAAGGGAATTTTCAACTAAGACTTCTAAACTGGAGTTAAATCTTATTAAATAACAGCAACAAACCAGTTAAATATTTTTTGTCCTTCTTTAATTTCAGTTTTTAAAATATTTTATATTTGGTTAATTTATTTAAGTAAAAGTAAAGAAAAACTATTTTTAGATTGGAAAAGGCGCTCGCAATGGACTACTGAGACATTATAACTACTAATCTTAAACAAAATCATGTGAAACATTATAAGTTCTTAATCAAATAGAAAACGGAGGTCGATTATTAAAAAGTTTATCCTCATTTTAACACAATCAAGCAAACTAAAAGCTCATAAAACCAAAAGAATCTTAGTTTTTCGATTGTAGACGCTCTTACCGGGTGGATTTTGGGCCCGTATTTGTTCAGAGAGACAGAGAAGCAGAAGCAGTGGAGCCAACATCGTGGCAGATGCAACTGTGGTGCGTTCAGCTCAGCACACACTTCTATGTTTCACTTCCGCTTTAAATGTGGGTTTTTCTCTTTTCCTGTTTCCAGACTGAGGCGGCAGCAAAAACAACCCTAAAAAACACCTTTAAACTGGTGTTTCTATCACCCATCAGAGCAAACTGGATCATTGAAGCTTGTTTGATCTAAATAATCAGGTAATTAATGCGTTTTATGCAAACAGTGACGACAAGAATCACAGAAGCATTTGAGCCTCAAACAATCAAGGAGTGTACAACACAAGAAGTGCAAAGCCTAGGTAAAATCATCATTTTTGTGTCTTATTTCGTCAATTTTCAAGACTTTTAAGGAGGAGCATAAAAGCAAAATGGAGGTATGAGAAATGAACATGAAGATAAAGGAGACAGGGATGCAAACATGTCTTAAACACGTAGGATCCAGTCTCATCTTTTAGATAAAATAATTGGCATCCTGTCAACAACTTTAATTTATGTTGAATGAACTGTTTAAGAGCCAAATGACAACAATCAGTAGTTTTATTTTAAAAATTAAAGCTGATCACATCAAACTTGTGAATTTTTCACAAACTCACAGAATCAGGTGCTCAACACTACCTGCTGCATGTTTGCACGTTGGATAGTTCTGTGTGTGTTTGCTGCTTCACACAGAGTTTTGTGGCTTTGGTTTCCGGTCACAGGAAATATTTAAAATGAAAGTTTTAGGGACCCAGCAGGTACGTCGGAAACTGGGTTTCTCAAGAGTTGTGGCGAGTTAAACGTGAACTCAGTCTGATCAGTGCGTTTTTACTGGGGCAATAATCATGGTTAATCACGTTTTAATTAACCAAAGAAAGTCAAGGACTCCAGAGTCCATTCTATTGTCAAAAAGCAAATTTAGTGACCAGAAAAGATAAGTCCAAATGATGTAAAACGGACTGAAATCTGCCTTTATCTTTCAGTAATTAGCTGTAAGTTAGCCAGATTAACAAAGAATCACTTTTCTGCCCAACATTGCGCTGCTGACACCTTCACTTGTTGTCAGATCTCAGCTCATTTCCAGAGAACTTGATGAGGGTTTATTGAGTTTGTGTGTGGAGGAGAAAAAAGTGATCTCCACTAATTTTCGTGTTTCGTTGTGAAAATGCAGTGGCACTACTTTTTTACCCTTTGTTTCTATCTTGTCACGCAATGTAAAAAAAATACACACTTGGCACCAAATGCATTTTAGATTTAAATAATGCAAACAGATATGTAAAAATCACAAAGTGTCATTCGTTTAGTCATTCGTTTATACATTTTCTGTTAGTAAAGACAATGTTTGTTTCCTCCCCTAAATCTCAGCTTTTGCAGGTTTTGACTTTGCGGATTATTAGATAAATTAGAGTTTTAAATGAGTGCATTAAAATGCTAAATTTTTATTTCTCTTATTCAGATTTTATGCAGATTGTTCTTGCTTCTTTTTGCATTTATTATTTTATTTACTCTGCTTTGACAAATAAGATTTACACAGGGGACATAATGTCTCTAGTATTTCTTTTCTTTGCACATCTGTCTCTTTTACATTAAAATCGGGAGTTATTTTATCTTAAACTGAGTTAGTTGGTTAACAGCAATGTCTTATGTAGAGCGCTGTGCAAAACATGCATAAGATTTCTCTTTCTTGAAATGCAATAAAAAAGAACTCTCGCTTAAACCACTAGATCTCACTAGACATCCATAATCTGGTTGATAAGATGTTTTTAACTTAAACCAGTGAAATAAAATTTTTAATTGCAATAAATGTAGGCTCATCTTTAATGCACACTCTGAAATCCAATTTGTTCAGCCTACATAATATCATTTCAGGATTTTCTCCCTAAATAAAGGTTAAATAAAAATCATTAGACGTTTAGAAGCGAATGGGAAAAAAAAGTGCTGGACACAATTTTGTTAGACATTTTTTTAAATGATGTTTGAGAATTAACGATCAGCTGAGCAGGAGGAGGTAGGGCCCAAAATGCAGAAGCCCAGAATGACTCGAGGCAAGAGCAGTTGAATAAAGGTAAAATCCTTTTATTAAGGTGGCAACAAAAATGACTTAGATGCAGGAATGAAATTCAGAAAACTGAAAGCCAAAAAACCAAAAGCTCAATAATGAGCACAAAGACTAGAACCTGACGAGGGACCAAATCAATGCTGACTCACAACAATGGACCGACTAACAATGAGGGCCAAGTCGGGGCTTTTAAACACAGAGGGAGGTGATCAGAGGAACAGGTGACAGGTGTGAGTGATCTGGAGGGAAGGCAGGTGCATTCAATAAACTAAATGGGGAAAGAACTACGCAGGGGAACCTGGAGGAGAACAGGAGGAGGCTGGGGACAGAGGGACACGGAACATGACATAAACAGAATTTTATTTTTGGTATTCGTGTTTGTTTTATTAAGAATAGAGTTTTAGATGTTTGCAGCACCAACACAATATTATGTGTAACCTGTTCAGATACTTTTTTTGTACAGATCGGAACGTTTGAATTTTACAATTAGGAATATAATTAGTTATCTTTAACCTAAATTCTGCCAAGTTTGCTTAAATAATACCTAAAAATGATTTAAGTGAGTTCTGTTATTGACTTAAATGAGCTACAAATAAGACAGTTCATTGATGTTGTTGATTAAATTGATTTGTAACGTAATTGTATTATTACAGGTGCTGGCCAGTAAATTAGAATATCATCAAAAGGTTGAAAATATTTCAGTAATTCCATTCAAAACGTGAAACTTGTACATTATATTCATGCAATGCACACAGACCAATGTATTTCCGATGTTTATTACGTTTAATTTTGATATTTATAGGTGACAACCAATGAAAACATCAAATCTGGTATCTCAGACAATTAGAATATTCTAAAGGCCAATGAAAAAATGTTTGTTTCTCTAATGTTGGCCAACTGAAAAGAATGAACATGAAAAGAATGTGCATGTATAGCACTCAATACTTAGTCGGGGCTCCTTTTGCCTCAATAACTGCAGTAATGCGGCGTGGCATGGACTCGATCAGTCTGTGGCACTGCTCAGGTGTTATGAGAGCCCAGGTTGCTCTGATAGTCGTCTTCAGCTCCTCTGCATTGTTGGGTCTAGCGTATTGCATCCTCCGCTTCACAATACCCCATAGATTTTCTATGGGGTTAAGGTCAGGCGAGTTTGCTGGCCAATCAAGGACAGGGATACCATGGTCCTTGAACCAGGTGCTGGTGGTTTTGGCACTGTGTGCAGGTGCCAAGTCCTGTTGAAAGGTGAAGTCTGCATCCCCATAAAGTTGGTCAGCAGCAGGAAGCATGAAGTGCTCTAAAACTTCCTGGTAGACGGCTGCATTGACCCTGGACCTCAGGAAACAGAGTGGGCCAACACCGGCAGATGACATGGCACCCCACACCATCACTGACGGTGGAAACTTTACACTGGACCTCATGCAACGTGGATTCTGTGCTTCTCCGCTCTTCCTCCAGACTCTGGGTCCTTGATTTCCAAAGGAAATGCAGAACTTGCTTTCATCAGAAAATATAACTTTGGACCACTCAGCATCAGTCCAGTCCTTTTTGTCCTTGGCCCAGGCGAGACGCTTCTTGCGCTGTTTCTTGTTCAAGAGTGGCTTGACACACGGAATGCGACACCTGAATCCCATGTCTTTCATGAGTCTCCTCGTGGTGGTTCTTGAAGCGCTGACTCCAGCTGCAGTCCACTCTTTGTGGATCTCCCCCACATTTTTGAATGGGTTTGTCGTCACAATTCTCTGCAGGGTGCGGTTATCCCTAGAGCTTGTACACTTTTTTCTACCACATTTTTTCCGTCCCTTCGCCTGTCTGTTAATGTGCTTGGACACAGAGCTCTGCGAACAGCCAGCTTCTTTAGCAATCACCTTTTGTGTCTTGCCCTCCTTGTGCAAGGTGTCAATGATTGTCTTTTGGACAGCTGTTAAGTCAGAAGTCTTCCCCATGATTGTGGTGCCTTCAAAACAAGACTGAGGGACCTTTTAAAGGCCTTTGCAGGTGTTTTGAGTAAATCAGCTGATTAGAGTGGCAGCAGGTGTCTTCTATATTCAGCCTTTTCAGAATATTCTAATTTTTTGAGATACCAAATTTGGAGTTTTCATTAGTTGTCACTTATGAATATCAAAATTAAACGTAATAAACATCGGAAATACATTGGTCTGTGTGCATTGCATGAATATAATGTACAAGTTTCACGTTTTGAATGGAATTACTGAAATATTTTCAACCTTTTGATGATATTCTAATTTACTGGCCAGCACCTGTATATACTTTATTTCCCCCTCGCAGCAGCACCACCACGGGTCGCTGTTAGTAGCAGAGTTGGAAGCGGACTTTTATTTTGAAGGACCGGAAGTCTCAGTGTTTAGGTTGAGGAGGCGGAAGACGCTCAGCTGTTATTTACGTTCTTGGCCAAACCGAGACACAATTTTGACGACAAATGTAACAGTTTCACACAAGACCACGATGGAGTTCACACCGAGGCGCATCTTTGGGGTTAAACCCTCCAAAGCGACCTTTCTGCTACCTTTTCTTGTGTCCGTCCTGCTCGTCGGCAGCCAAGGCGACAGCAATGCTGCGTTGGACAACGTCGTTACCGAAAGGATGGCTGAGGAGAGCCACCGGCAGGACAGTGCATACCTGCTCATATTTATCATGCTTCTGACACTCACCATTCTGACGATTTGGTTGTTCAAACACCGGCGGGTTAGATTTCTCCACGAAACGGGTCTTGCTATGATCTATGGTAAGGACATGAATGCTAGCTAGCCAGCGTGTCATCAGTTAGTTAGCTCTTTAAACCTGACCAGTAAACCAATTAAACACTTTCTTGCCACGTGACAAGGCGCGTGGGCAGCTTATCTGTCATGTTTTTATTGTTTAAACACATGAAATCAATTTAACAAAAGATCAGACTTTGTCGGAGTTGAATAAAAATATGTTATTAGAAGTTATGAATCTAATGATTCATAATTTCTAATAATTCATAAATGTTTCTTGGAGCCATGGACGTAATTTTCACTTTAGAAGTGGGGGGGGACACGGGGGGGGGGGGGTATCTTTACAGTATGCTCTAATGGGAAACAGGCTTCAACACAAATGGTTGTTTTCCGCTTGGTCCTTAAGCTCAGCCAGTGTCAATTTAATATAGCGTAATGTTGTGTTTGGATGGTAAAAAGTGCAGGGGTCAAAACTTGACTTTGGAAACAGTGTCCCCCCCGTCCCCCCCCCCCCAAATTATATCCATGCTTGAAGCACCTCTACAGACTGTTTCATAAAGTAATATTGGATTGAGAAAATAGAGATTAATGGTTGTTTAGTTTGAATAAATATGATAATAACCAATGGCAGTTTATACATAGGTTCCCTGATGTAAAGAAAGAAAAACATCTAAAAAGTAAAACAAAAATACTACAATATATATACATGTATTTACAACAAATGTTTCTGTTTTGCTTTAATGTGTGTGGCTGCATGCAATTTGAATTATTTATACACCTTTTTCACCAGTTGCTTTGTAAAACAGTGAACTTACCCCAACAGACTCACTAATACCGCTCTTGGGGCTGGGAAAAAACGCACCTGAACTGCAGATAAACAGCCAATCGTGTTTGGTTGCTAGGTAGAACTGCAAGAGCTTTTGACCAATTGGCATCACTGAATTTAGAGTTAATGGGGTGTTGGCTGATAGTGTGCATGTTTTTTTAACACACAACACACTGTTGCTTTATATAGAGCTGAACATGCAGCTGCTGCAGTAAAATGTGTTTACTTGTTGTCATTTTATGTGATTATAACATTTAAACATAATGTTTAATTTTGTCTGTATGTGTTAGTGCCACCTATGGGTGGAACAGGGTATTGTACTTTGAGTTGTGCCTGCTTCAAGCAGATAAATCACTATCAACACCAGTCTGTGAAAGTGATTTGAAGAAAGGGAATAATAATGATTATTGTGGAATTTTAGTAATTTCCCGATTGTTTCAGTTTTCCAGCTCAACATAGAAGTTTTTTCACCAATCCCCACTAATCATAATCCCACTGTTGTTTCTGTTTTAACCAAAGGCCTATTGGTAGGTGTGATCCTGCGATTCGGCATCCACGTGCCTCAAAGCATGAGTGATGTGATCCTTGGCTGCGCCGTCAACGCCAGTCCCGCCACTCTGTTGGTCAACGTCAGCGGGCGGTTTTACGAGTACACCCTCAAGGGGGAGGTCACTCCGGGCAGTGGCCACCAAGATGACGAGATGCTGCGAAAGGCAAGATTACCTCTAGATGAAGGGTCGACCTGCATTTTTTTTGTTTTTGATCCGAACGACTCAGCTGGTAGCAGCTTTATAACAGGAGAAGACTTTTCAAAATGTCACACATTTTAACGTCAAACACTTTTATTATGGTGAATACGCTCGTAAGTCTGCTGTTATTGGCTTGTTTTCAGGTGACCTTTGACCCAGAGGTGTTTTTCAACATTTTGCTGCCTCCCATAATCTTCCATGCAGGTTACAGCTTGAAAAGGGTAAGATACTGTATGTGATTAATGAAAGGTTTTCATTTAGTTGATTTCTATAAAAATAGGTTATTTGACAATAACAAATGTTCTGTTTTCTGTAGACTTTAGTTAAAATCGGTCTTTTTTTCTTCTTTAGAGGCATTTCTTCAGAAACATTGGCTCCATCTTGGCTTATGCTTTCTTGGGAACAGTTATATCCTGCTTTGTTATTGGGTACACCCTTTGATTATCTCCAATATTACTCTTAAATCTGGATTTACTCGTTTTTACAGCTTGTGTCTTACAGGCTCAATCAGTCGTAAACAGCACTATATTGAAGCAAGCATCTTTAATACTGATGTTTTTCCCCTCCTTAGGCTCATCATGTATGGCTTTGTGTCCTTTATGAAAGTTGTGGGCCAACTTGGGGGGGATTTTTACTTCACTGATTGCCTCTTCTTTGGAGCTATCGTCTCAGCAACAGACCCGGGTAAAGGAGGGAGCTTGAATCTTCCAAATGGAGAATTTAAATATGCAGAAACTTGCTTTGAAGCATTTTGTCCCCTTGTTCTTTTGAACGGTGTGGCATTTAGAGGTGTTTCTGTCTCTCCGTTTGTCTCAGTGACGGTGCTAGCGATCTTCAATGAGCTAAAAGTAGACGTCGACTTGTACGCGCTGCTGTTTGGGGAGAGTGTCCTCAATGACGCTGTGGCCATCGTCCTGTCCTCGTAAGTATTGAAACATGGATTTTGAAGCTTTTTAAAGAAATCAAGCATCCATTTATCGCATAAACCTGTATTTTGTTCATGTTTTTAACTGTGTGATGAGACGTTTGAAGCTCGAGTAGCTTCTGTTTTGGGGAAAGGAAAACATCACTTGTGCAAATGTGTGTTTGAATGTCTGCTGCACGGGAAGATTTAACCACACTAATGTCATTCCCTGTCATTTCACTGCTTGCCTTTCTCCATCCATCTGTGTCATTCGCCACCTGCCTGTGCGTACGTACGTATGTAGGGTCCTCCTCCGCTTGGAGAAGCGGAGCAGGCATGGCCCCGGAGCCGTCCTCTCCACTGGAGGGAACGGCTCCGTCATGTCTGAGGAGGTTGAAGGGTGGCTGGGAGAAAACCAGACATTCCCTCCCCGGTGGGTGGGTGGGTTTGCTTGTGTTAGAACCTTTTTTGCTGATGTGATTCCGATCTTTCATTTAGGCTGTAGCCTAAAGCAACCTTTAGCATAACCCTCCCCTGTGTCCCTCTACCACTGTTCCTCCATCTTTTTACCCATCCATACTGCCACATCATTCTTTGCATATAACAGTTTTGCTCATTTATCTTTGTTAAAAGTCTGTGAAACATTAACCAAACCGGGTTAGTTAGGCTCCAGCATGCAAACCCAACTCTGTTTCAGTTGTACAGGGAGGATTTGATGCCTGGCAGCCATTGTTTCTAACCTAATGCGAGCATGTGTTTGACATTGGGCCTCTCTCTCTCTTCCTGTATTCTTAGTAAGAGTCTGTTTCTGTTTTTCTAGTAAATGTTTTTCTGTCCTTCAGCTCTATCGTGGCGTATCAGCCTGCAGGAGACAACAGCCACAGCTTTGAGGCCATGGCTGTGCTGAAATCCTTGGGCATCTTTGTGGGTGTCTTCAGTGGATCCTTTGCACTTGGAGTGGCTACAGGAGTCATGACTGCTTTCATATCCTTTTCTTGCTCCCGTGTGGCCTGAACTCTTCTCTTTGATGAAACACTCGACTGTTGTTCTGTAAATGATCATTTTCCGATGTGTTGTCCTTTTGCTTTGTCCCTTAACTTTTAAGTTGTCCTCACGTGACCAAGTTTACCAAGCTTAGGGACTTCCCTCTGCTGGAGACGGCTTTGTTTTTCCTCATGTCTTGGAGCACCTTCCTTTTGGCCGAGGCCTGCGGGTTCACAGGTACATCTGAAACCAGGATCCGAACGGGCAGTTTTCATAACCTTACTTCTGCTGATGGATGGATGGTTTAAGGTCTCGTTCACAGAGAAGCTGTGTCATGCTTGTTCTTTATGAAATACGATCGGTCACTCTGAGTTGCTTATGCACGTTGAATGTGAAAAATGTCTTCAACCCTCGTCTTCATTAGACGCAGAAGGGAAATAGACGACCGGGTCTGATAAAGCAGATCTCTTCTACGTCACAGGGAGAATTGGTGTTAATGAGCACATCCACCTTAGCTTGTGACCACAGAAGTTTGTGTTGATTTAGTTGCTAGGGGAGAGCAGATCACGTCTCGGCTAGTCGCTGCTAAGCATTAGCGGCTCAACATGGCGGAACACGTTCAGGCTTGTGTTATTTATGGAGTTAAAACTCCAGCGTTGCATTTTTCTCAGAATGAAGAGCGAGTGAGGGCAGCAGAAGAGTTGCATTGCTGATAGCCAACCATATCCGCCTAATTCTGTCCCCCGAAACAGGAACATCAGAGCTTTTTCCACAGAGAACGACTCGCAAGACATTCCTTCGTACTAGAAACCACAACAAATGTATTGAAAAATCTTGAGACCATTAATATATCAAGTAGGGCAAAATGGCCTAAAACAAATAGAGCAATAGTAAATGTACATTTGTTCCACGTCTTTTTAGCCTAGAAACCTAGACCGTTAGTCACCGAAGCAAAAAGATTTTGCTCTGCATGCCGGTCTAGCTATGCTCCATTGGAGCCTCAGTAGGTCTAGCATTGGCCTGAGCGGTATTATGCAATGCCAAACACAGCGCTCTATTGGTTTGGAGGGCGAGATGATGCAATGGAGCGGAACAAGATGGCAATGGCTTATTTCAAGCACCTTTGGTGTCTTTGTATTATTCAGACTCGGGCTTTTCTTTCAGTTAAGAGCAGATAGAGGTACTTAAGTCCTTTACTTCGATGTAAGGATGTATTTGTGTCCTCTTTATCAGTGTAATGCAGGCCGCCCTGTTGACTGACTTCTGTAGCGGCGAGTACGTCATGTTAGTTGTCCGATAGCATCTGGAGATAGTTGAAAGACAACTGTAGATTTCACCTCACAACTGAGCTCCATCGATCACGGCCAGACTGTGTATTCATATATTAGATGGCTTGCCAGGCCAGGTCTTTTTTTTAAATATCCAGTTTATCCTAATCTATTCCTCTTTAAAGTTGCAGTCTTTCAACTCCTTCTAACCTGTCATGAGATATAAACTTTCTCTTTCACCTCCGTGTCTCTCTTAATTAGCACTGCGCACACTGGAGAGTGAGGTATAGCATGTAAAAGAAGTTAAACTCTAAATATTTAGATGCAGATGTCTGAAAGTTTTCCTCTAGAATTTACATTTGAATCATTTCACTGTTAATTGAAGCGAGCATAATTTTTGCAGTTTCTATGATTGTTTTTCAGGCGTGGTAGCGGTGCTGTTCTGTGGGATGACTCAGGCTCATTACACCTTCAACAACCTTTCTCCTGAATCTCAAGACAGAACCAAACAGGTGAAACTTCAGTCTGCATTTCTCACCAAAACGTTACACATCCCAGCCAGGCCACTGCTGGAAGTGGTCATTTATCTACATTCTGTCACAATCATTTAAAACGTAACGTACTCCACAAAGTTTTGCAGTCACAGCGTTTTTACAGATATGGAACCCAAAAACAGAAATGGTTGATGATGTGGCTGATTATTGTTGCTACTCTGCCCAAAATTCTTAGAAACCTACAAGCTCGTGCTATCGTGAGATGCTAGTTATTGCAACACTGTTTTCTCATGTTTACATCAAAGAACTCATTCAGTTATCTCCTGTTTTTATCAGTTGTTCGAGCTGTTGAACTTCCTGGCGGAGAACTTCATCTTCTCCTACATGGGTCTGACACTCTTCTCCTTCCAGTCACATGTCTTCAACCTGCTGTTCATCATCGGCGCCTTCGTATCCATGACAAACAAATCCAGACCTTTCTGGTTGTGGGTTGCTATGCGACACCATTTTCTGATCCACGTATACCCTTATGACTCTTAGTGCTGCCTTTATTTTACAGCTTCTAGTGCTTTCTGCATCAGCTCTCACCAGATATCCTACTAACCTTATGTCAGCACCACAGTTAACGATCAGTGTTTCACTAAGTGCTTAACTGAAGCTAGCATCAAACACCAGAGCACCTTTTAGAGACAGATTAGTCAGTTCTGAGATGCAGTTTCTGAACCGCCATCTACCCACTAATATTTTCTGTTTCCTCTGAGCCATATTCTCGTTTCAGCGAGTTGAATCCTTGACCTTGCGGTGTTGTGTAGGTGGCCATATTTCTCGGCAGGGCTGCAAACATCTACCCCCTGTCCTTCCTTCTCAACCTGGGCCGCAGAAACAAGATCGGATCAAACTTCCAACATGTTATGATGTTTGCAGGTACTCATTAAGGATGAGGAGAACCTTTAAGGGACCAATTCTACCATTTACACATTTTTATTTTTTCTGTGTTTAAGTTACAGTTACTATCTCACAACTTCCTGAATCGCCTTTGTTTAGAAATATGAGACTGATGGGCTAAAGGCTAGTGCTTTAAAATTGGTGTTGCTGGACATATTATACAAAGTCACATTTTGCATCCATTTTTTGTTGCCATGTGGGTCTGTGCTGCTGTGAATGCTCCAAATGAGTAAAAACCCATCCGTCTGTTTTCTCTGTGTTTGGTTTTAGGGACAATGTGCCTAAAACATGAGGTTTCAAAAAGCCTCCATTTGTGATGTCACAAATGGTGAAAATAAAATAGAGCCACCTCTCACCCCTGCTTTCCACAGGAGCCGTCAGCAGCACGTTACTGCAGCAGCACGTCATAGCTGCTGATAGGAACCGCTGTGGTCAACAGAACCTTTTCCACTGGAGCCGTCAGCAGCGCGAGTCGGCCGCGTCTCAGGAGCAGCATTTCGCGGCCTTTACGCGCTGGTTCTAATTTCTACGCGCGACGCCTCTGAAATGGGTCAAGTTCGACATTTTTGGGGAAGGAAAGACAGGAAATCGGACGCGGAAATGGAGAGAAGCTCCTGAGATTTTCAGAATAAAGAAACGTACTGCCTTCCGGTTGCTTTACTTTAAAAAAAAAGTTACTAACTGTGTGGCCCCGTGAGAAGTTATCACCTAGCTAGCAGTCTCCTTTGTTTTTCAGGTCCGTATTGGCGATTATAAAACGGACAGAACATAAAACACAAACCTTTTGGAGCCATGTTGTAGTTTTCTCCTGCTTGTTGTTGTGTTTACTGATGATGTCACTCGTGTGACTTCGTGCTCTGTCGGTGACAGCTGCTCCCCTGTTGCTTCGCGTCTCGTGGGAAGGGCCAAGCAGCAGCTTATGCGAGCAAGACGTGCTGCTGCAGTTACATGCTGCTGATGGCTCCTGTGGAAAGCCGGGGTCATGCTCAAAAGAGCTGCTGCTGCTGGAGCTGAGGCAGCGCTACCTCGAGACCCTCCCTGACGTCGGAGCTTCTCAGCTTATAGTAGCCTGAGAAGGGGGGTGGGTGGGTGTGGCCAGCTCCAGCTTGTTTTTTTTAAAGCGACAGAGCCCTGAAACGACTCATTCCAGAAGGTACTGAAAATGTCAAGAATAAAACGGCTGATCTTGCTTTATGGTAGAGGAATTTAGTGCTGAGAATTTCATGAAGAAGTTTTGTATCAGCCATAGAACTGTTATAGCTGAAGGAAAAAGTCATAATATGCCCCCTTTAACTCAAATTTAAATCTGCTTCTTAGGTTTTGGTCTGCTTTTTAATGAACTATAAATGAACAAGTTCTGGCTTGTAGTAAATCTTAATAATAGAAAGTTAAGGTGATGAGGAGCAGGGATGGACTCATTTCATGACTCAGAGGCAGAGTTTACTGTTCAAACAGAGCGGCCTACACACGTATGATTGTTTTTGACTTGCTCTGCTCCTACAGCTCACCACCTTTAATTATTAAGGAATTTAAACTTTTTTTGTCTAGAGTTTGTGTAAGTGTATGAAAACATAACAAATTTTCATTGTTGCATATTTTAGCCAAAAAACTGTTTTCCAGCCACACATCCTCACACTCATTATTCTGTCTCCTCCAGGTCTGCGTGGGGCCATGACCTTCGCCCTGTCCATCCGGGACACGGCTACCTACGCTCGTCAGATGATGTTCTCCACCACCCTCCTGATTGTCTTCTTCACCGTGTGGGTCTGTGGAGGTGGCACCATGCCCATGCTGTCGTTCATGAGCATACCGTAGGGCTCGGCTTCTGTTTGCACGTTCCTCACTCCGCTGTGCCTTTAGTAACCGCTGTGTTTTATTTTCTCCAGAGTGGGTGTGGACTCTGATCAAGAAAACTCTGTAAGTGACTTTAATTTTGAGCAGATTTGGTATAAAAAAGGGAATTTGAGGGTAAATGAGCAGTGTTTTTGTGTTTAACAGAGTTCTGCTGTGTTGGACGGCTCACAGAGGAGGAGCACCAAACAAGAGAGCGCCTGGCCCTTCAGAATTTGGTACAACTTTGATCACAAGTATCCTTTGAACCATGGAGTAGTGCTTGCTGATCTGAAGATGCTCGAGTGATTGTAAACCACCAGAGGGCACTGTTTCCCAACTTTAAGGGTCCCGTTTCTTCGTATGATCCCACTTGAGGCACAAAGATTTGTTTTTAAAGCCGGCAGCTCCTTTCATTTGAACCATAGTTTACTTAATGCTTTACCTGAAAATGGTTCTTAATTGTAAAATGTGCAAAGTTCAGATTGTGTTCCCCAGACTAGAGATCTGTAAAACCAGTGTTTACCTAGAAACGGTTTACCAGTTGAGTCCTTGACAGAAGCTCGTTGATCAGCTACCTGAAACCTCTCCTGACCCACAGCGGTCCTCCTCTCACTGCGACTATGCCGGCTTGTTGTGGGCCGTTGGCACGATGTCTGACCAGTCCGCAGGCCTACGAGGTTTGGACAGAAATTTTAAGATGTTTTTCTTTTTTAATCTTGTCTGGATTAAATCTTCTTTCAGGTGTTCTCTCATTCCCCTTATGTTTTTATTTCCTCCCTCTTTCTTTTCTTTTCATCTCCCAGAACGAAGGTCAGCTTCACGACAATGACTCTGACTTCATCCTGAACGACGCCAATGTGAGCTCCATGTACGCTGACGTCACCGTCAGCACAGACGCGTCTGGATCCCGCACCGTCAACCCCAAACCCAGGGGCACCCCGTTCAATGACAGCCTGGATCACGAGCTCTCCCAGCCGGACCAGGACGTGGCGATCCACGGTACACGGCTCGTCTTACCAATGGACGACCCCGTAGAGCCCCCGATTACTGTCACCCTCCCACCGCCACCCTCTCCACCCCGTTCAGAGCCTCACAGACACCGGCTGTAGGAATGTTAGCACCATCAGAAGTTGGGTTTTTGTTTTGTCTCAGATTTTAAAAATGATCAAAAAACACATCGATCTGTTAGTTTTGGATCCAATTCCTTTAAAAAAAAAAGTCAAAGTTCGGCGTGTACGAGTTTTTTTTAAGTAATTATGAATTTTATCATCTTCCTTATTATTTCACTCTAGTAAGAAATGGTACTTTTAAACTCACTGCTATTACAGAGGCTAACAGCTCTGTTTGCACGACTGAGGTTATAACCTAAGCTATGACTGGATTGCTGATCCAAGCAGAATTTTTCAGCGGAGCAGCTTTTATTTGATCGGGTTGCGATCATCAGCAAAGAGAACGACACGTTTGATAGTGGTACGAATATTTAACGCACCAAAAACAAATTGTCGGATCAGTAAGAGAAAACAGACTGATTCCAGCGCTAACACTGGCCGTCTCACTGCTTCTGGATCCGCCTTTACTTATTTAACACAAATGATTTATTTATGTTACGATCACTTTTGTTTATTTATTGTTTATTTATTGTTTGTTTGGTGACGCCCATCACTGACAGGTGGTGAAAGATCACCTTTACTCAAATTTTTTGTTTAAAAAAAATACAAAACTAAAACATCTCCAACTTTTGCGGTGAATACTTCACGAGAGAGATTTATTCCAGGAGTTGTCCTCCTGTCCTTGTAGCACATGTTTTCATTCATACTTCTGCATCTAGATCTTCCCTGTGTGTGTGTGCGCGTGCGTGTGTGCGTTTGTTTATTATATATGTGTGTTTGGCTAGTCTGATCTAATCTGATATCGTATTAGGGCTAATCTGGGTTTTCTTCTGTCGTTGGTTTTTATATTCTAAAGATGTAAAACTGCCGTGTCTTTGTGATATTGCGTCATCAGAGATCAAACTGGGCTGGATGAACTGTACAGAACTAAAGTGCCTCTTCGGGAATTCCATTTACATTTTTAAATTTTACTTAAATACGTTAAGCCGATTCCTTTGATTTTAAATACGACGTTGGTCTTGTTTGAACAATCCCAGTATTCCCAGATTATTAGATGGATTATTATTATATAAATAGAATATAACAATAAAAAGGTACCACCACTTTTCTGTTTAGCTGATGACATTGTGCACTTAAAAAAAAACAAGCTAATCTTTTTCTGACCTCATTAATCTCCCTAGATCCATCCGCTCTTTCATCCTGATTTTGCTTGAGCTAATGTTGTTTTTTATGAATGAAGTTCACGATGTTCGAGTTTCTGCATCCTCTCGTGGGGATGTGGTTTAAATGAAAAGATAAAATACTTTTATGAGATTTTGTGGAAAACGATAACTATTCTAACATGCTTGTAGAAATCGTCTTTGTGTGGAGTACGACTTCAGTAGGTCCAGGTCCATGTTTGAATGTTTTCTTTTTTTAACCCCGAGAACTAATGTCAGTGGGTCGTGAGTGTAATCTGGAAGTTAATAATGGTTTATTGTCAGCTTGACATCATCCACGTGTATTAAAGTAAATAGAAAATACCAGGTTACGATGAGTGATGGAATAACTTTAATGTTTTGTACGCAGACGTGAAGTTTGAATGGTGATTGTTGTTCTGAAAAACTGGAGAAAGCTCATTTCTGATGCTAAAACATTAATAAATTGTATTATTTAATAAAATTGGAGGTCAACATGTTTCAGCTTAATTCTGCAGCTCCCTCAGTGCTTTTGTTCATCTATTTCATTTCATTTTTTCATTAAAAAAGCACTTTCCACAACCTTTAGCAGAAGCCCAAGGTGCTGAACACAACAATAAACAGGCAATCGCATCAATAAAAACAAAAAACAGAGAACAATTGTTAAACAATTAAAATCAAGAAAAAATTGCAGATCCCAGTAATGAAAATGCCTGGACATAATAATGGGCCTTCAGACGTGACTTAAAAATCTGGAATGAAGGCAACAAACTTGGAGTTTTCCACTAAACAAACACATTAACACTTTTTCTGCTAAAACCTTTGGAATGCTAAAGTTTATGAAAACTCATTAGAACCCAAAAAAATTGGGGGTGGGAAAAAGTTTGAAGACACAAAAAACAAGATTTTTACTTTTTAAAAATACTATCAAAGTCACAAGTTTAACATGACAGAAAAACCTTTTAGATCGTGTCTAAAATGTTCCATTTTCTTCAAAAGCAATTTATTAAAATAAAATTTGAGTGGATTTCAGTCTGACTCCGATGGAACATTTGAACGTGTGTGTGTGTGTGTGTGTGTGTGTGCAGAGCTTAGCATAACTCAAACATTTAGTTAATCTATTCAGAATAGAAAACACGAGTTAACATAAAAAAGTTTAATCTTAGTGCATTAGACCTAAATATTCTGCATTTGACATTTAAAGCTTTTTAAAGTCTTTTTTCCTACTTTTTCCCAAGCATTTTATTTTGAAAGTCCTAGCTTTTAGGAGCGTCACATCTTTTATTTTGAAGGTGGTCGTGTCGGTCCGAGCCCGGGTGATGGGTTGTCCTCACCGTGTTGCCTCTAAAGGACGCGTGTGTGTGGTTCGGTAAAGCGGAGACCCGCCGCCTCCACACGGACAGCTGCTGTCCCGCCGCGGCAGACATCACTCTGATCCCGGTAAGAGACCCTAAAGCGCTCCGCTGTTCTCCTGCGCCACCTCCATCCTCCTCCACAGCTGGCTCTGCAGGAATGACCTCTTAGGAGCAACTTTACACGTCTCGGTGAAAGTTGTTAAATAATGTTATAGTAATTATGAAGTTGTTCATTGTAAACTGCAGCTTGTAGTTAAATCAGATCACCAACAGGATTACGTTTAACTGACTTTTTTGTGCTTCTTAGGCTTTTGAAAGACACGTTTTATTCATAAAGCAGCAATTTGATATCCAGAGAGGGAACTACGGAATCTGGTTTGTCTGGGGCGTTGGCTGGCTGTCTGTCCAAGTGTGTGTGTGTGTGTGTGTGTGTGTGTGTGTGTGTGTGTGTGTGTGTGTGTGTGTGTGTGTGTGTGTGTGTGTGTTTGAGGTTACATGCTGACTTGTTAAAGACAGGGCAGCTCCTGAAATCTGGAACCAGTTAAGGAACCTTATATATATATTTCATCCAGTGATGGAACCACTGAGGCTAAAAATGTTTCACAGAAGTCAATTAAAATTCCTGGACTGCGTTTTCTTTGCGTGTGTGTATGTGTGTGTGTCCTTGTAGAAAAAAAGAAAATCACATAAATGCAGTGGAGTATCTTCCCTGTAATTGAATTTTTTTCTCTCAAAAGTTTGAACAAAAACAAAACAAACAAACAAAAAATTTCAAACCATCCTCAGTGCAGAACATCATGATGAACTGTGTACAACACCACCACCTGTTGCTGGATTTTTGGTGACCTACACACACACACACACACACACACACACACACACACACACACACACACACACACACACACACACACACACACACACACACACACACACACACACACACACACACACACACACACACACACAAAGAAAAAGCTGAACTGACCTGCAGCCAGAGCGTTGTTTCTTTAATAAAGAAATCACCACGAGTTCAGTCCTAAAATACAGCAGAGCTTCATAAAACTTTATGTGTACGCTGACTGATGGACTCTCCGAGCTCCAGTTCTCACATGTAAACTCTGCGTCGTGTTACTTTTATCGAGCCCTGATGATTTTTAAGACTAAAACCATAAAAGTTTCTCAGTCTGTGTTGTTGGTTTTTTTCATCTTGCAGCTATTAAAACTTGGATGTGCTGACTTCAGTCTCTTATTGTGAAACTCTGTTTTTTATAAGCGAAAAAGTAAAAATAGAAACGGCCAACCAGTCATATGAATCTGTTGATCACATTCGTTTGTTGTGATTTACTGAAAGATGTAGTGGAAACGTTAGCTTAGCCTGAGATATGGTTCCGCTATTTAGGAATCGCTCTCTTCCAGATAGTTGCTAATGACTCGAGGATTCTGCATCTTTACTGTACATTACAAACAGGCACTGATTAACTTTGATCCTCAGATGCTACTTCATGAAAAACTTAAATGTTTTTGCAGAGGGCCAAAAAACTTGTAGAAAAATGCATCAGATGTAGGTAAGACCTTGAATTAAAACCTATGGATAAGATTGTCAATGAAATAATGCAGCTCCTGTTTAAAGGTGCAACATGTAAAGATGACATCCTGTGAATAAACGTAGTTACTGCAGGCTATTTTCTCACTGTCACTCTGAGAGTTTCATGGCTGGTGCAAATTACAGATCAGCGCCAGAAGATTCTAGATGACAAGCGAAGACAAGTCATAAATGCATTGTCAAATCTGGTGCTAGCACTCTTGGGTGTTTTACGGTAGGGAAGACTTACTACACTTATTATGGTAATATGTGTCCAGAAGGCATATATTGTTAGTGAAGTGTAGTTGTTTGCAGTCTTGCAGTGACTTGCTGTTATAGTTCTGAATGACTTGTTAAAAAAAGTAAAACGCCACTTTTGACTCATTATTCACTTCACATACGTTTCACAGTAAAATCAAGTTTCTGGTGATTGAAAAAGCAGCTTGAGATATTTTTACAGCCAACTATTTGCTTCTATTTCACCATCAGCATTTTTATCTCAGTGTTAGCCTCTAGCTTGTTTCACCCAGTAATAACGTGAAACAAAAAGATGCCGTGGCTTCTTAGGGGTAAAATAAATAACTTCTGGGTTGCTCCTGTTTTGGTTCTTTAAATAACTCTGGAGCTTTTGGTGTCTGGTGGCAAATTAAAACTGCTTGTGCTGCAGAGTTAGCTCGATGCAGACTCGGCAACAAATTGTAAACAGCTACTACGTCCCTCTTTATTTTTTCTGAAAGGTAAAAAACTGGCAACATTAGATTGTTTTGGGATAATTTAGTTGTAGAATTCGTACATATTGCTCCTTCAAAATCCAGTTAGTGATGAATAAGATTCTGGTTACGCCATCGGGAAAGTCATGGATAGCATCTTACTTTTTTGTTTTTCAGTGTTGTTTTTTTGACTTTATTTGATCACGATGATGTCATTGATGCAGCATGATTCTGTGTTGGACAAGTTTGCCATGAGACCTGCAGTTGAACTTAAACATGTCGACCACTGAAACAAGCAAATAAGCAAGAATGGGGAAACATCAAATCTAAATAAATGTGGGACTTTAAGTTAACATTTCTCAGATGCTTTCAGGATATTGGTAATAAGAGAGGTGACGGGACAGCATGATAAACATCATTCTTTTCAAGATATTTGGAAAATGTGTTGAAATGCATCTAAATAAGCTTAAGGAGCATATTAACCATCACAATGGTGGTAGTTGTTTTTACCACTCCTTGTCATGACTCTAAGCAGTTATGAATGCATCCTGGTCGTTTTTACTTACCAAAAGTTATATTTCAGACATTAAGTGTGTAGCAGCTTCCTAATCAGTCTCTGTTTGCAGAATTTACAGCCTGCAGGACTGATGAGCTAACAGCTAGTCAGTCTTTAAACTTACATAGTATACGAATCTTTACACAGCCATTATTTTCACTTTACACAGTTATTTCTGCAGAAACATGAAGACATTCATGTTAGGCCTCCTTGGATGCATCTGATTTGCTACATTTTGCTCTTGATAGAGATGTTTAAGCTTAAAAATAACAACGTAGAGCAAACAAGATGTTAACATTAGGATTTATTTAAAAAATCATACAAAGAATCAATACATTTTAAATTGGAATTATTATTATTATTATAACATAATACTAATGCAAGATAAAACCCGATTTGAAAGTCAAATGTAAGGGTTTTATTATTTCTATTGTACAGAATGGCAACTCTTCATATCTGTGGAAAAAACATCAAAGGCCTGAAACTCTGAGCTTCATGGACATTCCTTTCATCTTTAGGCTTCGTGCTTTGTTTTTCCTTTGAAGGACTCATTTAAGGAGTTTTCCGGACAGACGTAGCTTCTTTCAGAGACCGCTCAGCTGGTCACCGTTAGAGGGGGGATCTGGAAGAATGATTAAATCCTAGCGGTTAGTCGGAGATTTACGAGGGCAGACTGGAACAATGTGAAGCTCTGGAGCAGTAGCGGTTTTAGGCACGGGCAGACAGGGCAATTGCCCGGGGCGGCATTTTTTCATGACACAAAAGGGGCGCACAAGCGCTGAGAAAAAAAAAGAAAAAAAAAGGAAATCTGCGCCGCACCGAGGTTTTCTATTATCTGTCATATGACAGTGTCTGGATTGGAAACAGCAAGTTGGCGCCCCCTGCAGCTGCAGGCGCTCCTGCTGACTGAGAACGTTCACGTGCACCGTGTGTCTATGAAGAACAGGAAGGGGAGGGGTGCGGCGGGGGAATTCACCTCTGCGTCTTTCCCAAATGAAATGAGCGCAAAATGAGGGTGCAGGGGCTGAATCAACTGTATTAACATGGCTAAAGTCAATCACATCTTAACGTTCTTCCATATTTCATTCATAATATCATAAACACAGGCCTATCATTCTTTCAGGTTTCTCTGAATTGTGTGAAATGGCCGAATAAAAAAAGGAAAAACAAAACGATTTTGTGGTCACACCCCCATCAAGGTCAAATAGTTTAGTCCCGACTAAAGGAAACTTACTGAGTCAGGAGCCAAACAGAAGAGATGAACATAAAAAGGCTAAAACCACCAGGTGCCCCATTCAGGGGGAAAAAAAGAAAAAAGAGGAGAAAGATAAAGGTATGTAAGCTCTCATGATGCATGTTGCATGTTTAACGGTTAAATGCGGTCAACTAATTGCTAACAGAGCTAATAGGGCTGAAATATTGAAACGAATATTCAAATGGTTCGAAAAAAGTCCTTGAATCGTTTTTTACTGATTCAAACTAGGATTTGTTAAATGCTCGCTGCAGCCTGTGGCCTGCCTGAACAACAAACACAAGTTGATCATGTTCACATAATAATAAATAAAACAACTCTACAAGCAGAAGAAAACACCCCAGTCACCACTAACTATCCTGTTTATTTATTGCAGATGGCTGCACTGATTATTTTTACATGATTTGTTCTGTAAAAGTTGGCATTTTTGGTGGTCTACAGTTTTTTTATGTCAGTTTAAATTACAATTTCAGAGGCAATTCTAAAATATTATGGATCATGATAAAGATCTATTGGAGATCTACCCCAACTTTTGGACTGCTCTGCCAGTCACTGTGGCTCAAGCTGAGGGGAGCTTTTCAAAACTTGATCAAGTCATACCTGAGGTCACCTATGTTTCAGGGGCGGCTCACTAACCTGGCTCTGATTAGTATCAATCACTCAGTAGGGGAGCAGATTTCATGTGATGACATTATTGATGACGTTGCATCAAGGTTAGGTTTTAATTTTAGTTTGTGTTTTCTGTTCTAAGTGCAATGCTGTAGTGATTATCTTTGGTTTGTTATGTGTGAAATATTTTTGCTATTTAGAATATTTATTATCTATTATGTTCATATATTCTTAATATTTAGTGATTGTTTGTTTTTGTATATTTGATTATATATATTTTGATACAGTATATAATGTATAGTGCTTTACATTCTGACAACTTCATAGTAATTAATGTAAATATGTGCAACTTAAAAAAATGAATGTTCAATAG